CTGCATACTTTATGAAATTAAATCGTAATTTTCATGTCAATTATTATTTAAATTAGGAACTGAAATAAAATTCTAAACAAAAAGTATTAAAATATTTAAATTAGGGGATTTTTATCAAAATTTACAAATATTTTAATTTAATTTTTTTGGAATCTATTGAACAACAACAAAATTAAAAACTGTTTTGTTTTAGCAAAGTATAATTTAAATAAAAAAATTAAAAATAAAGCTTATAAACAAAAACCTTGCTTATCAAAATACCACTACCAGCAAAATATAAATGAATTTAAATTCTTTAAATAGTTTTTTAAGACGGGAAAAGTACAGAAAACGTTTCTGATCTCATCAGTATCACAAATAATTGTTTTTATTTGCCTTTATTTTAAAAATAATTAATGGCGCACCCTCCTTGCTCATTACCGGCGCGCAGCACCAGAAGAGTCGGGCGTTTTATGCGGCATATCTCTCGCTTCTTTTCTTTTTCTCGACCTACAGTCTGCGTGTTCGTTAAAATACGCCTAAAGTGTCTACGGCATTACAGATTCAGACGCAAAGTGCAAAATCTCATAGTGTTTCCATAATTACACACACGCGAAGGAGGCGAAATCAGCATATACGCTTAAATTATTTCTTTTTATTGTCAGTTCTTCGCAAAAGGGTGTGGTGCTCGCACTCACACGCTCGGTCGCGATTAAGGAACCAATAATTTACAATTTCTGATGGCACTGCTTGCTTATTTGAACTGTCTTTTTGTGTTACGTCTTGTCTAAAATATTGAACCATTTTGCAAGACCGGCGGTTTCAGAAGATGAACGTCAAATAATCGAGGTCGTAAAAATAAAAATGACCAGATTTTGCACCACTCTTTATTTGAAATCGTTTTGCCGAAACTTTTGCAAGTGTTATTACAATTTTGCACGTCCAAGGTGCGCGAGTTGGCACTTCAGGTGCCTTCTTATTATTTTATGACTTTTTTTAGCAGCAATTTTATAGTTACATAATTTTGCCGTGTTAGCACGTGCGGTTGTTAAGATTTGAAAGAAGAAGAAAATGCTATTGCTGTGACAATCATAAAAAAAGTTCTTGGAAAAACGACTCAAGATTTGCAAGTAATATTTTTTACAAGTAGCCGCATCAATTTTTACTACTTATAATAAATCATACTCTTAAAAAGCTCTTAAAAAAAACGTTCCTTCAAACAAGTTTTCACGAGGGAATTTTTGCTGGGCGATAAATAATATGACATGTGATAATCCGATGACTAATAAAAACTTATACTAAATCAACCAAATTCAATTTAAGTATGAAATTGAATTAAACTCAATTTGTGAGCAAATGAATGTTTTTATTTGGAAAAATTTCTTGCAATAATAAAAAAAGATGGACATTACTTATTTGCCGAGTTGTATTATAAAATCTTTTAATATCTTTTTTAATTCAAGTGTTTTTTTTTTATTAAAAACTAAGGAAAAACTTTAATATTATGAGTCACGGCAAAAGATTTTTGTTATTTTCATTCTTGCAGGGAGTGGCTGGAATCGGATATAAACTAACAATGAGACGACTTCTATATTCAGCACTAAAATAAACTGTTTTCGCCAAAGCAGTCAAAAGATCATCGGATTACAAGACGCGGCAGATTGAATAATAACCATACATCATGCCGCATTGCGCATTAAAACACTCACACGCTGCTGCAGGAGAGGAGACGAGACTGCTATCGTTGAAAAATCTACTGTTTCTTTTACGATCTCGGCGCGCAAAACGACCGGCCAGACCAAAATAGGTAGCAATGGTTTGTTTGTCTTCCTCGAGAGAAGATCGGGGCGGGCGCGTATGACTGTCTTGCAATAAAGAGTTTGTTGAACCATCACAAAATCCGCGACGCCTTTCACGCCTCGACGCGAAACTTCATTTGCGAATCGTGAACGTTCACTTCCAAAAAAATTACCCATATCCGTGAGTATGACTTGATGCAAGCATATGATTTCATTTCCACGAATTTCACAGTTAACCGACTGATTAAGGCAACGTGTTAAGATTTGTTAAACTCATTACTCGTGCTTACTCAGTGTAATCCTCGACCAAAATAAAATACTGCCAGTGCAGCGCGACAGAAGAACATAAAGAAACTGTCAACACAAATTCCGCCACATATTCCTCCCCCGTTGAGAAAATACCTTCTCGGCAGTAAAAGCGAGAAGTTCTCTAACTTAAAAAAAAGTCTGAAATATTGCCGGCGTTTGCTCATTATCACCTCGTGCATGAAGTAATAAATCTGTGGGTGGAAAGTTCCTGGTATATAAACTTTGTCTTGATATTTAATTGCAGCCTGGCAATCAGATTTTTATAATACAAATGTAAGCATATTATTGCAGATTGATTGGAAACATAATACTTTTGTAAAAATTGTATAAATTTAATGCATCAGTAAAATTATTTAAAAATTAAAATATTGAATTAAATTAATTTAAATTTGATTTGCCTTTTTTATCAATTGAAATACCAAAATATTAGAAAATTTGGACATAAATAATAATAAAAAGGTATAAAATTAATGCTATTTATAAAATTATTTTATATTTTATAAAAATGAATAAAAATAGATTGGTTTAATATTAATAATGTTTAAATTAATTTATTTAACAACATAAAAATAAATAAATATTAACTTGTGCATGAAGTAATAAATCTGTGGGTGAAAAGTTCCTGGAACTTTGTCTTGATTTTTTATCTTTGGCCTTTGCAGCATTTTATTAATGAGCAACTCGATATGCATTGCATTTTATGGGTGTTTTTCAAATGGAATTCCGGGAACAGCGGAGAGGTGTACCGTGTAGTTACATTTATGGAAGACGTTTGTAATCTCGCTCGTCGTCGCCGTCCACTTAACATTTTGAATAATTCCACCTGCGCTAATGAAACCGCGAGCGCCAAAGGTGCACAATTCACAGCCATTTATTAGCCGATTAAAAAACTGGTTTAATATCAACCACCTTTTCTCCGTGCGGACACCTCGGAGAGCAAAAATTCCCTCGGCCGAGTAAAAAGTAGTAAAATTATTTTCAAATGTGCGCCGCACCGCCGTTTGTGTATATTTCTCATTGCTTTTATGGCCGACGAGGAAATTATACATAAAAAGTGAGCTAGTGCCCAATAACGAATCGCGGTGCGTAAAGAACCTTTTGCCTAAATTAGCGTTCTAAAAGCTCGTTGAAAACATTAAATATAGGTTCTATTAAGGTCTCTTGAGTAGAAAAAGCTTGTTTGGAATGAAGCTGGTCTTCTAATTCGTTACGTTGAAATAAAAGTGTGTTTAATCTTTTCCAAATACCTCCGGAAAAAAAAATTCACACAAGACGGAGTTTCGTGTTTCTCTTTTCAAGATGAAGCATATATTATACCTTTTAAAAATCTGTTTCTTGTTCAGGAAGCGAGGCAAGGTGAACGATGACATAACCGCTTTTGAAAAAAAAAATATACGACTTGCTACACAGGGCTCGCGGAGTGTAACAATGGGATGGATGAATTACATCACTATGTTAGCTTAGGACATGAGAGAGAGGTATGCATGCAATGGCTTGTACAACGACCTACCCTTCAGTTTATACCATTTTATAATTGTTGATTGAAAAAGAAAAAAAAAACACCGCATTCTTGATTCAAAATCCAAATAATGGTCCGCGATTTTTTCCATCATTTACTGCGTTAAAAAAAAGTATTGAAAATATAGTTATATAAATATGCTCATTTATAATGCTTTAAATAGAATAGAAAATAATAATAAACATGATTTTTTGTATAATTTTACAAAATTTAATATAATTTTAGCAATAAAAATCTTCCTTAACAATTAATTAATTTCTAACCTATAAATTAATAATTAAATCTTTTATAAAAATGTTTTAAAATACAAAAAAAAGGTCAGTAACCATTATGCTACTATTAATTCAAGAGAAAGATGTAAGATTTGATTAACTTTCATTTAATTTGAGCTATATTCTATTTTAATCTAATATGAATTGAATTATATCAAATGTTATTACCATGCGGATTTAGAACTTCAAGTAAATAATAAATTAAATGTAAAAATAAAAATTTCAAATTGGATTATTTCGTATGATTGTATTACACACGTGTTTTTAAGTTTAATGAATATTATTTGTTTTGATAATTATCGAATTTTATTTCAGAAAATGTAATAACTTATTTTCTAGTCAAACTGATTCCTGATTTGTTTTTATATCTACAGCTCTGGAAAGTGTATAACTGCGGGTGTTCCATGCACATAATGAATGTATGTAAGGGCGCGTCTTGTTCCGATCGCTTTCGAGTGATGTCTGATTTTTTTGCCGCGATTCGCTCCAACTAGTGAAATGTTTTGCGCCGGCTCTCGTCGTGTACACATATATTATAATTTAAGTGCTGCACTGAGTGGGTGGATCTCTCATCCAGCAGGCCATGTTAATTAGCGTGGATCGAGCAAAGAGGGCACACCGCCTGGCGCGCGGTCCAATTTTAGTTGTTAGTCGTCGTAGTCGCGTCTCGTTCGCGGAATTTCACTCGGGGCGGCTGCAGGAAAATTCGACTCGCGAGGAGTAAAAAAAAACGCAAAATCCGTCTAACAACGAGAGAAGCGGCGGCGTGTTACTTTTTTTCATCTCGCACACATTCTCTCTCAAACTTCCAACTCTTTCGCAAAGCGAGCGGCGCGAAAAGTGGGCGAAAATAGTCCGAGACTGATTCATGAGATCCTCTCCCATTTTCACTGTCAGCACAATCTCTCGACCGCAAGAACGAGGAAATTAAAAAAATAAATCAATAAAAGATAATACTAAAATTTCCCGTTAAAAAGATAATAAAATAAATTTTGTTACAGAAATAAATTGTTTTTTATTTGAACAGCTTTCGGCTTAAAAACTTTTGAAAGGAAAAAAATTATCAGTAAATTTCAAAAAATAATAAAAGCAACCCCTAAAGAAAGGTATATTCAACCCTACCTGGTAAACAAATCCTTTTTCTTTGTGCGTCTCTCTGCAGTCAGCTAAGGGCGGAAGGTTTCCCGCTGCGCACCACCTGACAACTCGAGCGACAATGCGAGAAGTCGACGGAAGGCCGGTGGTAATAAGACTGAGGTGGATAATGGGATGCTGCGTCGGAGCTGCTTAGACAGTCTCGGCACGCGCGAGGCGATAGACTGAGGAGTCGATCCGCGGCCGCTCTTCGCTTCCCCCGACCGCGCGTCGTCGCCGCCGAAGCTGCAACTAGTGGCTCAGCCAGCCAATGGGCTCGCCTAGGCCACACAATTAACTTCATTCACAATTTTCCACGCCTAGGTTTTAGGGCGAAACATATATTTTACCACTCCGAAATCAGCCCAACCCCGAAAAAAATGCTGTTATCTGATATTCCATGAGATGTGGAAAATAAGTTGCAAAAAAAAAAAACTAACTAAAACAGGAAGCAATAATCCAATTTTAATTTCTTAAACTTAAATTAACCTATTTTTTGAAATCGTGTTTATTTTAACTTGCAAGTTGAAAATTGCACTTGGTTGTAATTAATGGAGCTTGGAAAAAACTTTAAAGAAGAAGAGAGAACAAGAAGAATTTGTAATTATCTTGATAAAATTATTTAATTTATTTTGCAATAATTGTTTAAAAGATTATCTATCCCTCAAATTACCCAAATTCTCTTTTTTGTCTTTTTGTATTCACATTAAGTCCGATACCGATTTTTAAATTTTCAACTTCATTCATTTTCGAGAGGTCTCTTCGCATTGGCCAGCGAATATAAATTTGACGTTTTTATCTCGAGATGTTAAAATTAGATTTCCTGGACGGCGATCTTGTTAATCAACATATTCAACGCAGCGGCTAAGTGTTCTAATTGCGTACCTCCGCCGGCCCATTCATTAATCTGGGGCTTACGGAAATGAGAAAAAAAAAAAAAATAAACTTCCTTGCCAGCTATAAATGCTAAATCTGAAATCTCTGGGAAGCGTCCAATTTTTTTCTTTTGATTTTTATCCACACTTGGTTTACCTCTGGTATTTAAAGAAAAGCCGCGATCCTTATGAAGATCATATCCCGCATCATCTTTTCGTAATAATTATTCATATATGTATTTTCAAATTTATCTAGGACCGTCCTTCTGATACATTTTTTTTTGCATAGTACAATCAGTAGCAGAATTCAAATTGTCGCTTTTCGTGCCTGGGGCTTTTCATTTAATTCCACTTTTCGCCTTGTGAATAATTATTAATCCAAATGAGAGGTTATGGTGCCTGCCTTAACCTATAGTTATTTAGATTTTGTTCTTCTAACACTTGGCAGGTGTCAGTACAAATACTGGAATACAGTAGAAAAACGCGAATATACGTGCAGCGGTATAATAATTAGCAGTTTCAAGGTGATGAGAGATGCTGCTAAAAAATTCTCTGTTTTAAATTGATACCTGATTTTGTTTTGTTTGTTTAGGTAAAAAGTTTTTCAAATTTAATCCTTAAATAATAAGTTGAATGTTTATACTTTGTTTTAGTCACATAAATCACCCACTTATCCATTATATAATAATTCGCTCCTGCTTTATTTGAATCACAAAAACTGCTAATGCTAATGAATGAAGAGGAGTTGCTGGTTCTTCATTTCATTGTTGTTAGCGGCCAAATTATGCGTGACCGCTGCTTGCTGATGTTATTGGCATTGGCACGCTAGCGCAGGTAGCCAAATTCAAACCCACCGAAAAAAGCTTCTGTGAACGCCCTGCTTATAGTTGGCGCGACATAAATATTGTCAGGCCAACTTCAGCACGCTCGCGAATATGAATGACCCGTCCATTGTGCCGCGCGCGCGGCACCCACATATACGCCTATGTAAGCCCTTTGCAATCAACGCCACAATATTTTGCCAATTTTTATCCTTGTTTGCCGACACAATAAAAAATTTTAATAATAGCAGCAAACCTCTCTCATCTGTATGTCAGCCACCGACTTTAAATTGACAGGGGCTCCGAGCCGCGTGGGCAGGAAGTTGGTGTAATTGAGATGCAGATAAGGTACACCGTGTGTATGTTGTATGAAAATTACCTGAGGGGCGAGACAGGTATGGTGTCTCGATTATCAACGAGAAGGGTCGTGTTTTGTAGTGTTCATGAGAGTTGACGACAGGGAAAAAAAAGAGGAAGACACCCCTATCCTGTTATGAAATCTCTAAATTAGGCTCAACGTTATTTACGTACGTTTGCCTCCCGCAGGTTAAAGAAACAAAAACTGTCAAAAAAGTTTACCCGCAGACGTTAGAACCCCTTTTCCAGCCAATTTAGTAACTCCACAAAAATTTACAAAAAAAATTATTGTTGTAAGTATTCATAAAATTTAAGTGTAAAACTCTAAATTTGTACAAATAAAAAAATATAAATTAATAAATACTTAATGAGCCTCTTAATAAATATTGATTTTTGAGAAATAATGTATGACTTTTATGTGATCAATGAGAAATAAAAATCATTTTAAAATTTAAATTTCAAAAATTATTTATTTCATAATTAAAAAAATTTAAAATTATTTTATTTAAATTGTTAATTTTGTTGTAATTACCAGATATACACAAAAGTTAAATATTTATATAAATTATGTTTGTTTCGGTGTATTAAATTTTTTATATTAAACTTTTAATAAAATTATAATTAACTTGATTTGAAAAGGGGAAAAATGTTGAAACTTGTAATCATGTTTTTTTTTTTTTTTTACTTTATTACAAAGCCAAAATAACAAAACAGTGGAAAACATAAACGCAGATTGTGCACAAATCACAATAGTCCTAGTGAAGAAGATTTTCCCTTCAGTAAATTTCCCCCATGATGAGAACCACCAGAGCAGACCAACCAGTGAACGGCTTGCACCCCTGCCCTTCGCCAGTCTTGTCATTGTACTGCTCGTAGACAAACCCACTGTCTTTGTACCTTTTGAGAATGTTTGTCACTAAGTTGGAACACAGCTCCTTGTAGATTTCACCCGCAAGGACCTTGAAGGGGCCCTCTGCCTGTGAGTAGTGGTGCAGCGCCTTCACTGCTAGGTAGTTGATGTTCATCCAGATTGGGCCGCGCCAGTACGGAGCGTCGTGTTCCGTGTTCTTTTTCAAGTACATTGGCGAGTCCGTCGAAAGGGAGCGCAGGCCGTACGGGGTCCAGAGAAGTTCAGGTTTTTTTAAGTCGTTGAGCACGTCTCCCAGCTTGGGACTGTTCGGCGGAATCAGGCAGAGCAAAAAGGGAAAGAGGGACACATATCCAAAGGTTTTGTCAACCAGCTGTGCCTTCGGCTTTCCCTGAACCTAAACGTAAAAATTGGTTATTTTAATATTACCTTTTTTTCATTAAAACATAACACAAAATGTATTGCAAAAATTTCATGAAATATTTTTATCTTTTGTTAAAAATTTTTACTTACAAATCTTATAATCGACGAATCGTTTTTCGATTTTCTTCCGAGTTTGACTGCGTCAGTGTGAAGACCAAAGTCGGCGTACCGTCTCATTGACCCACTCCAGAATAATTTATTCATCAGCAATGGGTCTGAAAGAGCTGTGTAGGTGTCAAGGTATTTATCACCATTCTGCCCGATCCTGTCCGCAATGATTGCCTAAAATTAAAATTTAATCTTATTGTTGAAAATTGATTTTAGTTGAAAATTACCATTGATTGGGAGGCCATTGCCATCCAGCAGGTCAGGTCTATGTGGCGCTCCTCTTCGGTTGGATGACTGGCCCTGGGGTAATCATCAAGTCCTGAGGTGAGGGTTTTGGGGTTCAGCTCGTTAAGTGCATTCGGATCTCTTCCGCGCCATCTGCAAATAAAATAATTTGAAACCATTTTTTTTACTGTTCATTTTTGGAAAATCAAACTTATTTAATATAAACCAGGAAAATAAGAAATAAATATTTACCTGTATGATCCAGGGAGTGGGCCGATTTGGGAAACGTTGTACCAGGAGAACCACTTTTGTAAGCGAGGCCAGAATTTGGCAATGGTGCCGATGTGCTCCTTGCTCAGTTTGTTTCGCTGCGAAGTCAGGATGTACTTGAGTGTGAGCAAAAATGTAGGAGGATTGGCGTTTTCGTTCTTCTGAACGACAAATTCGTCTGGCACCCTTGAGCGCGCCTCCTCGCCCAGAATCTGCTCTCTCGGAATCCAACCCTCAATATTCATCAGATCCAACCAATGGGCAATCACGTCTAAGGAAATGTCCAGGTCCCAAGTGGAGACCAGGAGTTCGTGGAAGCCTTCGTCCCACAGAAATCCTCTTGGGAAAAAGCTCCTCGAAGGCACTGCAGTGTAAAGAGGCGCCTTCCAGTACGACCGAGGCTCTTCGGTGTACTTGGACATGACCAGGGAAGACCCGTAGAAATAACCGATACCCCCAAGCAGATTACTGAATGTGGCCTTGGCACTGGAAATGTCTTCCGCAGAATAACCTTTGTCTTTTAATCTGAAGACTTTTTCAAATTTATTTTTGAAATCTCCTCTGTGTCTTTGAAGCTCCTCGTCCAGTTGCTGCGCAGAGAGTCGACTCTGAGAGACGCCCTCGTCTATCTGATAAACAACCTCCATGGTAAAGGGCGTCTTGACCAGCAGCTGGGTGGCGATGAAATTTGGCTTGTTGTCGCCTTTAGGCAAAATGACGCCGCCCAAGGAGATGAATTTGCTGCTGCCGATGACGTCCCACTTCAGGGAGGCCATGATTGTGTCCTTCAGTCTGTGCAGACCGTCAGCTTTGGTCACCAGTTGCGACGAGTGCACTACATTGGAATAGTTCAAGAGAGTGACGAAAAAGTCGCCAAGTTGCGGCGTGTGACCTTCGAACCTCATCACGCCATCTTCTTGGATCCAGCCTTCGGCTTTTTCTTCACTGGCGACGTAAAAAATCAGTGACAGTTCTTGCTGAGCCTGAATTAAAAAAAATCAATATTCAAATAAATTTTAAAAATTTGTCTGTTTTAATCTTTTAATATTTAAAATGGTCAGTAAGGAAAAATACCTCAACATTAGAACTTGCTTCAATTCTTGCAGACCATTCTCCAGCCCCAGACTCGTGACCTCTTTTAACGAACGTTGTTTTCAGAGTCACAGGTCCGTCAACCAACTCTTGAACACCAAAATTGATGCCGTCGTGCTCTAGCCAACCATAACGTTGGAGTTTATCACCTTGATCACAGGAATGTCTGAAATTTTGTGTCATTATTAATTATTTTTCAACCAGCCTAACATTTGTTTATAATTATACCTTATCGATTGTGCGCCCTGGACCAGTTTCTGTGGCTGGTACCACATCAGTCCCAAGACGGGCGAGTGTGGCTCCCTCGTCGACATGCCAAAGTAAACCCCTGACCTGTAGCTTCCCCAGTATCGCTTTGGAACGTCGAGGCCAGTTTTTTCAACCATCTACATAAAAGGAAAAATTAAATATTTTCTTGAAAATTTTTTATAATATACTTTTATGTTGTCAAATTTGGTGGTGACTCGAGTTTCAAGGTAGCCGGTGTAGGTGAGATGAGAAGCAACCGCCAGCAGTGCCAACATCACCAGCGTCCACAGCCAGGACATCCGAGACTTGGGAGCATCTTCTTCGCTGATCCTGTGCAGCTGCCGCCGGTCGGAGGCGCCGCTCTTTTCCTTGTGGTGGTGCTCATTGCCTCCTCTCCTCTGCCGCGTCATCCCCACAGACTAGATTCACTGACACATCATTTGAGCTGCAAATTCGAGATTTTCTAATTTATTTAAAATATAATGTAAGCTAATTATTTACATTTTATATCTATATTAAATTCAAATATTTTCAACAAAACTTGGGGTCAAACGTGAGAGAAAAACAAAAACTGGTGTCAAATTCTTGGCATTGAACATTTTTTATTTTTGAACTCATTACTGAGCTATAATAAATTATATTTTAAGTGAAATCAGAATACAAAATCTATGGTTGTATTGATATTGATTGGGCTCATCATAAACTGTGCGCCGAGCTCTACCACAGAAGTGGTATAGAAGGGGAAGATTAGCATAATTATTTTAAAATGATTATAATTATACACTACAAAGTCGCATTATTTGAAGTCAATTTTTAACTTAACAAAGAGCGAAATAATATAATAATCAGGTGTCTCATTTTGCTTATTAAAATTCTAATTGACTGCAAATGAAACTGATTTCAATTATACACGCCCATTACAAATACTGGATATAATTTTTGTCCCTCCCATTTTTTCAACAAACTATATTTTAAGAGAACAAAAAAAGTACACAAAAATCCTCTAAATTACATTATGCATGTGTATCATTGCTGGCTACATGACTTCTTTCTATACATCATAAATATTCTCAGTCCAATCAAGGCTGCTTTCGTTGTCCAGAATGCAATTAGACTCGCACCCGAGACATTTCACGAAGAGATCCCTTGCTTCAGCCAAAATCACCACTTTTCCTTATGCTCATCATTCAGAATTGCGCAGAAAAGTATTGTCAGACGACGCAAAGTGCAAAATGTGCACCGTGACAGATACAGAATAATTATTATAATTTTCCTTGACGTACTGTTTTGCTTTGGGCATCAATCCTCAGGGAGCAAAGCGTAAGATTTTTAGAATAGCTAAAAATGAACCAAATCAATTCACCAATGTGGTGCTGTAAACGCAACTGGCTCCGTACAACAATTTGAGGAAAATGTATTTCATTTTCTTATTATTCTAATTTCAATGTTCAAACAAATTGCTTTTGCAGTTTACCACAAATTTATCGACAGTTAAAAATTATACAAGAACCAAACAAACTGATTAGAAGTTAAATCCAATTGTTTCAAAATAAATGAACATCATTTGAAAGAATTAAACAATTAAAAGAACTTGTATTTGCATTATATTGTGAAGTGAGCCAGTTTTACTTTTTGGTCGGGCAAAATATAGTCGAATCTCTTTGAAAAAAGATTCAGCTAGAAACACCATCAAACTTTTTAAACCGGAAGCAAAATCGTTGAGAGTCACAAGCTTAGTTTTTTTTTTAATTACTTCACTCAAAAATGAGCGATGCTGAGGCGTACGAGACTGACGAGTCGGACGCGTGCTGGCACTTGGAGCTCTGGGCGTACTTCAAGAACTTGAGACTCATCGGTGGGCACTGCTGCTGCTTCTTGAGGGCCGCGACGGCGTGCAGAAGGACGGCGATCGGGTGACGTCCGCAGATGGTGTTGGAGTACTTCCGGAGATACTTGTGGAAGCCGGACGCGTCCAGCTGCTCGATGACGTCCATGCCCAGTCTGTCCAGAGAGGTGATGCACTCGTAGATCTGCGGGCCCATGGACTTGTCGAAGAAGGTGTAGTTGAATCTGGAGCCCCAGTGGCAGAAGTCGGACGAGATGACGAAGACCGCGGTGGGGTCCGTCAGGTACTTTGCGAAAATGTCCCCGTACAGCTCCTCCTTGGCCGCCGACAGGCTTCCGACCATCACGGGGATGATGGTGAACTGGTCCTTGAAGTCCTCCATGACCTTGGCGATGTAGGGCAGCTGCATTTCGAGCGAGTGCTCGTTTTCGTCGACGCCGACTGGCAGTTGCTCGAACTGCTTGGTGGCCAGCAGCTCTTTGTAGATCTGCTGGTCGATGGTCAGGTCGTAGAGGGGCGTGGCGAAGCGGGTGACTGTGCTGAGGCCGCAGCCGGACATGCGGTAGTGGTGCGAAGGGCCGAGGATAAAAATCTTTTTCACCAGGATCGGACTGATTTGGCGGAAGGCATAGGCAGCGCAGGCCCCACAATACTGGTAGCCTGCGTGTGGACTTATGATGGCCTTGGCCGGCCCGTGGGACAGCACGGCCTCGCCCAGCCAGTGCTCGAGCTGCCGGTTCAGCTCGCGGCCGTTGCTGTTATACCAGCTACCGGCATGGGACGCCCCTCGGACTGCCATTTCTTTCTCTTTCTCTCTCTCTCTACACCTAGAACAGACACACACACGTTTAAACCATGCACCAATTTCTGTTCTATATTTTTTTCATAATTGTTTTTTGATCAATTATACATCCGAGAGGGTCAATAAAATTATTATCCTGCCTATGCCACCGCCAAAAAAGTTTCTTTCAAATATAAAATTCCACACAGTCCGTCCAACGATATAATAAAATTTTATTTCTATTTTGTTTAAAAAAAATTGCTAGTTCTGTGATATACATAAAATCAACTTTAATTCAGATAGCCAAAGACGAACAAATGAGATGCAAATTTTGATCAAACCATTGCGTATCTATAAAACTAAAAAGCAACTCTATGAAAACAAGTTTCGTTAAAGGAATTTCAAAACACAACCATAGACAAAAAGAGCAAAAAGATAAGCCTGCATCGACGCCAGCGAGACAGACAGAACGGATGGAAAAGTGTCTAATTAATGCCAGAAGAGGCCAAAGTGTGTGCTCTGAGGGAACAAGTTGAGAAGGGGCCTTCAAAAGGCTGCGAAACGGATGAGAAAATCATACTCACGACACGTAAACGTCCGAACGCCGCCTTGTTTGCTGCTGCTGAAGATCTGCGAGATTTGGATGCAAATTGCTCGAACAGATGAACGAGAGGGCATTGAACCCCGCGAACTTTGAAATGCAATGTACGATTGGTCGATTTTTGCAGCAAGTCTAATCACTCGAGGTGGAAGTCCGCCATATTTGTTTTCTTCCAAAATTAGAAAATACACGCTAAAGGTCAAAGAATTTGAATTTCTTGCGCCCATTATTTTTTACCAATATGGAGACCGCAAGTCCTCTATTTTATTGAGCTACTTCGAACAAAAATAAACAACCGAAGGAAATCAGCTTGACGACAACAACACAAAAACGGGCAATGAGTGCTTGTCAATAATTTTTCTTGAAGCCTGACGATTATTTGTTTTAAAAATGAGTAGTATTTACATTCAAGAGCCACCTACTTTTGGAAAGGTGAGTAAAATTGTGCAATATACGTGTAATTTTTTTATCACCTTGGCTTTTTTCCATAATATCTGCATAAAATTATATTAAATTAAAAGATACATATTATTTAGCCGGGCATTTACGTATGTAGTTTTATTGTAGCTTCTGTGCACTTGTATTTAATTTTTTAAATTCAATTGAATGCTTTTACTGTATAATATATTATATGTACTGTACACCACACGGCAGGTGTGCTATATATATGTTACTAATTTTTCTATTTTTAGATAAAATTCGTAAAATTCTGTAAAAATAATAAATTATTACGTCTACATTTATTCATAATTTTATTTTGTCTGTAATATTTATTTCTAGGTCCTTTTAAAGACAACTGTCGGCGACATCGACATCGAGCTCTGGTCTAAAGAAGCGCCGAAAGCATGTCGGAACTTTGTGCAGCTGTGCATGGAGGGCTATTACAATGGGACCATCTTCCACAGGGTTGTCAAGGAATTCATAGCCCAGGGTGGTGACCCGACGGGCACAGGAGAGGGTGGCGAGTCCATCTGGGGCCACCCTTTCAAAGATGAGTTCCACTCGCGACTCCGCTTCTGCAGACGAGGACTGGTGGCCATGGCCAACGCTGGCAAGGATGACAATGGCTCGCAGTTTTTCTTCACCCTCGGACCAACCCAGGAGCTGCAGAACAAGCACACAATTTTTGGCAAGGTCACAGGCGAGACGGTTTACAACATGTTGAAACTGGCTGACGGTGAATTCGACCAAGTAATACCAAATAGTTGGTCACTGGTCGGAGGGTAAAAATTTTATTTTTCAGAACGAACGGCCAGAATTTCCTCAAAAAATTGTGAAAACCACGGTGCTGAACAATCCGTTTGATGATATTGTCCCCAGGGTGCATGAAAAGCAGAAATCAAAGAGAAAGAAGGACAAGAAGACGGGAGTGAAGTAATTTATATTTACTTTATAATAAATATTACTCAGGGTAAAATATTTAATTTTTTGCAGAGACTTCAAACTTTTGTCCTTTGGAGAGCAAGCTGAGGAGGATGAGGTCGAGACGGAGAGAGAAAATAAAAAATTCTCAGGCAAGAGCAAATCTACTCATGATCTTTTGGACGACCCAAAATTGAGCTCACAACCAGCTGTCGTGAAGGAAGGCGAAGAACAAGAACCAGAAAGTGAATCAGATTTAAGTGGAGACGAAAAGGAACAGGAGGCAGAAGCAAAAAGGTTTGCATCAAATTATTTACAATATTTTGCATCCTAGTAATTATTTAAATTTTTGCAGCTCTGGGGATTTAAGCAAAGTTAAAAATAAGCTTTCGTTGAAGAAATCAAGTACCCAGTCAAAAAAGACAAAGGACGATGATGAAGAACCTGACGTTGAGTATGTTTTGGGTCAAGACGAAAGAGAGGCTCGCAAACGCAAGGCGTAAGTAATGAGCAAAGCAAGGTTTAGCAAAAATTAATATTTTCTGTCATCAATTTTGACAGTGAAGAATTAAAGAAAGAATACGAAGCGCTAAGGAAGAGTATGAAAAAACCTAAAGAAAAGGAAGAAGAACCAGAGGAGGAGGAAAAAGAGAGCGAGGTCCTTCAGGCATACAATAAGGAGAAAGAGGAATATGAAAGTAAGAAGAAACAGCTACCTAAAAAAGGTTAGAAAGCAGTAATATCTTTTAAATAAATTTGATATGCAAGTCTGTAACAAATAAAGGAACTGACAGGGAGGCTTTCACCATGGCGTTGCTTGCTAAGTTCCAGAAGAAATTGGGGAAAATGAAGGAGGCTCAAAATAGTGATGAAGAGGATGAAGTGCCAGATGCACAAGAAGACGAACCAGAAGTCGCAGATGCCGATTTTGGAAAAGACGAAGGACAATGGTTGGAATTATTAGATGATCCTTTTATTTTTGTAGCTACAATTATATTATTTACCAGGATGTCGAGAAAACTGCGCTTCAACCAAAACGCTCCCATTCTTGCAAAAGATGCAAGCACTAAGGACGAGCGACCTGGAGATTGGTTTGATCTCAACGACCCTCGGAATCCAATCAACCAGCGAAGAAGGGAGGGCCACAAATCATCCAAAAAATAGTGCAAGTTTTATGATATTTAAAAATAAATCAGCTAAAATTATGAGGACAGAACTTTATTTCATTAATCACCTTAATTTTAGGAACTTAAAATTAAAATTTACTTATTAGCCAAAATGGAATAAATCAATTAAAGTATTTTTCAATCATTTGCAGTATTCGGTGAGATATGCATATTTGACCAGCTCTATGTGCTGGCAGAGCTTGATCGAGTAGCGTATTGTGAATTTGAAATTTTCAAGTAGGGTCGGCAAGTTGAGCATCATGAAGGCCTTGCCGTCTATGTCCTCTGCTTCTAGCCTCTCGGCCAGACAACAGCAGTCGTGGGTTTTTTTCAGGTACTTGGCCACATCTTCCTTACTCCACATGGCAGGGTTTGTTAATCCAGCTGTGGCTGCTGTTCTGTGCTGGCTTCTGTCGATCCGGGGACGACCCCTTTTACGCACTACTCCTTCCATGTTTTTGACACTGCTTGGTGGGGTCGGGAGCCTAATTTTGTTTGAACATTGATATCTACTTTAATTTTTTTAATGCAAACTTACTGAACCGAGTCTGTAGAAGGTCCTCGACGGCGTTTTCGAGCAGGCGTTTGATCATCTGCGCCGTCATTACCCCAGACCCAACTTGAACCAAGAAGGGCAAAGTTGGGAAGCTTAGCTTTCCTTGTGCGCATTTCGAAAGCAGGGAAAATTTTCTTCGCTGGCCTCTCTTTATACTCGGCATCACCATGACTAGACTGATCACTTTCATCTAAAATTTTACTAATTATTTTACTTCAAAATACCCTACTGAAATTTCTACCGTCTTTGCCATTTTCTGCAACATCTTCATCTTTCAACAACTTCACCTTACGTTTTCTTCCTCGCTTTCGAGTTCCATCAATAGGAACACCAGTCTTGGTTTTCTTGCTCCAATAGCTTGCTACAATTGTATTTTAATTAATGACAGTTGACAATAAGGAATTAAAATCTTACTGAATTGGCTTTTGCTCAACGTTGAGCAGCCCACGGGACAGTGCCCATCGTTGCAATCAGGCCCAAACAAATACGGGCAGCTTTGGAGCTTTTGGCAAACCGACTTGCAATACTCTTCAACTTGGTCAGCGGAAGTTGCTATGGCCACATTGGCACTGAATATCGCAGTTTTCAATCTAAAGGAGGCAAAACAAATTGATTCCCTTAATAGTTATTATTATTTTGATCTTACTTTGCTTTGAGCATTTCTATGTGCATGTTAGCCGGAACCTTTCCTTCGCAAGTCAATTCTTTGAGTACTTGTCTCGATTTGTAGGCAGTTGAAATTAATTGAGATAACACCTCTTTAAGCACAAGGGTGATCGGGCCGGGTCCAACAAATTTTGGGAGAAGAGCAATTTTTCCTTTGCTCAAGTATGGTCCCGTGAAGCATTTGTGATTGAAGTATATTTTAGGGCACCACGATGATTTTGCCGAGGTGGTTTCTGACGTTTTAGGAGCCGGCAGCTCCTCTTCTTCCAATTTAATCTTCCTGCAAACTTCTAGGTGGTCCATAGGTGGCTTAAGTGGGTATCCATTGCTGCCACACCAGCCAACTGGAAATATGTCCATGCTATCTGCACTCACTATAATTGACGGCTTCAAACTGAAATAAAATTATAATTTAATAATAAAAGCTTGAGATTTTTAGAGACATACTTTTCGTAACAGTCCAAGTGAACCCAGAGAAGGTGGCCCAGTATCTTGGTTATAGTGGCCGCACAAATGGTCTGATCATTTTCTATATCTATGGACTCGAGTTTTTGCCCCACTTCAAACCCCATGTCTGCGGCCGTCTCCTCTTTTTTCACAAAGCATTCTTTCGGCACTGCTTCAGACATTGTTGTGGTCAGGTACTCGTCCCAATCAAAATCTTCTTTCTCCGACACCCAGCCATTAGGGGGTGTCAAACTAATCTTGTTGGATTTGCTCCATCCTAATTTCAGCCACCAGTAGAATTTTAATTTTTTCTATTCTATTTAAATTTTACCAGCATAAAATATGTATGGATCTTCAGGGTAGCTGACTCTAATTGGAGGCATCTCTGTGCCAGATATGCTGTCAACCTGAATCGTGAAGTGGCCGGTGTGATACACATTTATAACTGTGGCTGGACAGATCTCGACGTGGTTCTGTGGGTTGACGGTCTCTAATTTCATTCCTTCTTTGAATAAAGTTTCTCCGAGAGTTGAATGGCTATCCATTTCACGTTCTCCCTAAAATAAAAAATAAATAATTCATGAGTTTGATGCTTTTGATAATAATTAACATGTTAATTATCAGCAAGGACAATCTTTACCTCAAATAAATCTGCAGGTGATGGAAGTTTCTTAGACTCTTGTTTGCAAGATTCCAAAATTGTACCCCATCCACCCTCATCGTCTAAAGCTGCTGATGTGATGCTTGGTGGCTCGTATCTGAAAGGCGCGCCTGAAACATTTGCACATTTCAGGTGTAATTTACTTAATTAATCGCAAAACATTTGTCCACCTTTCTCATCAGCCCAGCCTACTTTGAACAGTCTAGGTGACAAATAGAACAGCCAGAAATCTGGTACTGGATTTTCAGCAGAAAAGCTTTCAGGAACGTCATAGCGGAGATGAAGTCGGCCACCCACATTATCAATTATCTAAAATAGATTTTTAGTTAAAAGTGTAAATTGAACTTGTAATAAAATATTTCTGCCTATAAAATAAGTTTAAAAAAATTACCGTGGCAATCCAGTGAAAGTAGGGGTTGTGTTCATCCTGTACTTCAACGCGCATTCCCTTCCGCAACCGCTCGATGGGAGTATGACCCTCCTGTTTTAGTAAGGAAACGTAATTTCAAAATCGCAGATTAATTTTTTCCATACAGAGCTCAGGCATTCTGAGGCAACAGTTTGTTTGCCGGTAGTGGCTGTTGAATTTAGCAAATGCCAGTCTTCATCAGGGTAGCTTTCTTTCATGGTGGACGGTGGATCCAAAAAAACCTTCGACTCAGGGTCCGCTTCCTTTTGTTGCTTGCACCAACCTAAAGGCCGCACATCTACTTTGGTGATGTCGACCCAGAACTCTGGCATTCGTGTCTTTTTGGGCCCAATGTAGCTCATGCTAAAAATTTAATTACAAGACTTTAATTTTGCAGTTTTCAGTTTTTTTTAGTTATTAAATATAAATCTGTTTCAAATTAAGAAAGAAATTTAGGAATATTCCCATAAAAGAGCATATTTTTCTTCACCTCAGCAAAGCCCCGCAGTTCATTTTAATTGTTGCAGGCCAGTATTTGTTTTTATCATTTTTGTCCGCAACCTCTAATATCAGACCAGGCTGCAAACTGCTCTCCATACTCAGCTCCACCTGTTGTGGTAATTAATTATTTTATTCTCAAAATTCATTATATTTTAAAAGGAAATTTGTCAATATTATTTGTAGAAACCTACATGGTGGAAAAGTGCATGAGGAACCTCCTCTTCATTTGTGACCTCCAAATAATCCTGCCACACAAAAGCATCATCGGCTGAAAAAAGAAAAATCAGGATACAAAATGAATATTTTTTTTTTCAAAAGTTCTTGAAAATTTACATAATTAAAAAAAAGATTTATTTAATAATGAAAAGGATTATAAAAAATTTAAAAAAAATATTACTTAAAATTTAATTCTCATTTGAATAAAAAAAATATTAGGGAATAAAAAATTATTACCATCCTCGACGAACAGAGTCATTGTGGTGTATGATCGGAGTCAATCTTTTTGAACTCGTGACACTCTTGTGCAGGTTTAAATTTCGCACAGACAGCTGAAATTAAAATTCCTTAGAATTAGACTTTTACAAAGTGTGTATAAAATTATTGTTTTTGCGTCTCTTTTATTTTTGTCTTGGATTTAATCATATGCGCTGTGTTTTTTACTAAATTTTTAGAAAATTTAATTAATTCAAAGTTAAATTTTTAAATACTAAAGAAAATATTATGATAATTTTTTTCCAAAACTTCTTTTATTGTAACTTACCTTTGGGCAAAAATCGCTTTCCCTTTTTCTCTTTTCAATTCAAACACTATTTTCTCTTTAAAAATAGATCAAATTGACTTTAAAATCATGAAATTTCTAATAAAATGTGATCTAAATGGTCCTATTTGAAGGATTTCCAGTCGGCCAAATTTTGAAAAAAGAATCATTGTCAAAAGGTGTGTTAATAAAAGCTGGTGTGGGGAGAGCGAATCGCGAATGCTGAATGTCAAAGTGAACGCGGACGAAACGAATTTTACATTTTACGTTTTCAAGACAAAAATTTGACGCTGCAGCAAACGTTTTGACCTGATCGGACTAGATAAAAACCAGACTTCCGATTCCAACACTAGTTTACCTGTTTAGAAAATTTTGATTTGTGCAAAATTCAATCTAAAATAAAATGAATTTTTTACCCACTCACCGTGGAGAGCGGAGGATCCGATCAAAAATAAGCTTTTTTGCATCGACGCCGTACCAACAGTACAAAGAAATGCGCGTTTTATCTCTTAAAAGATTAGGAAAATTTTGTTGGCCACGCAAAATCGCAGAATCATTCAAAAAGTCAAACTTATTAAGTTATGCAAATCATTAAGAAAAAATTATTTAACGAAAAGAAGTCAATTCGAGTGCATTTATCATTCGATTTTGCACTATTCTTGTTAAATTTGCGCCAGAAAATAATAAAAAAGTGTGTTTTCCAAAATATCTTAAGAAATTTAATTTTTTCTGTATTGATTTTACTAAAATAATTTTTCTCATTGGGTACTGGTCTACTGGTTTGTGAAGATTAAATTGAGAGTTATCTCTTTATAAACTTCTTTGTGATTTTTTCTTCTAGATAGTTCTCAAGCCATGGTTTTCTTAGCAAGCTGGTAGCACTGCTGTCTTGTCTGAATCAGGAAATTTTAGCCGACAAAACAAAGCGAGAATGTCGATCATCGGAAGTAAACTTACTTTAGCCGGTTCTCGGACAACTGGCACGCCAGTCCGCACGCAAAATGGTAAGCTAATATTTTCAACTTTGGTCGCGAACAAAAATAAAAACGCGGTTAAGCGAAGTTTCAGCTTAAAATGGGTGAAATGTGAAGCACGAGGCCGCAATGCTCGCCATGTTGCGGGGTGTTGTTGCGCCTCCACCCACATACCCATGTGTGAAACTTCTCGAAAATTTTGACATTTCTGCAATGAAACTTGCAAAAATTTTGATAAAATTGTATTCGCCGCTGATGAAATGATTGACTTTCAGTCATGGCGGCCTGTTCCATCGCCAACATCGTCAAGAGTTCGCTAGGACCTGTTGGGCTGGACAAGATGCTTGTCGACGACGTCGGGGTATGTTTTACAAATTTTTATTAATACGACCAACAAACTTGAGGATTTTCTTTTGAACAAATTAAAAAGTTTATGTTCTTTATTAACGTTGCTTTCATTAGGACGTGACGGTAACCAATGACGGCGCCACAATCTTGAAGCTGCTGGAGGTGGAGCACCCTGCGGCCAAGGTTCTGGTTGAGCTGGCTCAACTGCAGGACGCTGAAGTGGGTGACGGAACCACATCTGTGGTTATTGTGGCAGCTGAACTCTTGAAAAACGCTGACGAACTTGTACAGCAGAAAATCCATCCTACCTCTGTCATTTCCGGATACAGACTGGCTTGCAAGTAAGTTTTAATTAAAACCAGCGACGTATACTTTGGCTGAATTTATGTAAAAATATTTCAACAAAATTAAATCACCATCATTGTTCTATATATCTTCCCATAGTCTTAATACAAATATTTCTGTTTCTAAAAGGGAGGCGTGTCGTTACATCAACGAACATCTCACAATTGGTGTTGATGAAATTGGAAAGGACTGCCTGATCAATGTGGCCAAAACCTCCATGTCCAGCAAGTTGATTGGAGCGTAAGTTGGAAGAAATTAAACCATTTTAAAGTTAATGTATAATTCATTATTTTAGCGATTCCGAATTATTCTCACAAATGGTTGTGGACGCAGCAATGGCTGTCCGCATCAATGACGGCAAGGGAGGCTACCTGTGTCCCATCAAGGCAGTCAACATTCTCAAGGCGCACGGACAGAGTGCCAGGGAAAGTGTCCTGATCAAGGGATACGCTCTCAACTGCACGGTGGCCTCGCAGGCAATGACCAAGAGAATAGCCAATGCCAAAATCGCCTGCCTCGACTTCTCTCTGCAGAAGGCGAAGATGAAGCTTGGTGTCCAGGTAATGTTTTTCAGATTTATATTGCTAAATAGTGCCTTTATTTTTAAATTTTTTCACATTATCATATATCATTCAAGGAAATTTATTGGTTTATAAAAATTAATTATTATTTTTCTTTATTTTATTTTTTTCTTCAGGTGCTGGTTTCTGACCCTGAGAAACTTGAGGCCATTCGCCAGAGAGAGTCTGACATCACCAAGGAGAGAATCCAGAAGATTTTGGCCACTGGCGCCAACGTAATCCTCTGCACTGGAGGCATTGATGACCTTTGCCTGAAGGTAAAACAAGTGTTTTAAAATTAAATAATTCTCAAATATTCAAATTAATTTCAGTATTTCGTTGAGGCCAACGCACTGGCTGTGCGTCGCTGCAAAAAGGTGGATCTCAAGAGGATTGCGAAGGCCACTGGTGCCACTTTCGTCACATCCCTCTCAAACTTGGAGGGTGAAGAGAGCTTCGAGGCTGCCTTCTTGGGAGAGGCTGCCGAAGTGGTGCAAGAGAGGATCAGTGACGACGAGTGCATTCTCATTAAGGGGTACGCTGAATTTAAATTTTCTCGATATTTCTGATCCATCAAACTTCAATATCAGACCAAAGGCCCGCACTGCTGCTTCTGTGATTCTTCGTGGCCCCAACGATTTTTACTTGGACGAGATGGAGAGATCGGTGCACGATGCTCTTTGCGTCGTCAAGAGAGTCATCGAAAGCAAACGGCTGGTGGCTGGAGGTGGTTGCGTTGAGGCAGCTCTGTCCATCTACTTAGAAAATTTTGCTACTTCACTGGTTAGTTTTAAACTTACTCCTAATTTGTACTTATTAATAAATTTGATTCATAGAGCTCGAGAGAGCAGCTGGCTATTGCTGAATTTGCACGATCTTTGTTGGTTATTCCAAAAACTCTGTCCGTCAACGCCGCTCAGGATGCCACCGATTTGGTCGCTAAGCTTAGAGCTTACCACAACTCGAGCCAAACCAAGGCAGAGCACGCCAGTTTCAAATGGTAAATCTCAATTCTTTAGTTAAACAATTAATTCTGATTGATTTTCTTCTATTTTAGGATGGGACTGGATTTGTATGAAGGTGTTGTGAGAGACAACTTGCAGGCTGGCGTTCTCGAGCCGGCAATTTCTAAGGTCAAGTCTTTGAAGTTTGCCACAGAAGCTGCGATCACCATTCTCAGAATCGACGACATGATCCGTCTCGACCCTGAGCGAGGTGAGGGCAAGAGCTATCAAGATGCTTGCAACGCAGGGGAACTTGATGGCTAAAGTAATAAGAAGATAAATGCCATCCGCATTTAATTTGCTTAAAACGACTACTTTCCAATTTTTTGTTGCACCAATCTAATTAAATTCCACTAGCACCAGATATGGCGAAAAACGGTTTTTCTTCGAAATCAAAGTTAATATGATTCAAATAAGCAAACAGACCTTTGCATGTTGCCTTAAAAGAATTTGAGGAAAAGAATCTTCGCTGGTCATTGCAATGTAATCAAGAAGAGCTGAAATTTTCTCCCATTATTTTAATCTATTGGTAATTCATTAACAGACGTCTAATAAATTATTTGCCCTGATGCAGGCCAACTTGAATTAAATTTTTATTATTTACTATTCCATACGATTTGTTTTTTGGGAAAACTAACCGAAATAAAACGTTGGTTTATTTTTATTTTGGTGAATATCACAATAATTCTTTATAAAGACGATTATCAAACATTGGTAATTCAGATACACACATTCATGGTTGCCCAGTCTCTCCGCACTTAAACACAAGCTGAGAGCAGCACATTGCTTAAAAAAAACTAGATACCACCAAAAATGCTATCACATATTGGTAGAGAGAGCAGATCAACCACTGGAGAATACTTCAGTGTTTCGGACGGAAAACTAAAAAATTAAAAAAGCATAAAAAAACTAAAAGAACAAAGTTTGAACGTTGAGCAATGGAACAGAAGGGGATTATTTAATTGATAAATTGTCTATGCACAAACACAAAGTATACATATATCTGGAAGACAAACAAGGAAACTATCAAAATTTATATCCTGAAGGTGTTTTTTTTCTACTCTGCAAATTTTTACTCAAAAAATGATTGACTTGTGAAAATCTGCCGGCAAAATTTTAAAACAATTTAAAACCCCACATTGAAAACGTTATTGGCACTTGCAGTCTCTTTCAACAAGAGCAAAGGTTTTGTTTTCAAAGCAAGTATACGTATCGATTATTTTGGAGATTTTTTGAAGTGATATGATGGCTGCCGACAATCCCACTAATTCTGGCAAATAAATTAAAGGTGGCCATATACTAAAAGCAGCGCGCGCGTAATTATATAGCACTATAGGTTTGTCCATCGAGTTAAGGCAGCACTAGTGAACTCAGATAAGGCGGCCATCGTTGGTTTCCTTCTGCTGCAGACGGCAGTAGGCGACGTTGTTGGTGTTGCCGTTGAGCTGGGTGACCTCTTCGGGCACCACCTTCTTCACAGGCTCTTCAGGCATCTTGCTGTTGGCCATCAGGGGGACCACATGTCCATCCTTGTAGCCAAACTGCTGCATGGTATCGGCGATCAGGCAGCGCAGGAAGACCAGGGCACAATCCCATGGAACCAAACTGGAATGGGAATTGGATAATTTTAGGATTAAATAAAAATTTGAAGTTAATCAAAGAGAAATAAATTTTAACACAGAAAATTTCCACTTTTAAAGTTAAAGGTTAAATTTTATTCATTTTATTGCAAGAAAGTGTTAATTTCTTGAGCTATTTATTCACAAGAATATGCTAAGTAAACACACTTAGTTAATTATTTACAAATTTAATGTGACATTTGAATAGAAAAATATTGCAAACTGACCTCTGTGTCCAGCTGATTAGTTTACTCCATCACCCCAAGGTTATAATAATTTCATTTTTCGCATGCAACCGCAAATTGAGGTTAGTAAAATACAATTTTAGTGTCACACAAATAATTTTAACGATGATTATGTACAGAGCCGAGAGATGAGTTTGTTTGCGAGCGTAACTTTTGTAATAAGCGCGTGATGTGTCAAAGTATATATTAAGAAAAAGCGATAATATGGCTGTGCCAAGCTAACACAAACATAAAATCTCATGAAATCTCATAATGCTACAGGACCAAAAGTGTACAGCAAACATGATAATGAAAAATATAAACGACGCGTGCGTGGAGTCCACATATACTAAAAAATTGGCTTTCAATATTACGTTTTTTTATTAATTGGTTTTCAAATCAATACCAAAATTTAAAAAAAAAAAATAGAACTGCAAGAAAGCTTAAACAATAATAAAGATACAAATGGCTTAATAAGAAATATTGATTTGCCAAAATATAAATTGTATGAAGTTTATTTGAAAACAAATTAACAATTAAAATGTACTCAACATTTTCTTACTTATATGCTCAAAGTAAGTAAATTACACCATAGAAGTTTTTAAGAATTTACATTTAACAACAAGTAACAGAGCCACAATTAAGCTGAAATAAAATGAGACTATGAACATTTTGATTTTAGTTGCAACGCAATAGCGCTTTATGTAATTAATAGGTTCCTTAAATTCACATTTTGATTGCGTCAGTCACTTTTCCCGTCAATATGACGCCCATTTAGTTGCGATTTGGCGGATTGTCTGCCCTGAAAATCGTCCATCGTCTGCGCAATGTGCAACACTTTGATGCCAAGAGTGTACAGCATCTTCAGTGGAAGGGTGCTGAAAATTACAAAAAAGCCAGCCACCGTTAAAAGCACAGAAAAACCATCACCATAAAATTTCCTAAAAAGCAACGAATTGAACACGCCGACAGAAAGAACAACTTTTTTACGCCAAAATTCTTATAATTGAACATGTAAGGCAAGCGGACAAATTTATTAGAATATTTTTTCAGTGAAAACACGTTCCATTCACATTTTAAGTGTGATTTTTAATAAAACGTTACAAAAATGTAACAAACTGCCTGGATTAAACAGGCAATGGCGCTTTAAAAAATTGAATTATTTGGCTTTGCTCTTTCCGATGGCAGCGTTGTTAGTAGGGCCACGGCCTTTAAAATGGTCCATAGATTGGGTCGTCCTCAGCAAACGGTCGCCAATCAAGTAAATCATTTTCCAGGGCATATATCTATGGAGGAGATTAAATTTGACGACCTTGGAAAGGAATCCTCAAAAAAATTCAGTGGAAGAAAAAACGTAAGGCGGGAGATGAAGCAAGAATTATTCCAAATTAATAAAGTAAATGTTTGCGGAGGAAACGCGCGGTTTAGAAAGGGAAGGCTGTGCAAATAATTACTCACAATTTGAGGGCCAAAAAGATGCGCAGGTACGAGGGAATCAGCAGCACCTTGTCCCTGGATCGGATCGCAGTCACAATCTCGTCGGCCACGTAGTCCGGCTCCAGGATTGGAAACAGCCTGCCGGAATCGTAAAATAAATGAAGTGATTAATTTGCCAACGCTTTGTTTGCCGCAAATTTTTTTGCGAGAGATATTGAGACACAGGCAAACCACCAAAACCAAGGTTACTAAACAAATACAATTTTTTAATATATCTTTTTGCCAGAGATGATTCGATACAACTGACGGAACATGTCTCGCCGCGATTTGTTTTCAGCGGGAGGTGGTTTTAGATTGGAATTTTTTTCTTCAGATGCTTGAGGCAAACGTTGAGCAAAAAATAAAAATAACGCCCATCACAAAGATTAAAAGTGAATTAACGCGGCATTTAAATATAAATTATAAAACAATTATTTTTGAATATTGGATTTACAAAAGTTTATTGTTTAAAAGACTAAATAAAAACAGAGAGTATTATTTTTTTAATGTTACATACATTTTACGTGCTAGGGCGTATAATTTTGTACACTTTTTTTTCGTTTGACCACACCGCAGACCGCACAAATAAGTTTTTATAACTTATACTTTTTCTTTCATCTTTATTTGAATCAAAATCTAGATATATTTATTGATTATATCAACATCAGCTACAGCAGAAATACTTCCTGCGCGTCTTGCTGGTCAAGTAAAAGCTTAAAATGTGAAATATTGAATTATTGCAGGCGCTGCCATCGAATATGACAGTTATTACTTTATTGTGTAAATTCCCACGCAACACGGTAACTTATGACTCCAGAGACAGTGAATATAAAAATATATTTTTTTTTTCAAAATTTTTAATCGAAATTTAGTGGATAATTTTAATGAAATATATTATATATAACTCAACGAAAATTACACAGATCAAAATATTATAAAATCATAAATTATATTTTATAACAAAAGATCTCGTTATTAAATCCATTAAGGAAACTGACCTTGACTTGACACCTTCGAACATTCCAGTGCTGATGTAGTATGGGCAGACAACAGTGGTGCTCACTCCTCTCCTACCCTCAACCTACACACAAAATATAAAATTAATTATTCCTCTTTTACTGGGTGTGTGCAAGAAACTGGAAAAATTCAACAATATTTTAAATTTTGGTTAAGAATTTTTTTTAAATCTTTTTATTTAAAATCATTATACAATATATGCTGTAGCGTTCTCAAATTAATATTCAAATTTTGCATAATTAATTCAAAATATTGAATTTTTTAAAATTGGAGGGTGCTAGAGATAAAATGAATACATGCCTCAAGCTCCAGTCGCAGACTCTCATCAAAGCCAACAGCGGCGAACTTGGAGGCAGAGTAGTCGACCAGTTTGTTTACGCCAACCAAACCAGCCAAACTGGCAATGGTGACGATGTGGCCATTGTCGGTTGCAATCATGTCAGGCAGGAAAGCTTTCGTTGTCTGTAAATTTTGTTCAAAAATGTAATTTATATTTTTCAAATTAATTATCAGTAATAAGTAATTTGCATAATTGAATTCACACAATTTATTTACAATCTTTTGCACTCACACTAATCAATTAGCAAAAAAAGGATTAAAAATTCAGATAAAAGCCATTTAAAAAAAGGCGTGAAAAAAATTTTTGTTTTCTTGGAAAGAAGGTAAAAATGAGCAGGAATAAATCATTTGAGAGCTATGAAATTTTCTTTTAAATTAAAATATCTTCTTTTGATCGAAATTTAATTTATCAAAACTTTCTGGAATTCAATGGGTTAATGAAGTGTGTAAAAGTGTAAAAGAGAGCTGCGATCTTAAAATTTTGGCACTCTTACTCAAGACTAGTAAATTTGCTGCACTTCGAAAACAATTTCTGGCACTCCTTGTTAACTAATTTTATACCCATTTTAACGTTTTCGGCTTGCAAATTGAAAGATTTTTCATTTCAAGCTCCAGTAGGCGCACCGTCAGCGGTTGGGATAATTGTTACGGTTAACCATTTCACGCACCAGAAACCAAAAAACAAAAATTGGCTGGCAAAATAACAAAAAAACAATTTCACAAGCATCTTGCGAAATGACATAATGTGAGAAAAAGACTGACGCACTGTAGGCATTTATTTATTTACTTTTACCATGAAAAGAGCACTTTGTGTAACCTTGTCACTTGTGACTAGCGCAAAAAATTTCTTTTGGTGCTCAACAAAAAAAAAAACGGTACACGCTAGACTTTGAAGCAACGCAAATCGTAGGCAGTCGCTTGGAAGTTACAAAAAAAAATTGAAGTTGTCTGCCATTGAGCAAGAGCAGCGCCACGTTCGAGGATTGTAAATTGAGCTGTTCCCGATTTGGCGAACTGATTTTCAGGGTGAGACCAATAATTTTACCGAAAATTAAATTAATTAAATTCATTCAATTTAATAACAAAAAAGAAATTAAAATTAAAAATTCCAAATTAGAAACAATTAACTTCAAACACAAAACAAAACATTTTTCCAAATTAAAATTAATTCAAATCAAAAAGTAAATTCAAATAAAATAATTAATTTAATTATTTAATTCAAATTAATTAATGTAAATTAAAGTCAATTAAAATCAAACAAAGCTAGACGTAAAACAGAACTTTGTAAAATCTATAAGGCACCCAATAAAAGCAATGCCTCCGGCTTCTTTAAGATTTGAACAGAATAAGAGTGTTTCTTTTGTGTGTGTGCATTCCATCAACATCAACGCATTCCATCAGCGCTCTTCCATCGCACGCGACGCACTTAGCCCGCAAGTTGGTTAGGTGCGGAAGAGTGTATTGGCGATTCTGGTAAATATCGGCAAACGAGATGTGTCGTCGCTCTCACTGCTAGCGCAACGTTTCCCCTACGTCGTCTCCATTTCACTTATAGATTAAATCGTGTTGCAAATTAATTCGGAAATCAACGTTAGTTAAAAATATTTAAATCAGAAAACTGCAAATATAAAATCAGAGACATAGAGAATAACCCCTAGTATTCCTATCCGTCTCAAGCATGGGGGCTCGGCCAATTAACGTCAAGAACAATTTTCCGTTGATTTAAAACATTATACGAGGTCCAACTTTTTATACTCGCAGCCCGAGAATTTATAAAAAAAGGACGCCTGTACGAAAATTCCGTGGGCAAACTCGTGTTATTTGATCTGAAATGGAAGGAACTTCAAAATCCTCGTTTGCTTTAGAAGCACCCCAGGGTGAGCCACCCCACGGCTCCCAAGGGCGGATGAACTTTTAGTTCGTCCAACAATCACCCCTTCGGAGTGGACTTGTGACCAAAAGCGTGCAGCGAAGTCCGAGGCGCCGCCAAAGACAGACACCGAGGCCGCCGCACCGCCAGCCAGTCATTCGACCCTCGACAGGAAACCTTCTTTTCACCTCCCACGCCAAGTTCGACAATAATTCAACACCAAATTTGCGAACAAAATTCGGACACAAAAATTGTGAAAAAGTAATACGCGGATTTATGCATTTGACCTCCAAGTAGAAGCAACACCACCAGAGGACGAAATTCCATTCAAGAAGGAATGCCACAACTCAGAGGCAACCAAAGTGAATGACGGACAGTCTTCAAATTTTTGCTTGATCGCCGAGTGTACACGCATTCGCTTGCCCCAGCAGGTAGCGATTCCGGCTTTGCTCGCAAGTTCGAGCGGAGCCAGCGTAACGTGCATTATTTTCCGAACAATCGTGTGTGTGAAAAAACGAAAGTGACCCGCCGAGGCCCACCTTCCAGAAGGGAGAAAAACCTCCAGCCGCACAATTCTCCCCAAGAAGTGCACCAGGAGAAGAATTCACCCGCCACCCTCGACATCGTTCACGGTGGTGGAGACCACTCGCTCCAGAGGAGAACAACGCAAGAGCAGCGTGACGAGCCGCGCAACCTGCCACAGCCGCACCCTTCGCCGCGTCCTTCTCAGCAGCACCCCGAAATTGGCAGGCCAGCTGATTTGCCATTTCAACCCACGGATGACAACAGTTCAAGTGGAGAACCCCCCAATATCACTGTTGCCTCGTTGCGACAGTAGATTAATTGGTGATTAATCTCGCCAAATGTGATCACAAAGATTCACGGCAAAACAACTTTTTCACACGTCGTTGGCTATTTACAAAGGCCCCCGAGGACGACAAAATTTAACTTCACAAAAATTTCATCTAATTAAAAAAAAATTGGCAACACATTAAAAATAATTTCAAAATCAATTTCAAATCTAATTCGCAGACGCCTAGTTGTGTCGCGAAAAATAATGCTGCCAAGTAGCGGCTAAAATTAAAATCATCTGACACCGCCCAGTTGTGGTGCAGAAAAAATTGCCACTGTAGCAATTTAAATTTTCAAAGCCAACACTAAAAAAAAGTTTTTAAAATGTTTGTCTCAAGTCCCAAGTCAAAATTTTCCATTCGCCTAGTTGTGATTGCGAAAACTCTCGTTGCCTAGTCGCGACTAAGAGAGACGGTCAGTGAAATGCAGTTTTGATTGCCTGAGTAGCAAAAGAAAGTTTCTGAGCCCTCGTAGCTCTAGAAAATTTCACTGACCACCAAGAAAGAAGAGCTGGAAGAAAGAAGAACACGAAGACTCCCGATACACAATTTTTCATGAATTTAACGTAAAATCATTTCGCCTCAAAATTTAAAATTTAACTCTTTCAAAAATTCCATTCAGAATTTTTTTCAAAAAGGGGCGGATATTTGAGACCAATAATTTTACCGAAAATTAAATTAATTAAATTCATTCAATTTAATAACAAAAAAGAAATTAAAATTAAAAATTCCAAATTAGAAACAATTAACTTCAAACACAAAACAAAACATTTTTCCAAATTAAAATTAATTCAAATCAAAAAGTAAATTCAAATAAAATAATTAATTTAATTATTTAATTCAAATTAATTAATGTAAATTAAAGTCAATTAAAATCAAACAAAGCTAGACGTAAAACAGAACTTTGTAAAATCTATAAGGCACCCAATAAAAGCAATGCCTCCGGCTTCTTTAAGATTTGAACAGAATAAGAGTGTTTCTTTTGTGTGTGTGCATTCCATCAACATCAACGCATTCCATCAGCGCTCTTCCATCGCACGCGACGCACTTAGCCCGCAAGTTGGTTAGGTGCGGAAGAGTGTATTGGCGATTCTGGTAAATATCGGCAAACGAGATGTGTCGTCGCTCTCACTGCTAGCGCAACGTTTCCCCTACGTCGTCTCCATTTCACTTATAGATTAAATCGTGTTGCAAATTAATTCGGAAATCAACGTTAGTTAAAAATATTTAAATCAGAAAACTGCAAATATAAAATCAGAGACATAGAGAATAACCCCTAGTATTCCTATCCGTCTCAAGCACTTCAAATTAAAAAAATTCATCGAGCTGACCGAGGTCAAGGTTGGTTTTTTAAAATTATAGAGGAGATTTTTTTAATAATAAGAAAGTGATATGTGGCGATGCATTTTTGCTTAATGCGTTTTTTTTGCGTCAGAATCAACAACACCTTGCGGCTGCAGCAATTTTAGCGGTCAAGATTTGGGATTATTAGCCTTTTTTTTGGTACTTTGAATTTGAACAAATTCCGTCACAAATGAGCTATTATTATTTTTTTTTCAAAGATAGAAAGGTCAATGCTAAAACTCAATACGTGATATAAGCTTATGTAATTAATTTTTTCAACTAGAGCGCACAAATTTTATTTGTCCTCTAAATAATTCTATGAAATTTGATAGATTTTGACTGGTTTATAAATCTGCATTGGAAGGTATTGCAGCTAAGAATTTGAAGAGATATTTTCATACCCAGAAATGCGCCAGAATATTGACGTCAAAGGTCTTCTTGATCATCGAGTCGGGGCAATCCAGGAGCCGCTTTCCGGTCACAATGCCAGCATTGTTGACCAGAATGGTGACCTGTAGACAAAAGCGGAGCACGTGTGCTATGTGATAACTGCCAGACGGGCGAGTATGTTACGCAATGAGATCTAACCTTGCCAACTTCGGTGCGGACCTTCGTTGCCGTCGCGTACACATCTTCGCAGTTTGAAATGTCACACTTGTAGCTGTGCGCTTTGCCACCTTCTTGGCGCAACATTGCGGCCGTATCGTCAGCGCCTGCAAGCAAAAAAAAGTGATTTTTATTAATAATTGTGGGAAAATAGAGATTTTTTTATGCTCAATGTTATTTCGTTCTCTTTCAAATGTGCCGAATTAAAAATTAGAGAGACATTAATAGTTCATTCAAACTTCAATTTCATCAGTAAAATGTAATATAAAAACAATAAATAATTTTTTTTAATTAATTAATTAAGGACAACAGCCAAACTCCGATCAAAATTAACAATGAGCGTGGTTTCCACATTCGTGATCTTTCATGATTTTTAGTATTATCAATCCTGGAGCTTAAAATTTGTTATATATCATTAATTGTAAGTTGTGAAGTCACCTTAATTGCTGAAATTATTTATTTCCTGCATGCCTAAAAATTGAATCATAAAAAATAATTTCTCATATTTTCAAAAGATTATCCTTTGCGCAGTAAAAAAACAATTAATAATTCATTAATCACAGTAATTTGGAGTATAATCAGTGAATTTCCCTTTTTTGGTGCGACGGACGACCTTGCCGCTGAGCAAATTAATAGATTGCAGGCCTTATAATTATCGCACATAAAAAAATTGGATGCAGAGATATAATGTTATTATCGAAAGGTTTCCTTAAGAACATCACCGGACAGACTCGACACTTATCGCGCGTGCTTCAAATGCACAAGCGGATTTTTTTGTTCAGCCAAGCATGCCAAGGGCTAGCAATACGAACAACAGATTTGGAAGTTCGAAGGATGATCGATTGCGAACAAATTATGAGCAAAATAACGCAAAGAAATCTTTTTACAGCGGATGCATATTTTTAGCACGTGGCTTTCCATTAAAAACTGGCTTTTAGAACAGCCAGGCCTCCATTAGTAGAAGAACTAGACCAAAACGCGTATAGTGAGGTAACTCACGTTCTTTCGCTGGTATGAAAGTAGCAGACAAGAACGAAATAGTGCAATAGGAGCAGTGAAATGTTTATGGACAAGCTGCGTGTTTTTGTAATTGGATTATATTTCATTTGCTCACATATAAAAATGACATACAAGCTGTTTTCTCTATTTCGATTTACGAGGGGAGGGAAATATTTTCTCATTATCAATCCGAGCAAAAAAAAATTAAGTCTCAATAAAAGGTTTAAAATCAGAAATGTTAATTAACTTTCACTAGAAAAATAACTGAAAAAGCTTATTAAAAATATTAACTTTAATGAGAAAAAATTTAAAACCTTTTAAAAGTTTGAAAATCAAGCGCTAAAATAAAAGAAGAAGGTAATCAAGATTGATTTTAAAATGATTTCCCTAATTTTTATAACTTGAAATTTAAAGTGTTTTAAGTCTCCTTGTACTTTTTTGCTCTGTTTGCCCTCCTCGTATATCAAAATCCAATTAATATGTTGCCAGACAAGTCGACTTACTTGGGTAATTATCTTATAAAATTTATTACTTAGTCTTTTCCTCCCTTAAACTGGTCTTTTTACGATTTTTGCATAACTCGTTGCCCATGAAATCAAAGACCTTGACGAGAACACACGTTAAATTTTCTCTCGTCTCTCTCCTTGGGGGAAGAAGAGCGACTTTAGCATTTTACGCAGACAAGCCAATTTATCTTGATCGTATATTTATAGCAAAGACCACTGAGTGAGAAAAATTTCAGCACTGTCCACGCGAAGGTCGCACGTACACAATTTCCTCTTCATAATATATATGATGGCGTATAATGGGCGTCGGTCCGAATATTTATTTTTCTATTTAATTTTTTTGCCACGACCCCGTATATGCTGCATTAGAATTAGTGGTCTGTCGAGCATCGTTGACCTTGATTTTGAAAATCCACTCGGACAGCAAAAAAGGGCCGCAGTCAGCGCGCGATGCGTTCTCGTAATTTAACGCGATTTCATAATAATACACATAACGTTTGCGCGCATATATTTCGGCACGCACGCTGTTCATATACCTCGGTCGCGACTCTCACTTTTCCTCCTACCATTTAAAAGTTAACAAATAGCGCTTTTCGGCTCGATCGGTAGGTCGGCTGGTCCGCTGCTGGGCAGACCTTACCAAAATTTGGTTCATCAGCTCTTGTCGGACGTAAGAGAGAGGGCAATGAGAGAAGAGGCTTGAATTATTTTCAAGCCGGTCCGTCTCGAGGATTATGCAACGCGCGCCTTGTTACTCTTTTTTTCTTTTGCACTCACGCACGGAATTAATTAACTGTCACACGGAGCAAAATTAATGATCGTTCAGAGAGAAAAATCAAATTAAAAACGCATTTCTAGGATCTTTTTTCTTCTTTTTTTTAAATTTATTCAGCAGAGTTGTGTGGGTTTTCCAAACTCCGCAAGAAAAACCTGTATCATTTTGAGCTATTTTAGGGATTGTTTGATGGTCGTGGCTAGTTTTTGACAATGGATGTGGTGGAATAAATTTTTGTGTAAGAGGCTTTAGAGCACTATTCGGGATTCCCTGTAGGCGCCTCGGCAACGTCAAACGTTGTAATTGTTAAAAAAAGCAAAATAGAAAAAAAAATACGGAGAGAATCGAATGGCGTTTCAAAATATCCCCGACTAAATAAGAATGGAAATTTTTTATGCATTTAATTCTAATGATAGTCACTAAGATTACTGATTGACCACGCAATTATACCGAGGAGAAATTGATCTTCTCGCACTTCAATGAGATGTTTATGTGCATTACATTCTTGTTTAGGTCGGTTTGGAGGGAAAGTTTTCTCTTTCTATTTTCTCTTTTCTGCGCAGAAATGCAATGCAAGAACATTTTAATTTGCGAGAGAAACTGATTAGAAAATAATTAATTATATAAATCGAATGCATCTCATCAAAAGAAAAATAAATTTTCATATGCACATAAATTTTGTAATTTTTTTCTTGTTGAATGCTAGAGGACATAATTCTTTTGGTGAAGGGCAATTGAAAAAAGTTTAGCAGTCTTTCGTGAATTGATTCTCCCTTTGTTCTCTTTGTTATTTACTATGGCTTCAGCCTTCAGATATTGCAAACCCACCATGAACAGGGAAGAGAAGAACTTAAAACTGCTTCTCTCCACTTCCTATTTCCATTCTCGGGTAACCTTTTACCCTTTATGTTTTTTACACATGTATATCAAATGTGCTGCATCATCCACGCTTCTTGTTTATCTATATTTTCGCAGAGAAGCTTTAAAGCATTAATGGAAAATAAATATAAGTTTTCTGTTAGAAAAACGCACTCGAATAAAAATATGCTAATTTTTCTTTGCAACAGCATAACCGTACAATTTGCGAATCGATTACACAACCTACTTGCAGCAGCACACGCCTTTACCCAGATTGGGCCTAATTCAATAAAACTTTTACATTCAAATGTGCCTCCCTCTCGCATTGCGATTTTTTTCATTTTAATTGGGGTCAAGTTGCAAGTGTAGAATCACTTCCTCAACACAAACAACCTGAGTTTTGGGTTGATAAAATTATTGTAGAAGCAGCAAATAATGAGTCATGTCCGTCCTTTTCCTACGTGCATTGGCAAATCGATAGATTTTCAAATGAGATAATCAGCCCGCGGCTAAATACCGCGATGAAGAAGTGCGGGGCGATATAGGACGCGCGGCTTGTTTATCAGTTACCATAACAACAAAACTGACCCGTCGCTTGAAATAGGTCAACCAACTTTGAAAAATTTCTACGATTGTTCTCTTCCGAAGAGAGTGAAATGCCCACCAAATTCAACATCTGCGGCTCGGCCAGTGTATGCGCCGACGGGTTTTCGGGCGCTGATGGACCGTCGTGTGCTTCATTTCAACCTTTGGTAAATTTATACATATTGAAAGCAAAAATCACTTTTTTTTATATAAAATACTAAAAATTGAATTAATTTGTACTTTTAGTAGTGATTTCTTTTCAAACAGCATCAAATAGCAAGTGTTGTTAAACAAAAAAGTATGAGTCAAGAAAGATAGTAATTAAATGAAAAATTATTAATTTCATAATGAAGAATATAAAGTAAATAGCACGTTCTTTAGGAATTTAATTCAAATTCAGTTACATTTGCCTGTTTTTTTTAATTGCCTTGCGAAAAAATTAACTTCATTCCTCATGAATTTTGAATTTTATACAGAAGGCCTATCACGCATGGAAATTTGAGAAAAAAATAAGTCAACTGTTCGGGGAGGATTTATCTCGACGGAGCGTCCTTCAGGACATAAATGACAACTATGTCAATTGTAAAATAAATTTGTAATATTTTGAAAAATTAATTAATTTCTCTTTCCAAGTGGACAACTTGACGACGAGTTTGTTCGAGAAGAAAGCACGCGAGTTTCTCGAGTCGCAAATCGCGCCGGTACTGCTGACCGCGCTGATGCAAATGCAGGAGTTGAAACCAAAGAATAGAGTCGAGTGGTTGGCAGACTGGCTGACACTGCACGATCCGGCTAACAAGCTGCACCACGACGAGAACCACTCTCGGAAAGCTCTTCTCGACCACCAAGTGCAACAATACTAAAGAGGCAAATGCTTTTTTGCATTTTCATTCTTTTAAACTAGACAAGTAGTGACTATGTTGTCATTGTTAACTTTTGACAATGACCATTTCATGGCAGACAAAAGAAAAACTGTATATTAAAGGGTTCATTAAATAAGAATTTCTAAGTAAAGATTGGTAAAGATTGTGGGCAAAATAGTGGCATAGTCAGTACAAAATATTCTTTTTATTTAGATATTACAGCAAAATAATACTATTTCAAAATATTAATAATTTTAGTTTTCCTTTCTTTCCATTTTTATTTTGGATGAGCTCTTAGATGAGGCAAAGTTGCCCTGCATCAAACCCATTAATAATACTATTTAAAAAAGATTTTTTAAAAGATATATAAAATTTAATTATTTCAATGTAAACAAAAAATTCATTCTAGTCTAAATCTAACTTTATTTTTAGAAATTTTTACTTTCTTTCCCTCTTGTTGGTGCTTTTTTCCAGCTTTTGCTAAAGTCAGCACCTTTCAAAGATTTTCTTCTTAATTTAGAAAGGCGGCACAACAACGCATCCCATTATATTTCCAACCTTTTCTCGCAACATCGAGAACATGCCTGACCATATCAAAGCAAAATAAAAAAAAAATTGGCACAGAAATTGCTGGCCTATTATTCACTTTATTTGTGAAAATTGCCTTGTGCATATAATAGAGGAAATCCTCTGCGCTCGGACTGCTCTTATTAGGCGCATATGCAAGCACGGCCAACGCAGCATCCAGCGCGTGTACAAAGGAGCTGTAGGAGAGAGAGTGTGGCTCCGAGTAAAAGTACAAAGGAAATTAATGGACAAGTAGAAAAGCCGAGAGTCCTTGCTATTCATCGGGCTACAGACCAACCACCATCGCAGCTGATGCCCGTTACAATGCACTTTTCTAACGCTGAATGATAATAATCTGTGTCAAAAATAAAAACATGCCGGTCACGGCTGAGAAAAGTGAAAATGCATCACCAAGCAAATTCTATATACTCACTATCAAAAGTGAATTGCGCATTTTGTTTCTGCCAATGAATCTAGTGAAAAAAACTTTGTTTAATTATTATGATTAAAATCATAATGAATAAATTTTAAATCAATTCTTAACCAAAGTGGTAATTTTTTTATTTAATATAGATTTTTGAAACCTCTAGGAAACCGCAGAGAAGCTTTCGGTTAGTTGATTGTTGAGATGACTCAACTGTCTGAATGAAAGAGAAATTAACTGAAACTCTGCATTTCTGGTTCCGCAACAACGACTTTGTTAAAACAGAGTTAAACGCATGATCACCATGACAGTTATTAATAGGAGATTTCTAACACTTTGAACATATATAATTTTTCAATTATATAATACAGCTGCATCAGTGTGAACTTTGCAACCTTTTGTGATTCGGCGATTTGAAGGCCTCGAATACAACAAGAGAATAATTTGCAAAAAAAATTCTTATGCAACGTGCTGTTTATTTTTGTTAGGTTTTATACCCTCAAGTGAGGCGGTTGAATCATCCTGGAAAGGAAATGAGGCAACAACCCGCAGCAAAGTGCGGCTGTGGAGAAACAGGCTGCCTGCCGTGGTGGTGGACCGACCGACCGACCGGTTTATTTCTTTCTCACTCTCGTCAGCCAGCCTAGTTGTTCTCTCTCCGAATGCAAAAATGCACTTTCATTTCGCGCAACACGCACGGTTGCAGACGCCTGCATGCATCTCTGGAAAGAGCGATCAGACGGAAAGCCAAACGAAAGCACCGCTTTTATGGTCAATGTAGATTAAACACCGAGTGCATCTATTTGCTTTTGCTCCAACATTGACACTGCCGCTTGGTTGTCATTTGTTAGCACCTCCAGCAGTGTGTTTGAAGACAAACGCTTTGTTTGCAAGCGGAACTGTATATTTGTAGACAATTTATCAATTTACAAATTGACTAAACAAAGAGTATTTAGTAAATATTTTTGTGAAATGCATATAAATTATATTTTCCTTCCAAGGGTCAATAATATATTTAAATCACCCTGATATTTAAATTTTTTTCCATATATTTCAAAATAATTGTTGCTAAATATTATAAATTAATTATTATACGTATTATGAGATGAAATAATTTACTACGCACTGGCGATCTAAATGTTTAGATTGTGCAAAAGATTAATGTGCGTGCGAAGATTAATAATGATCCCTTTGTTATACTTACGGAGAGTAAGGAACAGCAAGTGACACTAAAGAAATGTAATTTCGGTCGCGATCAAAGGACCACGTTGTTATCTTTACGCAGCGGGAGACGTGAAAAATGGTATTGCAGATCAACAGGTGGTGCGGCTTGATGACAACCAAACTTTTCGCGCATCCGCCCATGTGAAAGGCTTAACAGCACCGACACAATGCTAATTTTCGCCGCACATGTATGTTTGCATGCGAATTAAGACAAGTAGTGGTTTCTCACAGACAGCAAACAAGAGCAAAATATATAGAGCAAGTGACAAAGAAGAGAAAATTGGAACAAACACGGATGTAAAATGAGGAAAATGCTAATTTAATTGTTTATTAATTATTTAATGTGAAAAGTGTAAATGTGCTCCCTATATCAATAATAAAATTTACAAAATTACATTGATTATTTTTTTAAGTATTTATTTTCTTATCATGAAGGCGACACAAGAGTCATTTTTTTAGCACATTAATAAATTTAAATTATTAGTCTAGGCAGTGATTAAAAAAATTACAAATTTAATCATTATTAATTATTAAATTTATATTTTTTATAGTAAAAGTATGTAAATAACAAACTATTATAATTTTATTTTTAATATTAAAAAAGCTTATTAATTCAGATAAGAAACCTTTTTTATTCACGACAATATCCACAATTTAAATATGCATTTTTTTAATCCTCCTGAAGTAAAAGAGCAAGCTCAAAGTTGGTTACATTTTGCATTTAAAATTGATTATTATAATTTTGTTAAATAATTGACATTTTACTGAAGACATTAAATTTTGCAACTTAAAACGATCAAAATTCATAAATTAAGTATTTTCAAGTCACTTCAATTAATAATAAAAATTGTTCAAAAACATTTTATTTCATTTATTTTTTTTTTGGCCTAAATAAATACTATTATTTAGAATGAGAACAGCTAAGGGATTAAGAAACAAAATTTCTTTGTGGTGTGAAGACCAATAACGACATGACTTGGTCGAGTGCAGCCAGCTTGCTTGCCTAACTGTTACTGCACGGTGGAATCAGTGAATGTAAAATGTATTCCACCGAGCGGTTTACTAGAAGAGAAATGTCGTTGCGCTCCAAGTGCATTTTCCTCACAGCTCGGCTAATTATTGCCGCAATTGCTACTTCAGCGTCTGCAACGCGTCAGGGAACTAAATTAATCCCGGACAGGATTACGATAATCGTGCAGCTCAATTGAAAAATAGACAATAAAATCATCCGCCGTATTCTATGTAAAATTTCCAACCAGCCACGCACGAAAAATAATTTTTCTATCAACCCTTAAATTATCTTGTGAGCTCCGCGTCAAAAACTTAATTTTAATTTTCAAGATTTTTCGAATTTTATAAAAGTCCTCTAGTAATCCAAACGAGTCACTTTTACAATGCATGACCTCATTTTGAATAAATATCAAGTGCGAGAAAGATGAAATAATAATTTTTCCTCTATTTTGCCGCTGCATCTCTCGCGTGCAAGAGCAAAGTGTCCTCGTTTGCGTGCACTTCCTGCTTGCTGGAGAGGCTTACACGAGTGCGCCTGACCTCAAATGCACACAGAGGTTGATGCAAGTGCAGCAGAAAGAGGTGTGCATGCTCAAGAAAATGCGCTGCTTGCACGCTGCCTAATAATTATCAGCATCATCTTCTCTCATTTTACTACTTTTCCAGCAAGTGTGCACATAATGTGGCGGAATTTTTTTTTTTAGAATTTTTTTCCTTTCTCGCGAGGCGCCGTTGCTGCAATTACAATGAATTCCTATGGAGCTATTACAGTTATTACTTTTATCGCTTATTTCTACGTGCTGGATTAATACGAGTCTTATTGTTCGCTCACGGCGCTGGAAATCTCTCAAATGATATTATATATTGCCACTGCTTGTTTGACTTTATGTGTGAAGGGAAACCTATACTTTTCAATTGCAAAATAAATTTCTTTTCGTTTATATCTAATACAACATCCATAAAAGTAAAAAAATGCGAAAAGTTTGAAAAAAAAGAGTGTGAACAGTTGAAAAGTTTAGAAATAATGATAAAATGTGTAAATTTGAGCTCATTTTAAAAATCACGATTTCATAAAATTGGGAGTACAATAATTGCGACAGCAGAAAAAACAGAATTAAAATGTTTATTTTTAAGAATCACGCAGAGTAATTTTTCAACTTTAACTTGTGTCATCATCTCTGTTAGCGTAATATAAAAATGATAAATTTTGATTATACAAGTATCACTTTAACTTGAATTAAGAAATCTGTTTTAAACAAAAAACAAGAGCACTTTGTAGCGACCAGACCTTCATTAAGCAAAATTTTTTTTGCGGTGCCACTTTAATGATATGGGTGTATGTATGTGCGGTTTGCGGAAGTCGGCTCAGTGTTGGTACTGCTCTTGAAAAGTCCTTCAGTTATTTGAGCACATTTCTCTAGACAATTTGTAGGCACGTCCTAATTTTGAATTTTAGGACGTCGACTTTTATTGTGCAGTCGAGCTCTATTCACAACGCGATGAGATTGCAAATTTGCGTGACGATTCAATAGCACTCTTTGTGTTGCCCACCGAGAGAGGTGTGAAGAAAGTCCAGTTACGGCCAAATAAAAAGTATCAAGCGCAACAAACCGACCAACCACTGCATCGCTCTTTTCATCTCGGCGATAAACACCTTCAGCGACTGAAATCAGGATTGTATCACTTCGCGCCTACAGGAGAAAACGACCATTCAGAAGACAAACGGCAATTAAGTCGTATACACCTCTGGGAAGATGTTTAGATTCCTCCATGATAACAGCAAAGTTTGAGTAATATGAAACCGTGGTATAAAAACTATCATGCAGGTGCTCATTTTAGTTAATGAGTCAATTTGTGCCTGCGTTTTTCGGGAGGAGTGCCGCATCATTGTTTCAATAGCTCTTTAAATATTAGCCCACGTTTGAGAATTAACGATGTTTGTCTTTGTTAACTATAGGACGAGCGAAATTCTAGAGCCTGCACGGTTGTGTCAAAAGTAAGAGAGGTCGTGCATCATGGCAGAAACGATTCTTGAAGTTAAGAAATTAAAGTAAATTTAATGTAAAAAGTAATAAGCACGAGTTTGTTTCAACGTCAAAAGATTATATTTGGAAGCAAAATATCAGAAATAAATTATTATAATAGTTATAATTGTGCTGATTATAAGTTTTATTTAATCATTTCATTACATTTTTTAATACTTTATTTTAATTAAATATTTCACTTTTTTACCCTTTATTTCTATTTAAAAAGTATATTTTATAATGTATAAAAACGAATAAATAAATGAAATATTATTAAGTTTATTGTTCTATAATAAAAAACCTTAATTGATGGCATAATATATATTTCCCCCCCTCAAAAATGCTAGGCAGTCCTTTTGTTATTGATAAATGAAAATAAAAATGAATAAAATTAACACCTAACCTACACCAAGACGAACCAGTTTGGAGCTGTTTAGTCGCATTTGACATTCACACTTATTATTGCTGCTAACTTACAATAAGATTGAAGGCGAGCACCTTTGCTAGTCTCGTAAGCGGATATGAAGCATCCCCGGTGCGGAAATGTTTGACCTGCGACCTTCGCCACCCGCACGCAGATAAGGGTCATTTTACTTTTTCTAAACGATTTACGATGCACGGCGCTTGAGATTATTTGCGAGCAGTAAAGGAGCTTTCTGTGTCAAAAGAGCGTAGAAAGTGTTCTGATTTAATGCCGAGCGTAGTGCAGAGAGCTATGAGCGATAAATAAGTAACTAATATAGTGAGGAGACGCGCGGCACATAAATCCTTTTTTGCGGAGCTGCAATCAACAAGAATTGTCTGTAGCACTGTTGATCATTCGAGCAAAGAAATCGTAGAGCATTTGATAAGATCTAGAACTAATGGATTTACACGGTGGCTCTTATCGTAAAAATCTGCCAATTTTTTTAATAATATTTTTTACATTGAAAACGAGCAAAATTAATTAATTATGTTTCTGCTGAGTAGACTTTTTAAATCTTAATTGACTTAGCTGGTAAAAGCAGAATATTTATAATTTTATTTATAATTATTATTTCAAAATTCAAAGGTTAGTTTTTAATGAGGAAATCCGAGAAATAAATTTTTGCAAAGCTAAATCTTTAGCAACTGTAAAAAATTGACAAGTCAATTAATGTGAATGAAAAAAGAAGCAAGGTTTTTTTAGCCAAAAACAATGCAATTATCTTTATGCAATTTCTAAGGCAATGAAAACGCTGATGGCCTTAAGATTTCATGAAGATTTTGACGGAAATAGTTACAAAACATCCGCAATTTTTTCGGCACGCAATTTTTTTTAAAATTAATTTAAGCTGAAAGACCTTGCTGCTGTCATGCAAGCAGAACTCGAATAGCGCAGGGTGAAAAATCAAAGTTCAATAAGATAAAAACACTCACTATACTACTAATCGCTGAGGAGATCCCTTATCATAAATGATGGCGATAGGTCGCAACTCCAAGGTTAGTTGTGTGAATGTGGAGGATGCGTTGCACACTTTCGAGAGTTGAGCACAAACAAGATAATGCGGTAGATAATGTTGATGAAATTTGATGAATTAATGCAAGACCAAACTAATGCAAGTTCGCACAAAGTTACCAAATGCTTAGTTGAATTGGCATTGCCTAAAACGAAATTTTTAAAAAGCTTTATTTGGAATTTTCTATGACTAATTTCTATTAGAACTTCCTTATATTAGAAATTGATTTCATTAAGCGGCAGATTGATTTTTTTCTTTTGCTTCGTGGCAGTGACTGATTTAACGATTCCCTGGTTTTAATTTAATAGGAGCGCAGATAAAAATATTTTTGATTTATTTTCAATTCCTATATAAAGCAATGATTGTAAGTTTATGGTCAGCGCAGGCATGATGTAATGAAAATCAACACCTGTAGTGGTCCGGCGAGTTGAGCGCGCGCATAGCAAAGCCACAGGCTAATTTCACCGTCCGAATTTCTTCGTCCGTAACCTTGGCCCCCTAACAGATCTCCTGTTATGCTGTGTATTTGAGCAAAAGTTATATAAAAATTATGCCGGCCGCCGTGAGAAAGCGAGTCTTAAATTGTATACGCGACTGACGAGGGCCGGTTTGCCGCATTTATACTCTTTCGCGCCGATTCCTGTGCAGCCTTGGCCTGCAAATAATTATGCAGCCCGTGTGATTAGGAAATAGATGAAATTGGAAGCGGAAAGTCTATTAAATTTTGGACAAACACACACTCACATTGGGAACGGTAATTAAATTAAAGTGTGAATCCATATGCATCGCTACATCATTCTTTTTGATTAACTCGCAGCAAGCAGTGAAACAAATCAATTATTATCAGTAAATTTTATTAATACTTTCTATCATTTCACGCACAATAGAAATTCTATACGTTGGATTGCACGTGATTATTTTTATAGTATATTTCGTTTAAAATTTAAATGTTTAACCAAATTAAATTAGTTTTGCTTAGAATCGTTAATTAATAAAATATATTTTTATTTTCAAAATTTATTTATTGCAAAAGGAGTGATTGGTTTACTACTGATTTTTTTTTTACATTAAAAATTAAAATTGATTTAAATTGTGGTCGTTTATGGACACCATGAAGAAACTGAGTTGATTCTTTGAGCAGATATAGGAGAAATATTTATGTGTGAATTGTCTCATCGCCACTATTGCTGACTTTTGAATTTGATTTTTTTTTTTGCAAAATCTTATACACGCCAGACAAGATCTCCTTGACCACGAAATAAGCGAGATCTCTGTAGACACATAATATATGCAATTACTCTCCAGTAAGTATTATGTGGAAAATAATACAGAATCGATTACGATAAAATTGAAATGAAAATTGGCAGACGAGGAATGTGAAGGCCAATTAAGAAGACGTCTTTCTAAATGCTTTTTGTCGATGCTTTGGAACGTATGAACGCGATGCACATTTGAATAATGAACTGTCTGCCTGACAGTTGAGTTAAGTGAAAAAATTAAGTGTCAAGCGAGTTGGATGCTGCCAGCTTAAATATGAATGAACTTTTGTCGGTTGCCCCACACCCTCCATTGCTCCAAGGTTCGCCGCAAATTAAAAGACCACGCGTAATAATTTATTGTTGCATTATTCTTTATCTGCACCACAAAACCTCTCTGAAATACCTTCTTAAAAATTCTTAACTTTATACAAACTATAAAGTTTTTTTAAAACAATTATACTTTTAAAAATAATTGCATGTTTTTTTTATTAATTTAAGAGTCATTAATCAAAATATTTTGATAAAACTATAATAAAATATATGTAAATAAAGTGATTAAATAATATTATTATTTGATTTTGATTTATGATTAAAAATTTAAATTTAAAATTGTTTTTTTTTTATATGCAGCTGGGATAAAATATATTAGCTGATTGAACATTATTGAAAATCTCTACTGTTTTGCGCCAAAGAAAAATCACGATTTACTTTAAAATCACAGGAAATGTTTTGTCCGCAGATCGATCGCGAAAGCTCAAACGAGGAAAGAAAGGACTCTCCGAGTATCAGGGCGACGTGCAGTATTGCAATATTGTTTTGGACAAAAAAACTGGAGTATACAGAACCGGTTGGTCAAATTATACACGATTGCCGCTGCGTTCATTTTTCAACTATGATATTCTAAACGGCGCTGGACCTGCTACGATACGCAGACGTTTAAACTTGACCAATATAAATATATCCAGCAGCTCGCTGGCATTTTGTGCGTCACAAGATTGGGACACACGACGGCTTTTTGATTGCGTTTGCGTGGTTTTTTGGCCCCAGCTGAGACGGCGAGACACACTAAAATGCAAGGCTGCACAGCTAACTAGGACAATTAGCACCATATCTCTATTAAAAAGTAAAATCTTGTTTTGCTGTCTAATATAATTGACAGTTTTTTTTAAGTGTTAAGATATAATTCGTTTCCATTATGATTGTGAAAAAATTTGTGGAAAAAGCCAGTCCTTTTAAATATTGACAAATTGAAAAGACAGAAAAATATTTTTTTATCAGTTATGAATTATGAAGTGGAATATAAGAGTAAATGAAAATTATATAATTATAGTTAATGTGAAGCACACAAAAATAATATAATACGATATTTATTTTAACCCTAAGTTTTGGTTTATTATTTTAATTATGATATTCATGAAATAGAAATAATAATTATAATAAAAAAACATAAATTTTTGGTATCGGTTTTTTTCTCTAGATATTTTTAAAAGTACGTACCTTGAGTTTTGAAATTACTCAATCGACTCAATCTTACTTAAACTAATACATATTGTTGTTTTATTTATATATACTTATGAATTTACGCTTAACTGAATTGGAAAATATTTGCTATATCAATCAAACTTGGAATTTAAAATTCCATATAGTAACTTTTGATACATTTATATGTTAAAGTGGCACTCGCTGATATTAATTTATGATGTGCTTTTGTTCTTGCTTGGGCAGTTCAAAAATTTAAATTATTAATTAAATAATTTAGAAAATTTTGTTGATATATAACTTGTATGTTATTATGGATGTATTTAAATGTCACAGATACATGAGGAAACGGAGAATTTGGTGTTGAAATGTACGGTCAACATTATTCAAAGGTTTGCAATAAAAATACCAAAAAAAGGCACTCACCCTGCGAGTTTATGTCCCAAATGACAACGGTTGCTCCCAGCCTGCTAAGCTTGGTGCAGAGGATCCTTCCGATGCCATTGCCGCCGCCGGTCACAAGGGCGATTTCGCCCTTCAGGTTTTGTCTCCATCCGGCTCTGTAGTGTCGAGGGATGAGGTTGATGATGATGGACTCGATGATATAATACGCCGAGAGGAGGAGGAACACGAGGAAATCGACCAGGCCCTGGAACATGGTTGCGCTGGGTGGCCGAACGATCGTGTGTATTCCGACAAATCAAGCGAGCCCGTGTGCTGCTGTGTTGACGGTGCGAGTACGTCGAGGACTGCTCATGTGTCGGTGGTTATAGTGCAAAACGAGACGCTCGCCACGCTATGTAATTTGCTGTCTCTTTTCATTGAGCCCGCCACATGCAGTCGGAACGTCAGCGATTTCCAATTGGCGCCGCCAGGGGGCAGAGAGCACCAGGGCAACATAAGAACAAAAGGCAGCCCTGAAAACAATATGGCGGCGTCGACAGGTTGAAAGATGTGACTAATTCCAGCTTCCAGCTTTCCCGTCACTCTTCTCACGTTTTCCAGTTCCTTTTTGCATTTTGGAACTCATTCCCACTCCACGTCGCTGCAACCCTATCGTTTCAACGTCCCACCGCATTATCCCATGCTGGAAGATGCAGAATTCGTGTTGATTTTGGATGTTCGGGCGCTGCAACTGCTATGTTGACATTTCCGTCGGATACATGTTGTACGTTACCTCAAATTTTCAATTTTCAGGCGAAGCAAATACATGGTTTCGTCATTTAAAAATTGTATTATATAATCGATAATCAACATTCTTAAGCTTTATAAATTAGTTAATACATATTTTGTTTTTTCCATTCTACAATTTAAATTTGCATGCCATCGGCATATTCACTCACATCATCAAGTGAAAGTGATTTATTGTCAATCTTCATTCAATTCAGCATTCATACTTAATTTTATGATCCAGTGGTTCCAATTTTTTTATATTCTTCTTGAAATTTTCCGTTTTTCTCTTTGTTATATCTAGTCAAAGAGATACATAATGATATATTTATAATATCTGACAAAAAATACATAATTCATTTTCAATTTTTAGGCACATGATTTAAAGATGTCAGAGTGATGTTCGAGTCCAACAGTCCGGAAGAATTCCAAGTGGTATTAGCCTGGGTAATATCCTTCTCAGTTTTCATTATGTTGGTCGCCTTCTTTGGGTGTGTGTGCGGCTGCAAGAAGAAAAATTCTGAGAAGTATGAAAAAATGAAAAATTTATCATAACTAAATATTCTAAAATAACATCACATTACAGAGACGAATGGATTGGTAAAGAAGGGAAATTGAAGCCTCTCAATAATTTAGACGATGACATTTTACCTGCAACTGATGAATCCCAAAAAGCAGCAAACAGGTATATTAAATGAATAACAGGAAATGCCAAAAGTTAATTCATTCTTTTCAAGAGCTTCGACTGCCAATAGGAGTTTGCCAGATATTCCAGTGAATGAAGTTCGAGATGCAAACCCTACTTGGGATGCAAACCAGCTCACCATAACCTCCGACAACTGCTCTGGGCTTTATGCGACTGTTGGCGAAAACTCTAGCTTGGAAACGGAGACTAAGGCAAAGAAGAGGCAGGCGCCAAGTGTGCCAAATCCAGGAAATAGTGCTGGCGATTCTGCCTCTGGCAACTTGAAATCTTCGATGCATCAGTATGCCAAGCTAAGCCATCCTTATGCTCGAGTCAAACCTCCACCTCCTAAAAACGATGCTCAAGCGTTGTCTAGCATTGCAACGCAACCATCAATTGAATTTGACAGCTCTGAAACCACACCTGGCACTTTAGAGGGGTAAATTTAATTACCAATATTAAAAATCATCCATCTCTCTAACTAATGTCTAAAATAATGATTTAAAAAAATTGTTGAGCTAAATAAATTTATAAGATTATTCTAATTTCAGTTCCGAAACCACCCTCTCATCCAGCACTGATCAGCCAATCCCTCCTCCTAGGACGAGACGTTCGTCCTCTCAAAGCAATCTTTTTTACCCGTCGAACACTCCTCCATTAGCTTCTGGGGCAAGAAGTGCTAATACTTTGCCATCATATCCATCCAATTCGTCATCAATTCTAATGCCGGACTCAATTCCTGCTGGTCCTGCCATCATGGGAAAGATTTCTGCGAGCCAGGAACTTCCGTATATCACACTTCCTCTTGGTACATCAAGTTATTAAATATATGTGCGTTTTTTTAAAAGTTTTTTTAAACCAGATAATATTTTACGTCACAACTCTGTACCTGCCGATCTTCAAAACCATGCTGTTGAGGAAGAAAACGCAAATGGGGTCGATGAAGCCAACAATGCAGCACAAGAGGAGGCAGACCAGAGAAACCAAGGTGCCGGGCATTTCAGTGGAGACTCTCAGGATTCCAGCAGTAATTTCCAAAAATTACTTCTTAAAATTTCTGTTTGACATGATTTTTTTTCTGCAGAGGGCTACACCAGTATCAGTGTGAGAGAACCGCTTGCAAGCATCCGAGCCCAGACAGCTGGTCAGCTAAGCCGCCGGACAGATCCTCATTACGCAACTGTTTCTGATGATTCAGGTAGTTTAAAAAATATTTTTGAGGAATTTTAATTGAATATAACATGCACAATGCAGACGAAATGTATGCGGCCATTGAGGATAGGACTGGCAGTGATACTTATGCCCAAATTGTGCCATTGCCACAGCAGCAACCACCTCCACCAAGCGTGGATAGTTTGAGAAGCACTGTGGCAGAAAATCATTCTCGACAAGGTGAGTGATATACTTGAAACAATTTGAATAGGATCAAAACAAGACAAAAGTAGTACGATATATTAAGAAAGTATAATAATAGAAGTTAAGTAACTTTTTCTTTTGATACACAAAATAGTTGATCGATGTTCCACGTGACTATGCCATATTTTTTTTTTTATCAGCAACCTGCAATTAAATTGACATGCCTGCAAACAAGAGATATGCTTTTTTACCTTACAAGCATCTCCAAGGTCATTATTTTTTATTGTTTTGACATCAGCAGAGATTTTTTAATGCTATCAGTGTTCAGTATAAAAACTTATCTTTCTTAATTTGGACTGTTCATTATTCTCCTTGAGAATGCGAACTCTTTTATCACTTCGCTTAAACAATAATTTTTTTCAGCATCCTCGTCAAGTGCTTCAAGTGCAGCTGTTGTAGTTGGGTCCCCTAAGCCTGAAAAGAGGCAGGCAAACTCTCCCTTGCCGCCGCCACCTGCAGTTCCTCCACCTAATATTTCCCCTCCTCCAACTCCTACAACTCTCCCCCAGAGCAAACTAGATGAAATGTATGCAAAAGTCAACAAGAAAAAGAACTCAAAAGAAGGCCCCCAGGTGGTGGCCAAGGAGGGAACATCTCGGGACTCGACAGTCCAGATCAACTTTGACTTGAACTCTGGCTATGAAAGTCTACCTAGCAACAGGCCTCCTTCAATGGAGCCTAATTACGAGTCTATGAGTTCAAACATTCTTGACACAGACTCTGCTTCTGGTTATGCTGTTGTTGCACCTAAAAAAACAGACTATGCTTCGTACGGTTCGACGAGACAGAGGAATTCTTTGCACCAACCAATTGATCCCAACTATGAGGAGCTTGGGCTCAATAGAGATCCCTCCTCTGTCCAAGAACCTAATTATGAGATGCTGAATGGCGAGCCAAATTATGAGCCTTTAAAATCTGTCTCCTCAACTCAGGACGACCCCAATTATGAGAGTGTGTTGAGCCTGCAAGAACCTCCGTACGAACAATTGAACCAAACTTCCGACAGTGCCGGTGATATTCTATATGCAACAGTCAACAAAACTAGCAAGGCTACATAGATTGCAAAATGAGACTGTTTAAACTTGAAGATTTCTTGACACCAACTTTTTGGCAGCCAAATATTTAAATATCTTGTGATACAACTCAATACTTGTGATTTTGTGTTAAAAAGCTGTGAGCTACTATCCAACAATTTCCTATTTGAAGCAATGTGCCACTTGATCACATTCGTAGACTTCTTTTTGACGAGCGTTTCTTTAGGCATTTCATTTTTTTCCACTTTTGCATTTTTCTTATTACAACAATAATATTTGATTCCAAACAAATTTTGGGCGGTAAATGTGAAATCCCATTAGAAGCAGGATGAGAATGACTGGAAATATTTAATTTTTATTTGGCGCTCAGTTACTCAAGCATTAATAAATGGCCTTGTGTCGGTTACAAACAAATGGAATACATATATTTTGAAATTCAAAATATCTGCTCAACTAACTTATTGCATACAAAATGAATTAAAGAATATTGGAAGTGTATTTTTTGTATTTCACATATTTATTAAAAAGAGCCCACCTGGATTGTTGCTTTTGAGATAACAAGCGCGTTGATGAAAATATCTGATATTAAAACTAGAGAGATGGAATTTGAGTTTATAGGGTTTAATTAATATATTTATAATCAGTTTATATACTTGTTATGGACTATGATTTTACGATTTATGAAATTTTAGTTCTGTAAGCTAGAAGAACGAGGACGCATCTTTTGTAAAACGTATTCACTAAAATGGATCTTCTACGGCATAATCTGCAAGTCTTTCAATCATTGCTGAACAAATGACCTCTCTGCACACAATCAATAACTGTCACCTTATCTTTCCTACCAATTAGATTCCACTTAAAAATCATTCTGTTGATGTACCCTAGAGATATTGCACCCTCAAAAGACAATGGGTTGCTGCAAAACTAACCAATCTGAAAATGACTTCTGTGCTGTCAGGTTAGTTTTTTTGACTTGTGCAATCTCATTATTTTAATGTTTATATCTTGTTATTTTAGGTTTGGTTCTGCTTGCCCTTGTTGGGCTAATCCAAGCTCAGGAAAAGCGCCCAGACCCTTTGGAAATTGAAGGGCTGGGCATGGTCTTAGGGATTTTCAGCAAATCAAGAGATAAACGACAATATGAGAGCTACAGAGGAATTCGATACGCAAAGTCTCCTGCCAAAAATGTCTCTAACCGACGCTTTTTGGTAATTAAGCTTGAATAAATGTATTAAAGTCATGTCATAATACATCCTAAAAAATTTAACCTCAGCCGCCAATTCCCGAAGAGCCCTGGGGAAATGAAACTGTTAACGCTATTTTTTTTGGCCAACACTGCACTCAAACCTCTCCACTGAAGGGTGCTGATTTCTACACATTGCATCGGCTTGGACAACCAGACATTGATGAGTCAAAAGCTGATGGTGATCTGGAGGATTGCCTCTTCCTTAATGTTTATACTCCGGATGTAAATATTCAATTTTATATAACATAAATTCATAGACGTGTTAATATGTTAATATTCATTTAGAGAGCACCAGCAAAGCCTCTTCCAGTAATGGTATGGTTTTATGGAGGTGCTTTTGTTGATGGTTCGGGTTTGATTTACGGTCCCGATTTTTTCATGGACCATGACGTTGTTATTGTCACCCTCAATTATCGCCTTGGCCCTCTTGGTAATCCATATTAATTGATTATAAATGTCCATAATAATAGCTATTCTATTTATTAAAATAATAGGTTTTATGTCATTGGAAATCGATGAGATTCCTGGCAATGCAGGGTTGTTTGATCAAATTGAAGCTTTGAGGTGGGTTAAGAGCCATATCCATAATTTTGGAGGTGATCCCAACGAAGTCACAATTTTCGGAGAGTCGGCTGGCGCATCAAGTGTCTCTTTCCTCTCCATCAGTCCACTTGCCAAAGGTGCAAAAAAGCTTTTTATTTTCCTATAATTTAGTTGAATTTATTTCAATCAGGTCTCTTCAACAAAATTATTGCTCAAAGTGGAGCTGCCATGGATGAATGGACTGTCGACAGGGAACCTGTATACAATGCTCTAGGAATTGCAAAGATAGCTGGCTGCACACAGGAAGAGGGTGATCCAGCCTTAGTTGAATGCCTTCAAGAAGTTGATCCTATGGTTTTGACAAAAGCTTATAAAAATGTTTGGAAGGTTCGTGCATTAATTTTGCGAATGTCTCGGACATTGTTTTGAATTTGATTTAGGTCGAAGAAATTAAAAAAGGTAAAACTGGATTTGGTGGTTGCACACCAGTTGTGCAAACAGCCGGTGAGCAGAAATTCATTGACAAGGATGTGATGGAGTATTGGAATGATGAAAATTTTGAGAGTGTCCCTGCTATTTATGGAACAAATCAACACGAGGGTACATACGTAATGGCAAGTATGTTTAATTCACCATTTAAAAAAAGATTGATATAGTAAACAATTAAAAATTTTGTAATAGTTGCCTATGCTATGTTCTTGGAGCCAAACAACCTGCACAATGACTACAACTTCCTGAAATATCAGTGCATTGATATTTTCTTACAATTGTTTGGCATTAAAGACGCGGGATACTTTGTAGCTGATTCTGTGGAGTATGAGTATGTTGGAATAGATAGAATGGGAAATTTAACTGCCATGATTCCAGGAATGGTTGATGTAAGTTTTGTCTATCCATTTCATTCAATATTAAATAAAATTTTCTTTACTAGTTCAGCGGCGTTGCCTTTTTGAAAGGCGCGTCATACGAGAACATGAAGCTGCACTCGAAATTCGGCAAGAGCTACTGGTACACTTTTAACTTTGAGGGATTTGCCACACTTTGGCCTGCAATCGCAGCTTCTGTCTGCGTACCATTCCCAGGAGGTAAAGTCGTACTTTTTTCGTTTTTTTTCTTGGTTCCATTTTCATTATTAATTAAGCTTTTCTACCTGTTAAGCAATTATAATCAAAAAAAATATTTTTAAACATAGGCGTTTGTCATGCAAATGAGTTGTTGATGGTTTGGAACATACCTGTTCTGGGTGCGACTCTTACAGCAGAAGAGGAACAGCTTTCCAGGAGAATGACTAAGATGTGGTACAATTTTGCTAAATATGGGTAAGAGGCTGCCTACCGTACATATATGGCTATTAATATTTTTACATGCTCCATAATATCATCACCAACAACAAACAATGCGTAACAATGAAACATGTTTTGGTTGTTTTTCTCTTATTGTGATTGAGTGCAGTTAAGTTGTACCTAAAGAAATAACAATTCAAATATAATTTACGCAGATTTCTGCCCCTCGTACACAACCAACGTTAATTATTTTAAATCATAATTTTCTAATTCTAACTCTTTTAGTGAACCAAATCCTGCTGAAAACCCTGTTGACGATGTACCTCAAATTCTTCCATGGGACGAAGCAAGCAACACATATATTAGATTTGGTAATAATGGAATTGAATCCCCTGTTGATTTTACCAAGGAGTACACCATTGCACGAGATGAGGATTTCAGCATTGGTTTTGATTTGGAGAGCAGTCCTTGGGGAAATTTATGTTGATTAAGAGCAATTGATTGAGCATAATTATGCTGCTTTTGTATTATGTACAATATTAAATGCAGAAAAATTTACAGACTTCAATCTATTGAATAAAAAAATCTGGAAAAAAAACATCACTTTTGTTATGCATATTGTATTTTACATTGTGCGTTTTTATAATCTATTTTTTATGTGGTGCGGTTATATTTTTGTTTAACTTAAAGAGCTTTTATTAACAAATAAATAATTTTTGAGTCTTAGAATTATGAATCTTTTGAATCTTTATAATGACAAAATAAAACGTTTTATTTTTCAAAATAGCTGCAAAATAGCCTAAAAGTAACTCAGTACATCATCTATTCAAGCCAGGATTAAAGCTTAATTTAATATGTAATTTAATACATAAAAGTGACTAACCATCGACAAAATATTAGTACATAGATGTATCAAAGTACTCCATGCAAACAATGAAAATCTTTGCTATGGCACGTGTCGTATCTTTGTAAAATCTTTTCGCGCGCTCAATTTAAATCGCTCAGAGGAGCAACCAATCGGGATCGCGAACAGCTCAAAGGAGCGCTACTATTCGCTGAGCTAAGGATATTTACGTTTCAACGCAATCACTCCCTTGATGTCTTCAACACAACCAGAACACAACAGAAAAAATAATTTGTTGTCCGTTCAGCCAAGGAGTTGCCTTAATTTCACAAGTTTAGCTTAATTATATTGGTTTATATTTACTTGCTAAGTTCTTGAGTTTTTCGTGTATCACAGGAAACATAAATTCTAAAAGATGGAAGCACTCAAAGCTGAAATTGCTAGGAAAAGGAAAGCACTAGAAGATAGCAAAGTTATGGTATGTATTGTAAACAAAATACATAAAATATTTTACATGAGTTTTCATTGTTTATATTTTACTTTTTTATGTTTAATGTATATTTAAATATACAAATGAATTTATTAAAAATTGCTCCTTTCTCTTTTATAGGCTCCGGGGCAAAAATTCTTCAAACGCAATGATTTGCTGGCCAAACAGGAGGACGAATACTTGAAAAAGCACTTGTCACAGTATCAGCCAGAGAAAGCCTCCAAAAGTAGCCAGAGCAAAGAAAGTAATGCATAAATTATTAAATCTTTATTGTTTATTGTTATAATTTTATTGTTAATGCTTCTGTAAACACTTTCCTTAATTAATATAACTTTTTAGGTCAAGGAGATGAAGAATGCGGACGGACACTTCCAAGAAAAGAGGTAATAAGGAAGCTGCGAGACAGAGGAGAGCCCATATTTTTATTTGGAGAGACGGAATTGGAGGCTTTCAAGCGACTCAGAAAATTGGAAATTCTTGAGCCAGAGATCAATAAAGTAAGAGAGCGTCTGAATCAAACAAAAGCAAATAAATAATAAATAATCTTTATTTTTACAGGGAATGAGAAACGACTTTCAAGCAGCCTTGGAAGAAGTTGACGAAGAGTCAGTTGAAGAAATTTTGCGAAATAAGAAGAAGAATGGTGACAAAGATGGTGACGAGGGACCATCGAATGAAGGAGACGGAAGCAACACACCCCGAAGTGACGATGAAAGCGAGGAAGATTCTTGGGAGAAGATTAAAGAGGTTGCGGCCGAACAGCTTGATAAGGGCAGCAGACACACGGACATGGCAATTATCATGAGGCTGCTGAAATTTTTGCTGAAGATGTGGGAGGATGAGCTGAAGGGCCGAAGGCAAGCCGAGAAGTCGACCACGAAGGGAAAAAATGCATCAGCCATGTTCAAGCAAACTAAACTCTACCTGAGGCCCTTGTTTTCTAAATTGAAGAAGGGAAAACTGCCAGATGACATCTCAGACAGTCTCACAGAAATTGTGAAGTTCTTGCTAGACAGGAATTATTTGAAGGTATTAATTTATTTGCAAACCAACAATTCATTTGCTAAACTAAAGATTATTATTATAAATATTTTTTTTGCTGCGAAAATAATTGACATGTTTTAACCATAAACCATTTTTTTATGTTCAATTTAATTTGAAAGAAAAAAAAATCATTTTGTGAGTCGATTTAATATTATTCAATAATAGAAAAATTTTCCAATTTTGTTCATAAATTATATTTTTTGCACCAAATCTAGTTTTGATTCTCATCTGGTTTCAGGCAAATGATTGCTACCTTATGATGGCTATTGGAAATGCACCTTGGCCGATTGGCGTTACTATGGTTGGTATCCACGCAAGAACAGGTCGCGAGAAGATTTCTTCGAAGAACGTTGCCCACGTAATGAACGATGAAACACAAAGAAAGTACATTCAAGGGCTTAAAAGACTAATGACCAAATGCCAGCAGTACTTTACCACTGATCCATCCCGGTGTGTCGAATACACTAAGTTGACATAAATTGAAATGAAGGAATCTCCTACATTTCTATGTCAGTTCTCTGATATAATTGTAAAATTGGTGAAAAATTGCAACACAAAAGTTACTGAAAATGCGGATAAATTAAGGCCACTAATTTTATTGTTAAAATTTTGTATATATGAATGTAAAAAGATTTCAACTTTAATGTCATAAATAAATTGCTAAGGTGTAATCAAAAGGTATTTTAATTTTTGTTTTGAATCCTTTAATTTGTTTTAAATTCTTTAAATATCAATTCAGCGTAAAAATTATATTTCACCAAAGATTTGCATTCATTAAATTTGTTAAATTTAATCGGAATGGATTTCTTTGAATAATAAGGAAAAAAGATTTTTTAAATTTTGAAGGAAAAAAATTGTTTCAAATAAGAAGTTCGAATTCTCGCGCGCGCCACGAGCCAATGAGGGCGCCGATCGGGGCGTGTTTTACTTCGAGTCTTCGCCGTAGGAAGTCATTGATCCGGGGCGTTTTGTGGCGACTGACGACAGCAAAGTGGAATTTGTGTGTTGTGTTGTTCGGGAAAATGGGTGTAACGATTTGAATTTCGGCGATTCCCCAGTGTTCAAGCAGGTGCATCCGGAGTCGAGAGTGTTTTTCGCCCAGCCGAGGATGCGTGATTAGCGGCCGAGGGCACCACAATGTTTCGCTGCATCCCTATTTTCAAAGGTTGCAACCGCCAAGTCGAATATGTTGATAAGAGGCACTGCTCGCTGCAGACGGTGCCCGAAGACATTCTGCGCTACTCCAGAAGCCTGGAGGAGCTGCTGCTCGACTCGAACCACATCAGAGACCTTCCGAAGGTGAGCAAACGCACCCGCAGAACCCTGGAAAAATTCCCTACCCAAAATACGAACGCCTTTTTGCAGAACTTTTTCCGCCTAAGCAAGCTACGGAAGCTTGGCCTGAGCGACAATGAAGTCCAACGGCTGCCCTCGGACATACAGAACTTTGAGAACTTGGTCGAGCTGGACGTGTCCCGAAATGGTGAGTTTCGTTCCAAAAATGGACCTTGCGTGTGCTTCCGCAACATCCGGTTTGTTATTTTTTTCATCTGACATGAAATCCGCCTGACTCATCCGCCGATGATGATTCTGGCGGCGGCACCACCTTTTTAAAAAGACAACCGTCGCGACCTAAGCGACCTTGCGATTTCTACGGTGATGTTTCATTATTTTGTTCAAACATTTATTAGAACGTTTTTTAATGTCACACTAAATTATTTTTACTGTTTGCGCCTCAACTTGGAAAAGCCGGATTAGGGAGGGACATAATTTTTATTCATTAAATCGCTGAAATTTCCAGGTATTTTAATTAATTTTCTTATGTCTTAAAATTATAGAAATGCACGCATAGAAATTTAATAAAAATAAGCCGTTGAATGTTACAAATAACTGTAAAAAACTGGCATGGAAGAATTAGCAGAATTGGAAAACTTTCAATCATTGAATTTTCGTTATAATTTTTTAGTGGTAGATGAATTAAAATAAAATTATATTTTTTCACGTCCAGACGTCCTTGAAATCATATCTTTAAAAATTAAGTTTTAATTTGAATTCATCCTCTCAAGTTTAAACGAACAAAAGTACAAATTAATACCACTTGCATTTGTCGACAATTGATTGATTATTTCCTGCTTGCAAGAATATATCGGCAAGATCGAATTTGCTGCTTGCCATTCCAATGCAGTGCCAACTCCGCGGGCATTATTATTATTATGATTGTGTTTAGTCGCAGCGCATCATGTACGTAGACGTGTTGCCACTGGAGGAGGTATTCGTTTTCGATGTGTGGTTCGGTTGTTGCTCAACGGCAGCATTGTGTTTTCCCAAGAAGTAGTGCGACAGAAAGTTTGACCAATTATTATGCAGTGCGAGATTGCGTCCTCCCGCACTACGCAATCAACAAACACACTAGCAGGTTCTTAAACCACACTTTTACGCCTAGGCTGGAGTACTAAACCAGAAAAACAAAAGGAAAATGGAAGAAAAGTTGATGCTAATAAAATATAAATTTCAGTTTTAAAAACAATTTCACACTTAAAAAGGTGCAGAGACTGAAAAGCAAACAGTTTCTCATTATTTGGAACAAATATTTTGCATGACAATTTATATTATAAATGTGTGTAATTATGGATTTAGTTGGGTTATTTTATAATATAACTATTGTTGGGTTTGTTTCAGAAAGTTTGCTGAATAGCAAAATATTCAAAAGTATAATTATAGTATTTTTATTTTGCTCCTTGAAGGGCATGTTAATTGAGTGATAAACAAGTCTTACTTAGCATTTTTTTTTCACGGCTGTGGGCTTTTTCTGAGCACTCGGGTGGGGTTAAGGCGATAATGATGTTCACCTTTTTTAACTCTTTCCGACTCGAACACAAAAGACAGAGGCGCATCTTGGATAAAGTTGCGGGTGCCAGGCTTAAAAGTGGAGAAATTTTGCCGCATCATCCATTTATTTAAACGCTTTTATTGCCATCCCGTTTGTAAATTTAAACAAGCGAAATGGGTCAAATTCGTTAAATAAAACCTGCGCGTGACTCCAGAAAGGGTGAACGACCTTTCGAATCACAACGTATGAATGCACGGGCATTTCACACTCGCTGCATCTTCCTGCATGAATTTGATTCACTTGGCCGTGCGAACCCCAGCGCCCATTCAATTCCAACAATTAGCTGTTGCAAAAATACACAAGCACAAAAAGAATCTGCTGCAAACAAAGAGTTTAAAATTGTGATTTGTGATTGTCGGCTTTGCAAATCGGACATGCAAATTTGATTTACATTTTAATTATATATACGTTCCGTTAACTATGAGAATCTCATTTTCTTTTTTAATTCGAGGCCCTCTGTTCTGGTATAGTTTTGTTAATTTTAAATCTTAGGCTGCTTGATTAATATGTAAAATTTATTTCATTGATAATCTATTTTACCGTAGTGGATTTTTTTTAAATGATTAAAAATATGATCAGTCCCGTCTTGCAACATTTTGTTACAATCTTCACGAAAATTTTATAATTATAAGCGATTATCGAATTCTTAGAATCCCTCGGAATGTTTGTCGCACTGCAAACATAAAGCGAATTCCTCACTTGAAAACTTGAAACTGCCTGTGGCGATTCTCACGACTATTTATATATTTGGATTGCTTATCAAAATATAAACACCAAATTGATAAAACCACCAGAAACAAGGGAAAGGTAAACTAGTATACGCTTTTTTTCATGAGTTAAAAAACAATGCACAAATATCCTATTTCTTAATTGCAAATTCTTCAGCTTTTAATATTTCAAGTTTTTTTTAAAACTTTATATTAAAAAAAAAATTGTCATTATTTATAATCTTGCTATAAAATACAATTAAAACATTTTCAAACTGCTTTGTCGATTTAATAACTCGTTATTCGTCGTGTGCCCATCCATTTGAATAGATCATTGAAGCCGGGAACACACAATACTGGACAGTTCTTTTGCAGCCGAGCATTAAAGCACGTCGTTTATTTTCTCCGAGAGATCGGGTTGCATAAAATTTTTCGTTCTCCTTTGTTGCCCGCACATGTCTTTGGTTACAATGATAATTTCTTCATGTCTCACAGGATATGTCCGCTGTCGTAATTATTTGGGTGCAGGGATGGAAATTCCGCTTTGATGTTTTTAATTAAACGTCTTCCGCGACGGAGCTTTTGCTTTGGCCCGTTGAAAAGTAGTTCGAGGTCAGAGGCGCCAAAAGAAAGAGAAAGAAGTAGCAGCGCTTGCAGGTCAAAACATCCAGCTTTGGGCGCGCTTTGATAGTGAGTCATCCGACTCCAGAATTAGATAATTATTCAAATGGGTGAATGGATGGACAAGAAGGTTGTCTCCATTAAACTTGTTGATTGAATTTCCAACAAGAAGAAATATGATGAGCTCGCTAGAGAAATTAGTAAAAGTCTATAGAATTTAATAATAAGCTTCATCGCCTTGTTTAATTCAGCAACTTTATCAAATTATCAAATATCTTTTTATAGTTTGCGTCTATCTTTATTAGTTTGGTTTAATGAAAGTTTATTGAGTTCGAAAACTAACATGTACAATTACGTACATTTTATAGGAAATTCAAATCACGTTTAAGAATAACTATTAAAAAAAACATTTATTCATCTCAATTTAATGGCCTCTTTCTATTTAAATTTGAGAAATTACAGACAAAAGAAAATAAAAATATACATATCTACTTTTGCTTTTAAATGTTGAAAATATTTCCGAAGTTTCTGTTTGCAATTTTTAATTCTTTCTGACATTATCTTTAAATTTCTTGTTGAAAACCTTTTTATGAAAGATTAGAACAGAGCAGTGTCTTCCCTCTCAAGCCCCAATAATCACAGAAATCTTGATTGTTTAACGATTTGAAAAACACGCAATATATCTCCCAAGGAGCCACGCCTATCCGGATAGTTCATCACTTATTTTTAAACTTTTAAAGGTTATCTCGATAGAGCAGTTAATGAGAGGAAATTGATGGAAATTACTAAGGCAATAGCTGCAAATTTTTTCCATTTATGTAATTCTATAAACCAAATTTTTAAAAAGCAGAATATCATCATTTTTGTTTTCATCTTAAAATGATAGAAAATCTATTAATCGGTTACTTGTGTTTACTATTTTGCAACGTTCTATTATGGTTGTGCCATAACCGGCAAGCTGGCACGTCCGCATGCATCCTTCTTGTGGGATTTCACGAGTCGCACCACAGAAGCCCCTCGCTCGGAAATAAAATTCGTCGTTACTCTTTTGCCCCGTTGGCTTGGCAGCCGCTTGCGTAATTATTATTGCCTACCCTCGGCACTAGCAAGTAGTACTTTCAGATTTATGTATGCGTTTTGTTTACGATCGGTAAAGGTCGACGAACGAAGAACGAAAGAGCAAACGAGATGAAACAAAACGGGAGCTGCGATCAATTATACTCTCCCGTTAATTGAATGCCTCCACAACCGCGCCATTCGGTCTTTAAAAGGGAAATTGAGTGGTGAAATGCAGTGGCTGGATGCTGGAGATCGCGGCGAACTTGATTAGGAGGCTTTTTGTTTCTGTCTGCGGTGTGTTCGCCGCGCACAATGCCGCGCACCGCACTCTTTTGTCCCTTGGCGTTTTTCACTTTCCCTGTTGACGGGAAAACCAGTTCAACCGGCGACAATGATTGATTTTGAAAGGGAAATGGGAGAACAATGAAAAATGAATATGAAAAAAAAATGGAAAGAAGTAATCAAGATAGATATTTAATTACTGTCAGGTGCTAAATCAGAAAAAAGATAATAAATCGAGGTTAAAACAATGGATTAGTTACAATGATTATTATCTCATTGTGAATTTTTAAAATTATTCCTTATTTTAAAATAATTACATAATGTATTTGTTTGCTTTCAGACATTCCGGACATACCAGAGCAAATCAAATTCCTCAAAGCACTTCAAGTGGCGGATTTCAGCAGCAACCCAATTTCAAGGCAAGTTTTAGTTTGTAAATTTACTTTAATCATATATAAAAGTATTTTATATTATATTTATACTATGTGTTCTTTGATTTGGTATTGTTAAATTAAATTCATTTCTCATTTTCTATTTTTATTCACATTTCAGATTGCCTAACGGCTTCACTCAGCTGATGAATCTCACAGTGCTGGGTTTGAATGACATGTCGTTGACAAACCTTCCATCTGACCTGGGCAGCCTGACGTCGCTGACCTCACTGGAGCTGAGAGAAAATCTTCTCAGACAACTGCCAGACTCTCTGGCGCAGCTGACGAAACTGGAGCGACTCGACCTGGGAGACAATGAGATCGACTTGCTGGTGAGTTGAGAGAGTCATGCAGAACAGAGCAAAATGAGAATGATTTATCCATTGTTTTTAATGTCTGGGAAAATACAAAGAAGCGCCATTCTTTGCATCAAAGAATACTTTTCACCTTGCATGACTCTTACAAGTTTGCCGATTTTAATAGTAATAAGGCAATGGGAAAGTTATTATTAAAAATTTAAAACAAATTAATTATAATTATGCTAAAAATTTAAGCACTACTAAGCAAGAAATTTTCCAATTTTTTTTTAAATAAACTAAAAAGTATTGTTTGGGTTGCTTCATGTGCGCTGCCTCCAATTTTCACTCTCAAATCTCGTGAAACAAAAATAAATGCTTTCAATGTTGCCCAGATAAGTTTCAAGCTCTGAACGAACGCTGCTTGTTGAATTTTTTTAAAAGCCTCTTCACATTGATGTTTCAGCCACATCATATTGGTCAGCTGCCTGCTCTGCAAGAACTTTGGTTAGACCACAACCAGCTTCAATATTTACCACCTGTAAGTTTATGTCTTTTTATAAAATCATACAAATTCTTGAGTGCATTTTGCAACTTATTACTGTTTTGATTTTTGGAAAAACAAAAACATAATTTTATTTTAAATTTTACTTAAAAATGTCTACAGGAAATGGGAGAGCTCAAGAAACTCACATGCCTGGATGTGTCAGAAAACCGATTAGAGGCGCTTCCTGAAGAAATTGGCGGCCTCGTTTCTTTGACTGATCTTCATTTGTCACAGAATGTCCTTGAAACTCTGCCAGATGGACTCGGCAAATTGCATAAATTGACTATTCTCAAAGTGGACCAGAACCGTCTATCAACTTTAAACCCATGCATCGGAATGTGCGTTTTTCTTGCTGCTCGAAAAACAAATAAAAACCATTTTTTTTTTATCTTGAATACAGGTGTTGCAGCCTCCAAGAATTGATTTTGACTGAAAATTTCTTAACGCAACTTCCTGCCACAATTGGCCAGCTAGTGAAGCTCACAAATTTGAATGTGGACCGAAACAGTCTGCAGACGATACCGAGAGAAATAGGCCACTTGTGCCACCTTGGTGTTCTATCATTAAGAGACAACAGATTGCACTATCTTCCACAGGAAATTGGCCACTGCAAAGCTCTTCAAGTGCTTGACATAGCAGGAAATAGGTAACTTAGTATTTATCTTCCTAAAATGAATCACATTTTCACATAATTGTTCTTCCTGTCTCAGATTGCAGCATTTGCCATTAACGTTGGCATCGCTAGGCCTTAAAGCCGTTTGGCTGTCGGAAAACCAAGCTCAACCAATGCTCAAGTTCCAAACAGATATTGACGAGGCGACGGGAGAAGAGGTGCTCACTTGCTTCCTCCTTCCACAGCAGGAAATGAGGCACCACGAAGGATTTGGACGTAATAACTTGTGACATGTGTGGGAGATAATTGTTCTCAACGGCAATTTTATTGCAGATGTCAATCATTCTCTAAATAGTGATGGAGAGGAGGATGAGGTTGAAGATGAGGAGTATGACGACAGAGTTTTGCCTGACAGAGAACATTCTCGGACTCACTCTGTTAAGTTCACTGATGCTGCTGAACCAACTGCTGAAAATAGAGATGTAAAGTTTAAAAATATTTATCAACAAATTTTAATTTCTTTTCATAAAGACTCCATTTGTGCGACAAAATACTCCTCATCCGAGGGAGCTTAAGGCGAAGGCTCACAAATTGTTCGGGAAAGGAGGAAAAGACGGTAGGAGCAGTTTGGATTCACAGGGCCAGGAATTCTCTGGGGTAAAACAACTTTTTTTTATTCAATAGCGTGTCTTATATTAAATTACACTAGATGGATGGAGAGGAATCTCCAATGGAGCAACAAGCTTTGCCCGCACCAGTTGAAGAACAGAGGGAGCTTCATTTAATAAATGCCAAGGCGGCTGCAGCAGTTGCCAAAGCCAAAGCTGAAGCCAGAGGTGATCAGGAGGAGAATTTAGAAGCCGAAGAAGAAGACGAATTTATGGACCCGATGAGCGAAGAAATCAAACCGGTGGAGTTGGTAATGCCTGTTGCGCAAAATGGACATCACAATTTGGAGGTGGAAGAAAACGAGGTGGCTGAAGACTCTGGCAGCATCGACCTTCAGGTAAGCAGAATGCTTTTCGCGAAAGGTTTTTTCTTCAAATGTGAATCAGGAGGAGGGTCGTGTCCGGTTTGACCCTGAAACCGGGCTAAGTGAGGAGGAGGAGCCGAGGGCAAATAGGTTACATAGGCGGGACACACCTCATCACTTGAAAAATAAACGCATCCAGTCAGCTGGATCGGATAGGGAACAAGTGGCGCAAATATTAGCGCAGGTACTTGTTCAAATATTGCATCTTTTTGTTTGTGCAGCATATGTTTACAGAGTGATCTGACGAATCAGTATTTTTATTTTACGTTAGGCAGCTTCGTTTTTTTGCTCACTTCATTCATTGCCTTGGTGTTTTATATATTATATTTTGTCAAGTCTATTTGATGGAAAAGCACGTATTTCTAGTTTATAACCCAGATAATATTTATCCTGGGGCTTATCACACTCAGAGGAGCTGATAAGATACAACTCTTGTGGATGCGTCAGTGTGGCCATTTTCAGTGTCTGTGCATGACTTGGCCTCTCCGCAGAGAGAGCGGAATTATAATTGTTCTATTATTATTATTTGTTGAATGCTTTTGCACCATGACGGATGTTTCACGTTTTCTGCTCCTATTTTAGGCTGGTAAAAAGAAGGAGGATCAGGAGCAACCAGCAAACAAAACATCTGGTGCTGACTCGGAGGTTGATACCACTGGTGAGTGTTTTTAATTTAAGTGCAGCTCTTGCGCTGAAGCACATGTTTGAATGCCAACCTAACCACTTCATTGCTCACTACTAAATTAAGATTTAAATTATTATTTATCTTCATTATCAGAAATAATGAGTGGCCCCAAATTTAATTTGACACACTTGAGAAAAATTCCACCATATAAAAGCATGGGATACAGAAGAACTAATATTATTTCTTCTTTATACAGATGCAGCCATGCCAAGATACGAAGACGAGCTTCGGATCATAATTGAAAAGCGGGGACAGGGTCTTGGATTGTCAATTGCAGGAGGGCGTGGTTCTGTCCCTTTTCGAGGGAATGATGAGAGCGTTTTTATTTCTAAAGTTACACCCGGTGCTCCAGCTGCCCTTGCTGGTCTCAGGGTAAGGCATTATTAATTTAAACTTTAAACAGTTTAAAATATTAACAAATTAAATTTTTTTAGGTCGGTGACAGGGTTTTAGCTGTTAATGGAATGTCCATTATTGGTGCTGATCATTATGAGGCAGTCGAAATGCTTAAGGCTTCTGGCCAGACATTGGATATGATTATTGGCAGGGAAGTGCCACGTCCCATCATTCACTCAAAGGTAGAACAAGAAAATTTCTGTCAATTCGATTTTTTAAATCTATAAAAATTTTAGAGTCCAAATATTAGAGCAGAATCAGCCATGGAACAGCAGCATCATAGACCTCCCTCTGCAAATGGAAGCATCAACTCGTTTCATTCTCTGCCCGCCACCCCAACTGTTGCCCTCAGAAACGTCCCACCTTCGAATTCCGCCAATATGATTGGAAAAGAGGGCATGGAGCTTAGAAAGGAAATGGTTCACACGACTTTGATCAGAGATTCAAACGGTCTTGGATTCAGCATCGCTGGAGGAAAAGGATCGCCAGGATTCAAAGAGGGCTCAGATGTGAGTGTCCCTGTGGAGGTAAAATTAATATTTGATATTTTCAAAATTGGAGGAAACGGTGGCTAACTCAATTACACGTCATGTGGTAATGGTTGCAATATTAATTCAATTTCTTGGAAAAAAGTTAATTCTGGTCATCTCTATTTTCATCTCTATTTTAGTTTTAAAAATTTTCATATTTTATTTGTAGGCCATTTATGTGTCAAAAATCACAGAGGGTGGAGTTGCAGAAAAGGACGGAAAACTGTTGGTCGGCGATAAAGTTATCTCGGTAGTACTTATTTTTTACACAAACCCACCAGATTACTAATTAAAAACTGATTGCAGATTAATGGCGTTGATGTTCAAGGGGCAAGGCACGATCAGGCTGTTTCCATGTTGAAGGGTCTTGAGCGTTTTGTTCGACTGGTAATTGAGAGAGAAGTTTGGGTGCCAGCAGGTCAAATTGACCCATCTGGCAAAGTGCCTCACGTGTTTGGTGTACCTAAGCCATACACCGGCTTGCACTATGCGGCCAACAGCTACATGGCCAACCGGCCAAATATGACGTCTTACAGACGACCAAACTTGACAACATCTTCACCTGAATCATCGACCAACTTTAAGCTTCAGGGTCTGAGGAACGAAGCTGTCACCATCCCTCCAAAGTCACCGTTGGCCGTCAGCAAACCCCTTACTTTGACCTCGTCCATGTCTCAACCTGAAAACGTTACAAAGGTCCCGCCTCAGCCAGCTCCTAGAAGAATCAACTCTGTTTCAAGTCAGAGTGACATCAAGGAAACCAGTGCAGCTCCAGCCGTCATTCCAAAACCAATAACCAACGAGGAATTTGAGGCAATGATTCCTCCTCACTTTTTGGGTGCAGCACCTGAAGACAGTGCTCCAACCAGTGGTGCTTTGGTCAGTGTAACCATTAAGAAACCAGATCCTGTAGCGCAGCAGTTGCAAGAAAAATTCCCACCAGCACCCACAGCACTCGGGAAGTTGACTGAAACTATTGTTAAGAGTTGCTTGACGGAGACCGTGGTCACTAGAGTGACAGACAATAAATTGAAAAATCAGCCTGTTATTATTGAGGTAGTATTTAACTAGTATTTGTCAATTAATTTTACATATATTTGTATTATTATAGGATGTTGTGTTAGATAAGTCTGCTGGTTCGCTTGGATTTAGCATTATTGGGGGAATCGACCATTCGTCTGTTCCGTTCGGAAAGAATGAACCAGGAATTTTCATTTCGCATGTAATTAACTTGAAATTATAATTTGTGGTGTATATTAATATTTTAAACCCAGGTTGTCCCTGGCGGTCAAGCGTGGAACTCAGGGAAGCTCATTATGGGTGACAGGATCTTAAAGGTCAACAACAAAGACTTAACGGGCTGCACACATCAGGAGGCAGTTATGGCGCTTTTAGAACCACAAGATTCCATCACGCTGTTTATCCAGCATGATCCATTGCCAGATGGCTACAAGGTTTGTAATTTTTAATCAACATTTATTTCATTTTAGATTTATTTATTTAAAAACTTGCAGGAATTGACAATAACTAAAGAGGATGGTGAGAAACTTGGCATGCATATCAAGGGAGGTACAGGGTCGTCAAAACAGGGAAATCCACTGGATTCAACTGACCAGGGTGTTTTTGTGTCAAAAATTAACTCGGCTGGTGCTGCCAGCAGGCAAGGTGGCCTCCAGGTATTCAATCGATGGGTCAATATAATAAAGTGATTTACAAAATTCGCAATATTTCTCAGGTTGGCCAGCGAATTTTAGAAGTGAATGGTGTTTCGTTATTGGGAGCTTCACACTTGACCGCGGTCAACGCCTTGCGAAGTGCAGGCAACAACATCCACTTGACTGTTTGCCTCGGCTACTCGAGAGAAGAGGTTGATAAGCTGACACGAGAGGGCAAGTTGACCAAAGAGATTAGGTCTCAATCGCAAAGCGTGTCCAGCCTCGACCAAGAAGATCCTGACGACTCGAGCAAGCAGGCGCAAGAAATCAAGATGGAGATGGCGGACTGGGAGCGTGAAACTGTTGAAAAGATGCAGAACTTGGAACTGGAGCAGCAGCAAATTGTGCCTGTTATCCCAGCTCCTGCTGTGACCACCACAAATGACAACGCTGTTGTGGACACGCAAAGGGAAAAATCTACCCCTGAAAAAGTACCTACGAAGTTGAAATTTGTTTGGAAAAATTAATTTTTCTCTCGTTTCTTTTCAGGTTCTTGATATGGTCAGAGCAGCAGAAATGTTGGTGCCGCAGCTGAACAGTGGTTCTGCAGCCAATAACGCTAACAATAATGTTAGTGACACGGCTGTTTGCGGAGACTCTGCATTGGCAGTCCCTCCAAAATCCCCGAGACTCGACCTGAAGACGACTACGATTGTCATGAGCAAGCACACTTTGGGACCGCACACCAGCACTGTAAGTAACAGATTCTTTTCTACCTATTCGTGACAATGCAACCGTTTTTTAATCATTTATAAAATTTATTTTATGAGTTATATCTTTTTATTTGTGGCTTGAATTTTATTTTCAATTATTTAATCCAAAGTTAGGTACGATTGATAATGTATAAACAAAAAACATATGTAGGGCCATTCAATTCAGTTCTCGAATCAATGTTATCACCCCTGAACTGAATAGTCCTCATGGACCATAGCTGAGCTGTTACTGACCAGAAAGCTATTATTGTTACTCATCGAGTGCAGTGTTGATAGAATAATTATTGTGTTGAATTTTTATTTCATAATTTTAATTTATTTCTGACGCATGAAGACATGATTGTACCATTACCATCCCTGTTGATTACTCAAAAAGCCGCGCATGAGTTGGTGTTGAATTATAAACAATCACAACCGAGGTGTGATAAATATTTAAAAAAAAAATCATCATCCTGCTGGCCACTAAAAATAGAAATAGTGTGCATGCCAATAAGTGACTGTGAGCCATGTTATTGTGAACTATCTAAGTATGTGTGTAATGCCCATGTGGCGCACCACAGTGAATTTGGTTCTGAATTCACGTTGCAGAGCACCGACTCATCTTCAGACTGTTCGTCGCCAATTTGAAGAAACAAAATTACTTCGGACACCCGAACACATTTACTGTGAAACGCACAGTCGGGCTGACCAAGACTTAAAATAAGTAGCAAAGGTTTAGGTTTTTGCGAAGCGATTGCATTCAGCAATAAAATCAATCAACTTTGGTGCTTCTCACAGAGCCAATTCAAATGAAGGAGAGTGAAAAATTATAAATTGTTAAAAGTCAGACTCACTTCGATTTTTTTTCGCCCGATGAGAATTTTTGCAACCTCATGGCAACAAGTATTTATTTTTGCATTTATTTTTGTGCCGTTTTCGCTTCAATCTGTGAGCCCTTTTGCCATTCCTTTAAAAATCTTCTTACGTGTAGATAATGACGCTGGATGCTTTGAAAATGAGGAGACCAAGATTGACAAGCTTTAATTAACAAAATCGTTGGGCCTAAGTGATGAATTGTGAGGATGGAAGAAGCGTACCGAGCATTTTGCACACATTCAACTGCTAACATTCTAACGTGTAATCACATTCCTGCATTAGTAACTAACCAAACTTCAGGATACAAAGAAAACAGTGTGTATCGTTTCTCATTTTTCTATCTACCGAATTCTCCAACATCTTGATGTGGTCGCTAATTAAAAGAAAGGAAACAACTTAAATATTCCTTCACCTCTCATTTGGGAATTTTTTGCCTCTCACAGATGCTGAGTCAGCTTTGCACACGTTTTACCAGTGGTAGATTGTGATATTTTGTGGTGACGGAAATGCAGGCCCTGAGAGTGGATAATAAAAATTTAAGGAAACGGTCGTTCGCACCAAATATACGGGTCAACGAGAGGTTGTCGTGGAGTTGTTGCGCATTACTTGCTCATTTTGTGTAGCTCAAAGAAGCCTTTCTGTTGTAGTGATCAGAGCCGGCTGACTTTGCATCTGAAAAGAATTAAATGCTTTAAAGTGTAATGCGTTGCTGTTTGCGTGCTGATAGGGTTTGACTCCAGCAACGGAATCATATTTTCAACAACATGCAAATTTTATATTTAAATTTTGGTACTCAATTACATATTTAAATCAATTTTAATTTTTCTTATATTTTTTAAATATCCAAAAAGAAAATTTGTAAATTTTATTTCTTTATTTCCTATTCATTGAAAATTACGTTATATTACATCAATAACTTGCTTGCTCTGAAGATTAAGATTGATCAAATATTTTGGTCTGGACATTGATTATAGGGCTCGTTTTGTCAGAGAATTTTTTTAATTCTCTGGTTATTTCAAGCTACAGTCAAAGTCAATCAGCACGACACTTTGACAACACCTCTTGAGTGCTGCAGAGAAAAAAAAATAATATAATAAGCCAAATTATCAGAGTAATTATTCTAGTTGTTGCTAACAGATGTAGTTTGTAACTAAAAACAGGCATCTCAATGAGATGCACAAATGTTTCACCGAATCTAGAAAAGAGATAATCACCGAAAAATCTGTCAATACAAAAATAAATTTCAAAGAAAATTGTTCCGTTTATTTGGCACTGAAAGTGTTCCAAAGAAGCATTAATTAATTAAGGCGCATCGTGAAATAAAACAAAGGGCAGCGACTTATTGAGGAATGTGAGCCCAGACCCTCATATTGAGGTGCTAAAAACTTGATAAAATAATTGATTTTGGTGAAAATCAAACTAAACGGTTGTGAAACTTGACAATTTTCAACACTACGCGTGGGTCTAGAGCTTGCAAGGCTATAATTTATCAAAATGTGGCAAGTTTGTTTGAGTCATTAATGACGCTGAACTGCCAGCAGTGCGATTCGAATGGTCACTTTTGGGGTTTAATAAAATTAAAAAAATTAAAAAGCTATTTTGGAACCAGTATGCAAGTCAAGTGATACAAAGTCTTGGCTCACATGTCCTTGAACTAACAAAGAGCTAATTTAAGGAAGTAAACGTAACATAAAATAATTGTTTTTTCAATGAAAAGAAAATGTAATTTGCGTAATATCATCATTTTTATATGTACGAGCAAGAATTTTATATGTTGATACAATATGCTTGCTTCTAACGCAGAATGTTTAAATCTATACAAGCGATACACATGTATGAAGAATGAAAAAGAAAAAAAATTATCCATGTTTCCATTTCTTAAATTGTATAAATATTACATATATGAACGATTAAACTATTTATGTATGTTTTGTGTATATAAAAGTGTATTTTCAAATTGCGGCCTTTCAATCAAGCAGCCACTAATAAAAAAACTCACTCAACAGCTATTAAATTTTCAAATCTTTGCGTCACTTTTCCTTTATTTTCGCCTTCTTTTTTTAATTTAAATTTTGCACCTCGTTCGACCAGCCCATGACCGGCGGTTCCAATCCCTCGAGAATTCCTGTCCTGGACAAATCAGCAGTGGCCCCGGCAGCTTCTCCGAGTCCGCCCTCCATGTCCCCGATTCCCCCTCACAAAACTCCGTCGCCCAAAGAGGGCGCCTCGCCCGTCCCTGCGGTCAAGAGCCAGGAATCGCCTTCCCCGCCTCTTGATGAAGATCAGGCCGCTGGCGAGGAGCAGGAAAGCGTCTACTCGTCTGCTGAAGACCTCCTGGACCCCATAATACGCAGCAGAAGACCAAACGCTAAGTTTACCAACACGCCTGTCAAGGTGAAATATATTTTCCATATTTTCATTCACTGGCACCTTTCAAATTAATTTTCAAAGCTTTTTTTATATTCAGATTCGTTTTGTCTTTTATATTTATTTTTTTCTTCAATTGCTATTTGCTAAGAACTAAAACAAAATATTATAATTTAAAATTTTTGGTGGCTAATTTATATAATAAATTTTCAGGTTCCAACTATTACAGGCAAACCGATGCCTGCTTCTGTCAGTGACAAACTAAAGTTCTTTGAAAAAGCAATGGTGGAGCAGCAGCAGCCTGTAGCTAAGACTGGTAAGGATATATTTATTATAATTTATTTTGATGGAAATTAAATCATTTTCCAGTCATAATTCTGTTTTTAAAGTTCTTTAAACCTTATAGAAAAGTAACCCACATTTTTTTCTTTTTAGATCGAGTTTTCTCCTTCCTCAGTAAGGATGAGGTTGAAAGGATGAAACAAGAAGAAGAGAAGAAAATTGCAAATCTGACCCACGAAGAGTTGAAGACCTGGGCTGAGATGGATCAAGAGGATGACGACCAAATCAATGCTGGCCAGGATGCCGCCTTTGGGGAGGCAGCGTCGCCCAAGCCGTCCCTCATTCCTCTGCCTGTCGATCCGGCCCTATCAAAACCGTCTGCTCCACCTCCCATCAGTGCAAAACCGACCAACCTGCCCACCAGTGTGCGCACAGCCAAAGCTGAAAGGAGGATGCGAGAAATTTTGACGAATGAAGTAAGATAAATTTACTGATCTACTAGTTAAAAATACTAAATTTCCAAATTTTCCAAAGGGCTTGTTGAACGAAGCTGCTGCTAACTTTAAGGACTTGTCACCTGCAGAACAGAGGCAAAAACAGGCTGAGATGAGAGCGGCTTGGAGACAGGCAAGATTAAAATCTCTAGAGCAGGTGAATACAATTGAATAAAAATATTTCTTAAGTTAAATTTGAATGCATAAATTAGATCAATTAGTACTTAATCATAATATCTTGTTTATTAGGATGCTTTGCAAGCTCAAATGGTCATCAAGAAAATGTCAGAAATGATCGAGACCAGCCCAGCCGCCCTATCGCCAATTGAGTCCACAACCAAAATCACCACCATCACCACCACGTCAGAGACAGACACGGAAAACAATGTGACCGAGACCACCTCCTCATGCACCATCTCTGCCAGAGACGAGGAAAACAACGTTACGGTAAGTGAAAATACTAATCCCAGACCTAATCAAAGTGTGGATGTGCAATTTTATAAATTTAACACAAATTGAAATTTTTGTTTAAAGCTGCTTAACAAGTATTTAAGTTTTTTCTCACGCTAACACGAAACAAGGTAACTTGATGTGTTAATTTATTTAAATCAATCATTGCCGGCTTTTTAAATTTTTGTTTTGCTCACAATCAAATCCAGTCCCTGCTGAAAACAATCATTTTTCATAATCGAACACACACGCCTGAATATAAATAGGATTCTCCCTTGTCATCGCCACTTCGGCGATTGCGGCCTTCCAGCGACGATTTCCCTCGGCTCTCACTGCGAGAAGCTTCAACTTCTACACCAAAAGTTCTCAGCTCGAGAGAGCGCATCATCGACGAAACGACCTTGGAAACGACAACCAGGGCAATGTTTGACCCTGTGACGGGTCGGCACGCCGTGCGCACCCTGGAGCTGGTGCAGAAAACAATTGAGACCGAGGTAGAGACCGACAGGCCAGACTCACCGGCAGGACACACACTACTCTAGCTCACTCTGCCCATAGCCAATCATTGCAAACGCAGCAGCACCTCCCTCACGTGCCCACATCTTGACACCCACACACTTATTTTGCTGATTTTCTATTGTTTGCCACCCTGTTATGTGTTTTTTATATTTCATCGTCTGATCCATGACCAGCACAATGCCACCTCTTCTGTTGCAGAATTTTGCTACTTCTTAATTTGGTGTATTTCACGATTTATTTTGATTTTGCTTTATTATTTTAATTTTATTTTAAAGATATTTTTTTAAAGTTTTTATCGGTATAGCAAATTAAATTAAGTTTGATGTTCTCCTAGAGTAGCTCAAATTTCAGTGCTTCCATTTGCTTTCAATTTAATAGAAAAAGCAACTTTTTGAGAATCTTGAATTAAGTTTTGTGGGGTTATTTGACTGAAATTGTTCCTTTTTTTAACATAAATGAAGCGATTATTTAATCGCAACAGTACAATCAATTGGAACTAGATTAAGTTTGCAAGTATTTTAAATGGAGTTTGGGTATTTTTGAAAGGAATTTTCAGTTTTAAAATTGTATAGTATTTCATGTTTATTTGTACAGACTTGAACTTTGTTAAAAAGTTCTGAATTTTACTGTCAAAATTTGCTGTTTTTTTTTTCATTTCAATAAATTTGCTTCTTGCTAGATTTTTTCCAACCAGACTGCACTGACACTCGTTTTGTATAGCATTAATTGAAGCATCCACTTACCTGTCGTGAATTTATTACTCATTTTAAATTATAAAATGATGGTGTTGGCTCTTTTTCAAGTTCAAAAGTGTTCAAACTTTTAATAAATTTGATTATCAACAGGTCGAGACGTGCCGTGAGAAAATCATCAGCCTTGAATTGTCCAAGCCTGAAGTAAAGCACCTGGACCGGCCCACCGAATCTCCACCCCCACCACCCACCAAGGTGGTGAGCCCCCCTGCCGAGTCTCCGCCGCCGACGCCAACCACTCCCAAAAGCAGAATCCCACGGCCCAGCAACCTGAGCATCTCGTCCCAACACGAATCGGAAGAGGAAGAAGTCGAGGAGGGCGAGTCGAGCAGCACAGCTGCCGAGACGCCAACCACCCCTCAAGGGGGTGGCAGTGGCAACAAGCGGAAGCGCTCCAAGAAGAAGAACTCGCGGAAAGGCAAACACTGAGAGATGCGAGTTGTGCAGCTGAAATCAAAGGCATGCTTAAAGTTGTTCTAAAGTCAGTACCAGTTTACTGACCTAGACTTTCTAAAATTAAGGCGGTGAGAAGCAAAACAAAAATCTTCTTTTCATCCGTTTCTTCCGCAGCAATCGAATTTGAATAACAATTTTTATTGTGCAGTTACAATAATTAGAGTAGTAGCAAAAAAAAAACGAACCTACGTTCGCAAGAGACAGTGCTGCCGAAAGCATGGTGCTTTCCACGAGAAGTGTTGCTGTATATTTTTTTAAAAAACGACAACACTATTTTTAGATTAAATGACCAGCATTAAAAATCCACCAGACACACTCACTCACAAACACACTCACAGTTGAAACTTCTTTTAAGTTGAACGTTGAATTTACATTAATTTGTAGTTAACACACGTGCTTACGTTGAAAAATCCATTCCATTTCTAATAAATAAATTGAAAACCTCGTTTTAACAATGCCCTATTGTTTGGATGCTATTACCTAGCTCTTTGTACAAAATTAACTATTTATACACCTGTTTATTAATCCGTAATCTATAATTTAATGATTAATTAATGAACTATTAATTACTAGCTTAATGTCTTCTATTTATATTTTCTGTAGTTTTGTCACACTCGAGAATGAATAAAACACGAAAAATGTAATTGTGTAGCTCCGTTGGTGTTGGAGAAATAAATAAAAATAACTCTAGGACTAATCACACAGTTTCTCTTAAATCCTAAAAGCATCCTCTTGCCTAGTTGAGAGACAAGTAGAACGATAAAATTTTCAAAATGATTCAATTAAAAATACAGCTGAGAATAATAATATTTAAACCCTGAATAATAATTCGCTCAATTCAAATCCAACGTCTTGAGGATTTTTTGTTATTTCGCGAAACAATATTGCCGTTTTGGTTTTGAGCTTAAAACTCGCAAAGTTTTTTTTTTTTCAAAAGAGGAATTCCTCTTCAAAGACGTTGTGTCAGGCGTTTATGCTGGCCTTGCTCTTGGTCTTCACTCCCAGGGGGTACTGACTGAGCGGTGTGAAACCACCGTCTATCACTTCCTCTTCCACAGTTATGTCTTCTTCGTTCTCCAGTTTTCTCACCGGCTTCGTCGAGCCCTTGCATTTTAGTGCAAACTTAACTTCTGACCGAATCTCTGGCCAGAATGGAATCTGCAACAAAGGAAACTTATTTTTTTTCAATGCTTTAATGGGTTTGATGTACCTTTTTGTCTTTGGTCATTTGGCCAACGTGCCAGCACAGCTCCAAAAATGCGATGAGCATTGCCATTACGCAGCCTGCGATTAGCACCACAAAGACGCCGCCTACGTTGGGCAAACCAAGCTCACTAGCGGCTCCACTTCCAGCCGAGTCATCCTGGAAATTTGAAATTTTAATTAATACATAATAAGCATTAATTTTTGTTTTGATCGTTGTGCTGAAGGTGTTAATTATCACTGGGCTAAAATTTTAAAATCGTGCATTATTTGAGTTTTGTGTATTCAATGATATTAACTTTTAATTCTTTAAAATGCAGAAAATTTAATCATACATTTAAATATGACATTAAGGAACTTACCAAACTCTAATCCAAGTGGTAATGCAGAGACAAAGCATGATTTATACAAATTTACAGTGTTAAAGTTTGTAGAAGTTTTGATTTTTTTTTTTGGTGAAGATAAGTATGTACATTAAAATTATTTACAAAATTGCACACTTCAAAATTATTATACAATGAAGAAAATGACCAATTTTCTTCCTCACCTTGCACTGTCCTCCACCTCGTTTCTCCTTCCACCATTTGACCTTCAATGCGTACATTTTGCCCACTTCCTGCAATTTTAAAACGGCCGCACTAATCGCATTTCGGTATGGAGAATCTTCAGAGAAATTCAAATTAAATTTCTTTTCTTTCAAATTTTGAAAAGCGCGTACTTTTCCTCATGGCGATTCCGTAACCCTTGGCGTCCAAAAGGCCTCCAACCTGCGCCAGGTCGCATTCTCGCTCGACCACATATTCGATAGAAGAGGATTCCATGAAGAAGGCGTATTTGCCGTTTGAGTTTTTCACCCTCTGAATGCCCTCCTGGTTTGACGACGTGAACACGTCAGGGTTGTCCTTCATGAACTGCCACATGCGCTGGTATGTAGAGTAGTTGGAGTCCTAAAGAAAAACCACAAAAATAAATAAAATATTACCAGGAGTTCAAAATTTTGGTAAAAATATTCATTTTAATCATTGATATTCATTTTAAGAGATTATTTTTTCAGAAAAATAAATACCCTGAAAAAGGCAGCGGTGGATCCGTCTCTTTTGGCGCCGTACTTGATCACGTTCTGGTTGGCCAAGTCCTCGACGGACTTGATGGGCGACGACATGCTTTCGATGGTGAGGAAAGCGGCCAGGTTGGCTGTATAAGAGGAGACCATGATGAGCGTGAAGAACCACCAGATGCCGGCGACCATTCGCGTGGACACTGCCGTTGGCGCGATGTCCGAACCTTGCTGCATCAAAGATCCGATGGTGAACCACAGCGAATTTTTCAGTGAAAATTGATTTTCCAGGTGGTCCGGCTCTTCAATGCACGGGTATGGGTTCGTCCATTCATACGGGCTGCACCTAAAAATTACAAAGCATAGAGAAATTCATATTTCAAATGTTAATAAATTTTTTTTTGATTTACCTGGCCAGGGCGAAAAGTAGGACAGAAACTCCAACATAAGCTGAAAACATGTAAACCCAGACTTCATTGGAAAAAGGTGACATGAAAGAGAATAAGCTGGGTGGCTGCTTTGTTGGTTTCCTGTACAAAATGCTGATGCCTAAAAGAATTCTCTTAATAATATTTTGGTTCAAATTAAGGAAAAACTAACTATTTACCGAGATTCATAAATGGCATGGTGAAGTCAACGGCGCTCTCACGGTCGTAGGTGATTGTCAAATCTGTGATGGCCAAATGTGCTCTCTAAAAAATAACAATTAATTAATAGTTTATTCGGTAAAAAAATTATTGCACAAAAAGGTTTACTCCACAATTTGTTTTAAACTTTTACTACGAAACAGGAAATATGGATTTATCACATGGATTGAAATTTTGCTCGTATTTTTTTATCGTATTATATGAACCTCTTTTAGTGGGATTGCCAAAAAAAAATGTTTTGTATTATGTTTTATGAAAATAACAGATCATAAATATGTGATGCTGATTAATTAAAAATCATCCATTAAATTGGATTAAAAATCAAATCAAGTAACTAAATTTCTAGGAAAAAGTATTGATTATTTAAAATTGACTTTAAATGTAAAAATAGAAAAATACAAGTTGAGAAATTTCACAGTGGTTTTAAAGGACCGCCAGCAAGCAATCCTCTCTCTGTGCAAACAAGAGATTATTTAACAATGGCGAATGGACTGTTTAAGAGCGCGAAGAGCGTCTCTGTTTTTCGTCGGGCGGCGCGAGGGCTCATTCAGTTCGCGCCACGACTCAATTTACATACGTCGTCAATGATTTCTCTCAGCATGCCGTTCCACTGGCCGGTCTGTTTATTTATGGAGCCGTAAACGCCGTCGTGCTGCAGCTTAAAGGAGTAGTTGAAGCCGAGCATCATCGAGATCTCTTGGATCAGCTCGATGCCGAAGCCTTCAAAGCGATCGTTGCCGCTCAGCTTCTGACTCGCCTCCTTCAGCATTCCGTACGGGTCGCTCTGCGGGATTTTACATAAATCAAAATCAAAACTCATCGTAACAGAGACGGGCAGATTTTTATATAAACAGAAAATTCGTCCGTCGCTCTTCGCATTTGTCATGAGTTATCGTTTTGCTTGGAAATTCTTTTGCCTGTTTCCGTTGAATTTTATACTAACAAGAACACACTTCTTTCAATAAACGGTGCGCCTGAAAATTTAAAACATGCCGCACCGCAAAGCACTTTTATCGTGCAGGTTGCATACTTTAGAAAATATTATCGGATTTAACCAAAAAAATCATTTCCAAAAAAATTCTCCCTTTCAATTTTTATTCTTTTTGCAATTTTCGAGCCGCTATTCTTCTCACCAGAGCTGTCATGACGATGAACGTTTTGTTCTGCAGGCTGTCGGTGCCTTCTTGGATGGTGGCCGTTTGGATTCGGGTCAAGTTGACGCCATCAGAAGAATTCCAAGTGCCGATGCTAACGAGACCGTCGTAGGTCAGCTCGACTATATCCAAAACCAGGTGCGATCTGAACCCTTCGTTGTCAAAACGAGTCACGCCAGTCGTCCCTTTAATTTCAGTCTTAATCATAAAATAAAAATAATTAGTTGGAATTATACATTTTTTTCTATCAAACAAACCGATTTCATGAAGTTGACCAAGCTGAAGCCGTGCTCCCAGTTTTCGACGGTTTCGCAATTCAAGGGTCGAAAGGCGACCCTTTGACTGTGCACCAGCCAATGAAGAGCTTTTGCAAATAGGCGAACTGAATCATACATTAGCGCTGTCTCCATCTAAAATAAACAATTTTTTTTTTAATTTGCAAAAAAATTAGAAAATTGACATTTTAAGGGTTTTCATCTTACTCGTATGGTTTCTGGCGTAAAAGAAAAATTTCGCGACAAATCGTTCATCTCCTGAACGAAAGTTCGCACGTCAGGGTCCGTAGGGTCGACCACCCTGATGCCAGTGATATTGGTGCCTCCGTACTGATATGGCTCCAAATCCAATGTATGCATGTCCTTTGATTGAATAAATTTTAATTGAAACTGACGATTTAAAAAAGTTTAGGAAAACTACTAAATTCGTGATGATGTAGTTGTAGTGGCTGGCCATGAGACCAACCTGCTGCGCCTGCATCAACACTTCCGGCAGCTTTTCAATTGTGCAGTCCAAGACTATGTTTATTTCGTTGCTGCTTTTCACCCTCTTCAGAAGAGGTCTGTAATTTTTATTCAAATACTTTAATGAATTGGTACAATAAGATTATATCAAGATATTAAATTTGTAAATTAATATTGTAAATGATTTAAAAATATGTTGGTTCTTTATCTGAAAAATTATCTCATGTACTCAACTGACCTATTATTAGGTCCTGGGTCTAGCTGTCGGACAGTGACCGTGTGTCCCTTCGGATCGTACAATTTAAGCAACTCGCTCATTCTGATGAGACCATCATCATTCTCATAAATTATCGTAAAGCTCTTCCACTCCCAAGTTTCGACGAGATCTTTTATAGCCTGTGTGAAAAAAATTCAGGAAAATGAATTAATCAGCTAAAAATAAATAAGCAGACCCATGCCAAAAAGAGAAATCTATTTTAATTATAATTTTTTTTATTGACCAAAAATTGTAAATATTTTGCAAAAACTAATAATAACTGCAGCAGAAAGTATAAAATTTTCCAATTCTGGGTAACAAGCTTTGACTTTTGCGCCAGAAACCCAAAGTCAATTAACTTTCTGGTTGGTTTCTGAATTCAGCCCTAATCAAATTGAGTTCGACTGGCTGATTTTGATTCTGAAAGAGCGATTCGCAAAGTAAGTAAGGGGGAGATGTGCACTCACCCGAGCGAGCACGCTGGGGTGCGGGAAGAGGTTGACGGCACAGGCGCCCCTGCGCTGTGCCAGGTCCCAACGCATCTCCACGTGGGGCACCTCCATTGTGTCGCAAACCGACTGGACATGCTCGGCCGTGTCCTCACTTTGCGGCCCGAAAATGCCGGACACACCAGCGCCCATCAGCTCACAAACTGTTTGATAAAACATTATAAATTTATGTGGGAACGAATTAAAAAAATTTATATATAGATCGCTGCAACACTTAATTTTAATTTCATGTGTGAATCATTTTCACACAAAAAAGACACGTTAAAAATTTACCGTTGAAATATTTAATTGGCATTTCCAAATAAACATAAAAGGTAGCCATTTGAATTTTGAAAACACTGTATAAATTGAAAAAATTGTTCTCATTTGATTTGAAATATTATTACAGCGCTTCTTTTGAAAAATGGGATGTTTGTACGACGCTATGTCTACGACTACAAAAGTTACATTTTACTGATGCAAAATTGTTGAATTTAAATTAATGAAAATAATTACTGTATAATCTGATTTAACGGCGGTTTAATGAAAAAATTCAATTCATAATTTTCACCAAGAATCCAACTTTTAATATTGACTCGATTCGGCGAGCGCGTTCGATTCAAGTTAAAAAAATTAAATTCATGATTTTCACCAAGAATTTAACTTTCAATTTTGACTCAATTCGGCGAGCGCCTTTACTCCAAGTTGTTGAATGCGCCAGAACAATAAAATTTAATAAAGATATTGCGGTTTAGTGAAAAAAAAAGTAAATTCATGATTTTGATCAATGTTTTTAAATTGACTTGTTAATTGTTTTAAAAAATTTATTAATTAATTTTATTTAATGTTCTGTAATTCATCTAACTTATTAAATCATTTTATTTTTAATATCTAATAAATGTAAAAAAAAAAAATATTTATATATTTTGCTCTGCAATATTTTAATATTTTATGGTTTTTAATAATTAAAAGTCAAAAAGTTAATTTTAACATCAATCTCAAAGTAACGTAAAATTAATTCTTGTAATTTCTCACCCTTAGCACAGGTGCTGAGCGAGTCTTTGAGCGAGACCTTCTCTGTCTGCGCGACCAGCGTATGCCTCGGAAGCACGGTGCGGTCATTGTTGACATGGTCGACGGCCGCTCGGAAGGAGATCATCAATTCTTCATAGTTGGGCACATAAAGGCCACCTGCGGACACCAAAAGAGCGAGCCGGTCGTAAAATACAATCTGTTTGCCGACGAGACGTGATGAACGAGTTTCCGAAGGTGTCATAAAACAGCCGAAATGACTATACGCGACACCTGTTCGCTTCCTGAAATTGAAAGTCAAAGAGAACGACTTTGACGACCGCAAGACATGCAGTTTTCAAATTGAAATTAAGGCCCAGATAATAAAAATTGCCATCTAAATTGAAATGAATTAAATGTTATGTTTTTTTCAAAGGTAAAAATGTTGATTTTATTGTATAAAAAAAAATTAAAAAAAAAATTATCCTTCTTGAACCCTTATAAATACTTGCAAATTTTTTTAGTTGAGCTTTAAATTGTAAAATAGCTTGCCACACAAAATATTGTAGCTAAATATTTATTGTCAACGATTTATCATTACATGGGAGGGGATGGATATTTTATAGATGATAAAATTCACTAAAAAAGACCAATAATAATAATAAATAGATTAATTTTTGAGTAAAAATTACCTTTCAATATGACCTTAAATGACTGATAGGATGACATTTCTATTAATTATTGTATCAAATAATTTTAGTAAAAACAAAATATTTCTCCTCATCGCTACATTTCACCTTTTATTGCCTATATTCTTTTTTAGAACTTATTCACCTTTTTTAGAAAATTATAATGTTCAAAATATTTCCAATTCACAAATTATGACCTTTTTCTCATAAAAAATCATCTATTTTTTTCTAAGGAAATCGACAGCCTAATTTTTTTTCTTCCACGTATTTATATATTTATACCCGCAAAAGGTGTTGGACGAAAGGCAGCAACAAACTTCACGTTGTGCCTCGACGTCTCTAATCACCTTTAATGATCATCCGATATGCAAAGTTTGCGCAGCCCCCCTCGTTCAAACAAGATAATACAGGCACTATTATATCGTGTCTGTCCGGCAGGCAGGCGTGAGTGAGTGTCATTTATTTGTGCAGCCGAGAATGAATGAGGCTCTCAGACTGACATTGATTTATGACGAGATTCCTCAAAGATCTATACATACTCCTGAATAACAATAATAATAGACTACTCTGGGCGGCTGCTATTAATTAAGGCCTCTCTTCTTAAATTGCGCCGATTTCTGGGCCAATTTTAAAGCACGTGCTTGCAAAGAATTAATAATTATGAAAAAAACTAGGAAAACAATCAATCAAATGTTTTGCAGGCAGGTTAAGATAATTAGTTAAATAATAAATTTATTTTGAGAGCTCACAAAACTTAAGGATACAAAGGAGTTTCTACTTTTAAAGCATTTTAAAAAAGATTTCCGCACAAAATTATTACTTCAATTGGTCCAAACTAAAAACTTTTCAATAACAATATTTTTCTCCTCTTTTCAAAATATTATGCTTTGCTACGTTGTTATTATAGTTGATTGCATAAATGAAATCAAAATAAGTTTAGTTTATTCGATGCTTTTTCAATGCATCGATTTCACATGCTAATTTAAGTTGGCTTTGGGAATTTACTGGTGCTAATTCGACACGTAATTATCCACCATTATTTCTAATTTATAAAATAGGTGTAAGTTTTACTAGCTTTCTAAAAAACTAAAAGGAAAAGAAAAGTCGCAATTTATTTTAAGTTAAGCTTCAATAAATTGAACGTAAATTTTTAAATATTGACACAATTATTTGTTGAAAATAATTTATTTTAAATAAATTTATTTTCACTACTTCAACACAACATAACCCGATATACCCCGTGTCTGACCTGAGGCCAGTGAGTTCACAGAGGTCACTGAGTCAAGTTTAAGGCCACTGGACCTTTGCAAACTTGTGTTTGATAAGGGAATATAAAGCACTTTAAATTAAAACGCTTTTTTAAAACAAATAAGGATGTCTCATGCATTTGTTAAGCTATCTATTTTTTTAAGTCCTTAAAATTTTTTGTTAGCTATTTCACATTAAAATTAATTACTGCTAAAACGTAAACACGGAAAGTCGGGAATAAATAATTGTAATGCCTCTGTCAGGCGCCAAAGTGTCGGGCAAAACGCAATGTGTCAACGCGTGTTTACCAATGGGCGAACAAAGAAGAGAGCACAACGCATTCCCTCCGGACTTAATTTCACATCACAATTTTCAAACTTCAAAAAATTTTATTAAATGAGTAGTTTATATCGCTCTTAATTATATTTGCAACTTTTATTTTTAGCACCTCATCAAGATTGAGAGCTGCGCCCAAAATAAAAAGCGACGCCACGGACGCCACAAAAAAATGATTTGTTTTTGTTTTTGAAGACATTATTTGAAATTATGAAAATAAAAAATGTACCTATTCGGATGACGTTGCGCTCGTTGACCTGCAGCGTGAAGGGCGCCAGGGAGGCGCAGACGAGCGCGAAAAGCAGGCTGCGGACGATCGTCATCGCACCTGCATGGCCCGTCCGCCGTCAGACCGAGAGCAGGACTGAAGTTGTGGGGCGGCCACGATTGACGGGACGGTCGGCGAGCGGCGGCAGCTTCTGGGCCAGTGGCCGCCACGTGACCTCCCCTCGCACCCCTCCGGGGCTAATTTTAGAAATTCATCTTAAGTGCCAACTGGTGGCTCGCCAGGCGACAGGTTTGATCTTATTTTTACTGCTCTCCACTGACGTGACACACAAAATTTTTCGCCCCTTTTTTATATTTTTATTAAGGTATTTTCCATTTTATTATGACTGCACGCATTGCACGCGACGGACACGCGACACTTTGTGTTCGTTTTGCATTTTTTTCTTTATATGCTCCGACGTGTTTGTTTTTCAGATCTGTTTGCTGCTCACTATTTCTTAATGCCAGACCCGCGTATGGTAATAAAGGTGGCCGTGCAATAAAAGTCGGTCCTGTCTAAGAAGGGTGATCCGTGTTCGCCGACTTGCACCCCCTAGGGTTTCCGCCCAAATTTATTATCTCCGGTTTTTTAATTTAGAGCGCTGGCGCTCCTCGGGGTGCTTTTTAGTGCTTATATTTTTGATCTAGACAAGACGCTCCCTACTTTGTGGCGTATACAAATCTTTGAGAAATTAATAGTAATAAATTCTAAAAAAAAATTAAAATTAATATTACAATTTTTATTTAGCATAGTTTCTTTGGGATTTTTATTTGTAACTTGAAATTTTTTTAAAATGTCATTCTTCATTGTTTATGATAATAATAATAATTATAAAAGAGATTTTCGCCCTAATGAAGAAGAAAATATTTCAAGAAATCTTTTCTGGTATGTTGTAAGTTTTATTTAGCAATTGCACAACTCATCCATTCAGCCATAAAAAGTCCATTTCAATTTGACAATCTTCACTTCTTTCATTCTCTATATATACACAAAAGACGTCATTATTATTATTACATTATTGGAATTTTCAATTCTTGATGCACACATTATATTTATATTATTATTTTCCTGGCTCTCTCATTATCACGCACCATCCCTTTTCTTGTGAGACGTAAAATGTCTAAATCTTAGCTTTAAACATAAATTGAAGACAATGAATACATATATATTTTGATTAAAATGGTTCAATGTGAAAAACCCTAACTAGAATCAACTAGAATAATTAAGTAATTATGATTCATCTTGAGTTAAAAAAGTTAATTAAGACTCGTAGCTGGTCCAATTCTTCTTTGATTTTCTACAGTTTTGTATTCCAGAAAATGAGTAATTACAAATAATATATATTTCTATCATATTACAAAATAAATGGATAAAAAAAAATTATAATAATGATCATAAAGAAATCACTTGTTTTGTGAACAGCGATTTTCCTATAATCATAACCTCTTGAAGAGTTTTGAAATTTTTAAATATAAATATAAATACAGATTAAAATTTATTTAATTGATATAAAAGCTACAATTTTATAATCCAAATGTGCTCTTGTTGACAAAATTAAAATGTTACATTTTCTCTTTAAAAAATTTAATTGGCATTTTCTTACTCTTCATTTTCAAATTAAATATTCTTGATTATGCTTTATAGTGGTAAAATTCTAATACGCTTAATTTTTTTAGAATTTGTGTTCATTCAGTTCTCTTATTCCGTACATCAAAGATAGAAACAACGAAACACATCAGTTTGAATTTTGAAACCAGATAAACAATTTCTCCATTTGATGAATTATTGATGTGCTGAACACCAAAGGGACTAGAACGTGTGGTAAACAGTTTGTGAAAACGATCTCTTTAAACTTAATTAATGCTCCAAAGTCTCAGACGCCGCACCTTGCCAACAGGCATTTTTCTTTTTATAATATTATTCTTTATATTTTTGTTAAAATTTCCCCTATTAAAAATCTGCGCCGGAAACACAACAGAATCCGGCGAGAATTAATAATTTAAGCAAAAATCTGACTGAGTTGCTCAGGTTGGTCTCAGAGCCCATTTTTATCCAAAGAAGCAGCCAGGCCGCGGTAAAATAAGCCTCCGATTCGCGAAATACCGCAACTGAGACCACGCTAAACTTGTACTAAACATTCTACACAAATTTTTACACTGTTTGCGGAATATATGTTTTTTTTTTAATTTTTTGTTAATTGGCAATTTTTTTTTTATAAAGCAAAATGATAATTTTTAAACGAGAGGGTCCTTGATTTGGTTGCTGGACACATAGCCGTGTTGCGAGTAGGGGCTGAGGGGGATGAAGTGCTGGCCGCAAACGTCCACCTCCAGCGGCAGGCCTCCGGGCGGGGGCGGCGGCTGGGGGCGCGAGTGCCGCCTCCGGGTGACTGGCCTCGTCGAGCCACTACAATTGATTGCATGCCGCAACTCGTATGCCATCTCAGCACACAGGGAAGAAGGCTGGGGAAAATCGCTCGTTTAGACCCAAAGTCGGGTTTGGGAAATTTTGACACACAAACACGACATCAAAGGGAGAGAGGAAGACAGTAGTGTGATCCTACTGTGCAAAACGTGTCAATAAATGTGTAGTTTCAAATCGGTACGAGTAATTTTATTGTTTTATCATTTTGTACGAGGAAATATGATGCAAAATAAAATTCAAAAAACGTTACCAAAACAATTTTATTTTTAATTTTTAGTTCAAACACTACATTAATAAAATTTTAAATGGGAAATCAAATATTTAAGTGCGTGAACCTTGTGTATAGGATTTTAGTTCACGATAAAAAAAAAATTGGAAAAACTTGTACGTCTTTATGAGTGAGATGTGGTGAAAAGCATTAAAATAACTTCAAAATATGGAAAATTAGCCATTCAGGGATACATGTAGGCACAAGGAAATAATAATTAGGAGAATAATAAAGCAAAAGCGGAATTAAATCCGTAAAAGTTCTTTTGTTTTTATTAACAAAAATAACGTAGATCATTTCAAATACAAAATTGAATGTTGAATTTAGCACTTCAACATAATTAAAACCAACTAAAATTAGAAAAACGTCAAGATTTTAAAGTTAAACTTGTAATTTTACACTTGATATTATTTTTATTTAGCAGAAATTTATTAGTTTTTTTCAAAAGGAAAATTCACAAAAAAAAATGAAGTAAATTGACAAAAATTTTAAACTAGATGAAAATATTAGAAAAAAATTGGTGAGTTTGAGGGAAAGGGTAGTACCTTAAATACACTAGAGAGAGCTATGAGGTGTAAGATACCGGGGTGCCGAGTTGGCTCAGAGACTGGCGGTGCTCGAGGTGATTGTTGGAATTGTGCGAGAGCCTCACCCGCTCCTCGACGGCCACCTTGCGCGACTTCCACACAAACTCCGCCACCGCTATCACGCACGCGACCCCCATGCCGCCCAGCAGCACCACGAACACGCCGCCCACGTTTGCCAGGCCCAGCTCATTTGCCGCGCTGCTGCTCTTTGAAGTGTCATCCTGAAAATATAATCAAAAAGAAATTTTAAATTTTAAATATAAATTAGATCAAAATTTAAAAATTAATATATTAAAAATAAAAAATTGATATAAGTTACCCTGCAGGAGCCGCCACCTCTCTTTTCCTTCCACCATCTCGTCTTCAGAATATGCAATTTTCCTTCCTCTTGCAATTTCAAAACTGCACCGCTGATTGCTGTTCTGTACGGGGAATCTAAATTGTTGGGAAAAATTATTTTAAATTTTTTCGCCTTCTGAAGGTTCTCATATCCTTACTTGGTGGCATGGCAATTCCGTAGCCTTTCGAGTCAAGAAGTCCTCCCACTTGGGTCAGCTCGCAATTCCTCTCAATGACGTATTCAATTGATGTCGACTCCATGAGAAAAGCGTAGCTCCCTTTGCCTCGAACGACGCGGTCAACTCCTTCGGTGTTGGATGTGGCAAAAACCGAAGGCCGGGCTGATTCCATGAATGACCACATTCGTTGATAGGTGGAGAAGTTTGAATCCTTTTCATATATTAAAATTATTTATTTTATACAATTTTTAATCAATTTATTTGTGAAAATTTTATATATTACTTCATTATTTATTTTCAAAATAGAATAAAATTATGTTACCCTGAAGAAAGCGGCAGTTGATCCTCCCCTGAGGGCGCCGTACTTGATTTTGGTCTGCTTGGCCAAGTCTTCTGCAGACTCGATGGGCGAGTCCATGCGCTCGACGGTTAAGAAAGCGGCCAAATTGGCAGTGTACGAGGAAATCATTATGAGGGTAAAGAACCACCACATTCCGGCGACCATCCGAGTGGAAACGGCCCTAATGAGAGAGCAAGACGCGATCAGAACACGCTCCAGAAAGTACAAATAATAAGAAAGTTGTATAGTTGAAAGAGAGAAACGCACATTTCTCGGCGAGAGGACGTAGAGTTCAGAATTGCATATGCTATATAGTTTCGTATATGGAAATCAATCGTAAAGTGTTTGCTCATGTGCAAAATTTAGAAAGAGACAGAAAATATTAGACGAAATTATTCTGCCGGAAAAAAACGTATAAGCAGAAAGAAACCAATTAAAAACTCTCAAATTCTTAAAAAAAGCAAAGGTAAAAAATATTTAAAAACAAAATAATTAATCAACATTCAAATCTCCTGAAGCAGCAAAATTCTCAAGCTCTCAAAAATGAAAATGTTTTTTTGTACAAAAGCAGAAAAAAAATCAAGAACAAAATCCAAAAGGTGTTCGTGTGCGAGAAAACTCACTTTGGTGCAATATCTGAACCCTGTTGCATCAACGAGCCAATGGTAAACCAGAGGCTGTTCAATATTGAAAACTGATTCTCCAAAACGTCTGGTTCATCATTACACGGGTGCGGATTGTCCCATTCGTATGGACTAAACCTGAGAACAGGATATAACCAATCCTTAGTACGACTTACTTGGGCAAGAAATCGCAGCCCTGCTGCATCAGGGATCCAATGGCAAACCACAGGCAATTTAGTAATGTGAATTGATTTTCTAAATGATCGGGTGATGGATTACAGGGGTGTGGATTTTGCCATTCGTATGGCGTGAATCTGAAAATGCAATAAACCAATTTAATTACTGACGCGCGTGAAATCTAAATCGGAAATCTAAAAAAATGGGCAGTAAAATATTGACATCCTGAAATTCAAAGAAGTTATTGTGATAATTTTTTTTGTAACAATAACAAATTTTGCAATTGGAAAAAAACATGCCTGGCGAGAATGAAAAGCAGAACGGAGACGCCCAGGTATGCTGTGGCCATGTAAATCCAAACGTCCAGGGAAAGTGGAGACAAAAAGGAGAACAGATTTGGCGGCTGCTTGATTGGCTTCCGGTACAAAATGCTGATACCTAAATAATACATTTTAATTTTTAACTAATTTCACTTAATTAAGAATCTAACCGAGATTCATGAAGGGCATGGTGAAGTCGACGGCCTGTTCGCGGTCGTATGTGATGGTGAGGTCAGCGATGGCCAGGTCAGCTCTTTGGTCCAGCAGTTCTCTCATCATTCCGTCCCACTCTTTCGTCTCGCGATTCAGGGACCCGTATCTGCCGTCAGGCACCAGTTTGAATGTGTAATTGAAGCCGAGGATTTTGGAAATCTCCTCGATCAGGTCGATTGCGTAGCCTTCGAACTGGTCGTTGCCTGAGAGCTGCTCACTCGAATCTTTCCGCATACAATACGGTGAGCTCTGAACAAGGAAATAAATATATTAAATTATTTAAATTAAAATTTTCTTTCTCATAATTTAAATTTTATACCAAAATCAGAGTGACGACCAGGGTTTTGTTGTGCAGAGATTCCACAATTTGAGTGTAGGTCTCGCCAAAGGTGCGCGTAAAGTTGACGCCCTGAGTGGAATTCCAGGTGCCGATTTGTTTCAAACCTTCTCTGCCTAGCTCGACTATGTCCAGTACGAAACTCGACCGGAATCCTTGGTTGTCGAATTTGATGACTCCGGTTAGGCCTCGCATTTCAACCTGTTAAAGAAAGGAAGGTGAAGCGATTGTGCAAAATTTGGTTAATTTGGCACTTACAACTTTCATGTAGTTGATCAAGCTGTAGCCGTGGGGCCAAGTGTCGGCCGCGTCGCAGTTCAGTGGCTTGATGTCGATGCGCTGGGACGAGTCTAGGTCGTGGAGTGCCTTGGCAAACAAGTGCACCGCGTCGTACATTAGAGCTGTTTCAGTCTGGAGCAATTTTTCGTTTAATTTCCCGCATTTGATCTTGTTTTGATACCTTACCTTTACAAAGGTGGAATTATCCTTCTGCAAGTAATAAAAAGGACGAAATCATTAAATATCATAATTTAAATAAATTTCTAGATTATTTTTAATTTCATGCTGCGGAGTAATTTGAATGGGGTGTGAAAAAACAATTTGTACAGGAACTAATTTGTGATGGGGAAAAATGATTTGTTGAGTAACGAACAATTTTCAGAAGAGACTAATTCAATATAATTTCCAGGGAGATGAACGGCGCGAGAACATGCGAGAATTTTGCTGAAACACGCGCGATCGATAATAAAAAACACTAGCCGGCGCTAAAGCAAAGCAGCTGAGAATGATCAATGGAGGTTGTGTGGATTTTGAAATTGATCTGTCTAATTCTACAACAGGATAGAGAGCGGATGATGGGCACAAACAGACACATCGATCATAGTCCAATACCCGCGTGAGTTGGGCCCCATCCGGCTTACGGCCGAAACGAGACTCGCTGCCGTAAGCCCAATCTTTCATCACCTTTATCACGTCGGCACGCTCGGGGTCCACCAGCCGAAAGGCGGTGATGTTGGTGCCGCCGTATTTGAACTCTTCCAGGTCCACGGTGTGCAAATCCTGCAACAAAATTACAAAAAAAATTATATTTCACAGACCAGTTTTGTAAAATATAATTACAAACTTATATAAAATAAATTAATCGATTAATTGAAAATTTGTACAAAAATTTAAAAGTAATTTTTTTAAAAAATTATTTAGATCAAATAACGTACCAGTGAGGTGATGAGGTAGCTGTGGTAGTCGCTCATCATGCCGATTTGCTGTGCTTGTTTCAGCACATCATAGATTTTCTCGGTAGAGCAGTCGAGCACAATGTGAGATTCTGCTGAATTTTTTATTTGCTTCAGAAGCGGCCTGAAAAAGAGTAAAAAGGGAACATCTTCAAAACGGACACTATGAAAAGGATGAAAGAGATGTATTAGGAAAAAAATGGCACAAAGAATATTTTTTTTTTAACAATATACAGCATAGCAAAATTCGTTTTTATTTCTTTCAAAATTAAAATGCATTTATTTGTTCAAAAAATTTTCAGAGAGAAAAAATAGCATGTTATTTCGCTTTGAATTTCAATACATGACTCATTAATCTTGAACTAAAATCACAAACCTGTAATCGGGACCTTCTCCAAGTTGTCTCACCGCAATTGGAAACTCGGACGGCCCGTGCGCCTTGAGCAGCTCCTGCAGACGCACCAGACCCTCGTTGGTCTCGTAAATGATGGTGAACGACTTCCAACCCCACGCTTTGACCAAATCCACGTACGCCTGGGAACAAGATAGAGTTTCAGATCAAAATCAGTACCAACAACAACAGGAAACAAAAACCACAAGCGAGGTTAATTAATTTTGTGCCGCCAACGGCAGGGGTTGGGATAGGCAACCTGCTCGTTACCGCAAACAAGCGGGTTGCGTATCTTTCTACGGGCCAAAAAATTAAATGAGCTATGGCTTTATCAAAATTCATATTATTTGTGGAAATAATATTACCACAGACTTTTAATTTAACTGAGCGGTTAAAAATGCATCAATTTTGAACATTCTTATAGAATAAATTTTTTAAAATCTTCCTTTTTATCAAACGGTTTTTTAACTTTTTCCTTCAGCGTAAAATATTTTTTTTTACTTGAGGTCCAAGTTGAGGTCCAAATAGATTTGGAATAGCTCAGAACTGCTTTCTGTTCTATTCCCCTAGTGGAAACTGAAAGTAGATTCTGAAGCTATTGCGGGACTTGGTTTTTTTATTTTCACGATACCTTGGAAATGGCTCTGGGATGCGGATAGAGATTGACGAGGCAGCTTTCGCGGCGCAATCGGAAGTCCCAACGGGTCTCCAAGTGCGGGATTTCCATGGTGTCGCAAATGCTCTGCACATGGCTGGCGGTTTGGGGCGACTGTGGGCCGAAGATGGCCGCGACCCCAGTCTTCAGCAGGTGGCACACTGCAACGACAAAACGAGCTCGCTCTTGTTATTTGCCGCTTGATTTGTTTTCCAGTTTGATTATGGACTGCAGTTACGGCTGGCTTTATTTGCTTTTTTTATATCCCGTCGTTTTACGGCTTGCTAGGCACTTTTACAACAGGCCCCCGTTGCGCACAAGCAACAACTGGCCCGGCTTGCTCAAACTTTTCTATTTCTGCGTCATTTTACTTGCAGATTTTCAACGGCAACTTCAAACTTTTTACTTGTATTCAATTTATTTTAATAACATCTCACTTAAACTTGAATGAGAAACTAAAACACAAACCACAAAAATATATTTGTCAAAAACTAAATATTCGTGTTAAAAACTTTATAACTTTCGTATTATTAATGGAACGAAAAAAAGGAAATTAACAGGAATATTTTCAGGAAGTTTTTAGATTGCCGCATCATATTGAATTATTGATTTGGCCGAAGCCCAAGTTGCGAATGTGATTTTCCATTTCTTAGATGCTTAAGACGCGTTGCGGAGTGCCTATTCTTGCACAATTGCCAAGCCAGATTGAGGGTGGGAAAAAGCATTTGCGGGACAAGGGAGGGAAAAGTTTTATAATAATTGATATTAATTTATAAATAATTTTGTGTAGTGAGCTTAGATCTTTTTTATAACTTGTTCAATGTCAAATTTGCAAAATAATCTTATGATAAAATGCAAAAAATGGATCTAAGTATTTAGATTTTATATGCGCAACTAAATAAAAAATTGAATTTTAAATTTGGTTGACAAGGCCATTTGGTTTAATTTGAATGAATGTTAGCCTGGAGTGTTCACAATGGTGCAAAAGAGAATGAAGAGCTATTTAGCAAATGGAATTGCCATGTAGTTTATCTCTGTCTGTCTTCTCACTCAGTTACATTTGTGTAATGTTCTGGCGTCAAAAGTCATGAACTCGCACAACAAAGAGAAGAAGATACAAAAAAATTCTAGACATTAATTTAATTTTGTTGAAAGCAAAGCTGTGTCAGGTCATTTTCTGAGCTTTGACTAAATTTATGAGTGCTCTTGCGATTTCATTTTACAAACATTGAATAATATTTGTTTATTAGTAAACACCAATTTCTGCGAAATAAAATTATTCAAATTTTCGACTGACCCCTCTTGGAAGCGTGGAAGCTGTCTTGCGGTGATATCCGCTCGATTTGCGCTGTCAGTCTCGAGCGCGGCAGAATCGTCCGGTCAGCGTTGATCCTATCAACGGCATACTTGAAAGCCACCTCCTGTCGATCATCGGCCGGGTGGAAAAGTCCTCCTAAAACAACATAATCCACCAAACCATCAATTTTAGTTTCGATTCATAATAAATAATAATACAAACTTTAACTCATAAAACATATTTAAAAATGTGAGTTGAATTGTGACGAATAAACAATAATAATGTTGTAAAATAATTTATTAACAATCGAGGGTTGTTAAATTTTGTTTAATTGAAAAATTGCAGTTCCTTGTTGGATTGTGTGAGTCGTTTATCGATTGAGTTGCTAATAATATTTATTGACATTTCACAGAAGAGATTTATAGGAAATTTAAACAATATTCTGCTCTTTTGTTTGAAGAAATTGACACTCGAGGAGATATGATCATGGAAGTGAAGAGATTGGGCTTTTTCCTCTTTGTAACAATGATTTCTTTTTTACAATTGTTACAACGAGGAAAAAGCCCTATCTCCTCACTTCCAATATTCTGCTCTATGAAATATGACTGCAGCCAAAACAGCAACTCACAAAACATACTGAGGAACTACCATTTATCGTAAAACATGTTATTTTGCTTTCAAACCAGTTTCAGAAAAATAAAAAATTTCGTAATATAACAGCAGAAATTATTCCAGCAAATTTTATTGTCTGATGCTGAGCTGATTTGATGTTTTTGCTTCTCCTATAATCCTCTTGTTAATGACTTGGAAGATTAGAAAAATGGCGACCCATCCAACGCAGTGAAACATCGTTAGGGTCGTGCGATGCGTGCTGTGGTGGTTTGTCTCGCACGTTGCAGCAATAAAATAAATGACATCATGCGCTGGCGACCAACCAACCGACCATCACAGCATTATTTTACCTCTCAGGACGTGCAGAACGGAGGCCGTACGTGGCCCCTCTAATTTTGTTTGGACCGCGGCGACTGCAACACGCAGCACTGGCAAGTCGAGTGAAATATGGCGAGAGACTGCAAAGCTCCAAACCGCCCAAATAACATTACAGACGTGCGACGCGCTTCGCAAAAAAAAACCAAACTTGTCTTGACGGATCAAATTACCTGTTTGTTTAAAACCCGAAATTGCACCAGGATTAGAATTTTTTTTTCTATTTCTTGCAACTCGCAATTCAAGCTGAGTTTAGAGAAAAGAATGCTCTGAATTCGAGTCAATGAGTTTGTATTTTTTTATTTTTAACCAAAACATGAATAATTTATCGGGAGTTTCTCGGTCACGCTTGTGCCCTGGGAGCGCGCGTGGTAATATTTTGGTGCGCATTTATTACGCAAACTCGACGCGGCACGAGCTCCGCCAGCAGTCGGAATTGAATTTTCTCTGGGGCACCAAGCGTCAATAAAAGTGACAAGCTAATGGGAATTGGCACCAGCAAAATAAGGATAAGCCTATTTTTTAGCTGAAGAGAAAACTTCAATTTATATAATTTTTCATTATTTTTAAAAATAATTTATAAAATTGCTTAATTTGTAAAATGATGAATTTTAAATTTTCTATAGGCGAATAAATTTTATTTTTTATTAAAGCAAAATTCAAGTTTCAATGTACGAATTCTTGACTTACAAATAAAATGTAGGTTCTTGAGACTCATTTTTGTTGATCGAAGCATCAATTCAGCGTGAAAATTTATTGGAAGGGGTTGAAAAGGACTTAAACCTCCGATTTCCAGGGACAACTTGTCTCCCTGGGGGAGCTAATGAAGCGAGTTTCGTTTCTCGACCTCTGTCCCCGCTCGACAATCAATACGCAGAAGACGAAGAACGACCGATGGAGCATCTCTCCCCAGTGTGCCGCCGCCGCCGCCGCCGGAGATGATGCCCCTTTGAACCCAGCAGCCGACATACAAATTGATAGCTTGGCTAACAGCATTGCCTGCGAATGGCGCTCGCCGATAAATGAGTCTGTGAGCGGAGAGGAGATGAGCGGAGCGAGCAGCCGAAATGGGATTTGTGGCCACCTTTGCTTTACTTCGCACTTCCACAAGTCCATTTATTTCTGCGTCCCCTTCGCATTGCCATTTGATAGACTGTGCGAGGCCCGAGATAAACGGCTCTCGACTCTTTTTTTTTGTCGCGTTGATTGCGATTTCTCGAGCAAAGAAACTTCGACTCTTACTTTTTCAATAATGATCTTCCAACTTCTGCCAATAAATTACAGTAAACTCCGTCTTAAATCGTATTTTCTGCTTAAAAAATTAAAACTGTAATTTAAAAAAAAAAAACTCATTTTCTTGAAAGTGCTCAAGTAAATGAGCAGATGAAAGACGTTAAAAATAATATATTTAATTAAAAGAGGTTTAAAACAAGTTAATTAACAAATTTGGTATTTTGAATAATATTATTCAAGTATTTAAGTTATTTAACTTAATTCAAACAATATTCAAAATTTTTGAATTGGTATGAATAGCTGTTTTTTATTCCAATTCATTTCTTTGTGTACTTCATCATTTTGGAATTCTGTACCATCTTTAGGACATCAATCTCCATTTGGACTGAAATCAAGAGTTATGTTTGCATCGTGAGCGGCAGAAAAAGTATGACTGTAAAATTTATAGCTCAAAGGATGAAATAAGAATGAAACTTAGGTAAATGTCGGCTGAAGAGCTAGAGCATTTTTTTTTATACAAAAATCTTATTATATATTAAATTAAAACAAAATATATCTACTTTATTTCTGGTTTGCTTAAAAAAATTTGTTTTGGTTAAAATTCTAAAAATACTAATTTATTTTAAAATAAAAAAAAATTAAAAACGTCTTGTTTTAAAGGAGACGTTTTATTTAATCCTTTCCAAAATTTTTTGATCTCGTTAGCTTTAGCCAAGCCCATATTGCACTGGAAAAACGCGTCGTCACTTCATCCGCAATCTTTCCAAATCTTTCAACTTTTCCGCTGCTGTTTTCGTCTCTCTACAAAGAAGGAAAAAGCAGCTTTTCAAGCTGAGCCTGGAGCAGCAGAAGTCAGAGCAAGGGGTGAGGAGGAGTCGCTTCTTATTCAGCGCGGTGGTTGACTCAATTTATCAAGGAAAACAAGTCGCGCGCGAGAGTGGCGGCGGCAGTCTTTTCATCGCACAGGATTTTGACGAAGACGAGTCAGGAAGTTTAGTGCATAAATCACACACAACATCAATGGGCTCGCTGGCAGGCTCCCCTTTCAGACTGCCAGCGTGAAAACACTGCCTACGCTTTGTGCCAACTAAGGGTCAATCAAGCAGCAAAAACGCGCTAATGATCGCCTATCAGTGTCGAGAAATTGCCGCTTAATTATTAAATCAATGTTTTTGATGCCAGAATAATTGAGCACCGCTTCATAATAAAGATAGTGTTGTCTGTAATACCTATTAATTGCAAAACAAAATAAAATTCAAACTTTATAAAAATATTTTTCATGATAGAATTTTTAAATTTATCAAATTAAATAATAAAAAGATTTAAATTTTAATTTATTTGATAAGAAATTAATACACTTCGTTAAAAATTTTAATTAGTAACATGATATGATATTATTCATTAAAATAAAAAATAAATCATTTTTAAAATAACTTGCAGCACAAGGCATCATGAGTTTTAAATTGGATGAAAGTTTTTTGACGTTTTGTCTCTCTGAATTTTGTATTATTAATTATTATCAACTTATGAATATAAAAATGCTTTTTCATAATAAAATTAAAGAGACATTTGTGTGATAACTTTTTGTAGCTCGTCATAATTTTCAAAATAAACGAACAACTTTGCCCAATTGTGTAACAGACAATGGGTCTAATGGAGCTGGAAGATGATTGCGGCGATGCAGCAGGGCGGCATCAGAATTGTCCCCCTGCACAGAAGGCCCATATAAAATAGCCGGGTGAAGCGAGTATTGATTTTCCCCAGTGCGCCTCCTCTCGCCAGTGCGCGCGCGAGAGAGAGAGAGAGAGAGAGAGAGAGAGAGAGAGAGAGAGAAAGACGGGCAGTACGAGAGAGTACACTCGGCGCCCTTATACACGCACAGCCTCACGCTTTAATGCAAAAGTTAATGATCACTCAAGCGCCGGTTCACCCGTTAATTGGGTGGATGCGAGCCCGGCGCCTCAGGCTTCAAAGCCTCAAAGAGACTTTGATATTATAAAAAAGATATGTGTAAAAATATTCGCAAAACAAAGCGAATGTAAAAAAAAAAATGTTAAGTCTCTTCGACACGGATTATTTTATTTCCATTCGCTTGATTATTGAAAAAGTTTTTCGCGAACTTGCACTCTTGTGTGAATTTCCGATCGGATCAAATTTTACCTGTTGATGCGCAGAACAAGTGATCAAAAGTTTTCGGCCGCCCATCGATGCCAGAAAAGCCGCGCACAACTTTGTTAATCGGACGCGAGCGCTTTTCCAATGCCAAGGGAATTGTTCCGAACGCCGAGGGTTCATTCGATCTCGTTACGCAACCTTGATGGAAAATTTTTACTGATGAAAATTATGTTGTCCCGCTCAGAAATCGTTGCATAATTTTGTTATTCTGATTTTAAACATTTTGATGAAATTCGTTGTTTTTGTTAACATCATTTTTGCTTTTGAAGCGCGAGACAGAAAAACGCCCGTGGCTGACTCTTTTTTTTTCATTGTGAGTGTTGGAAAAAGGGTAGAAGCACAATAGCTTTTAGTAAAGTAATTTAACTTTTCCACTCTCGGCAAGATCAAAGGGTGCCTCGGTGACGAAACGCCATCCAGGGAGCAGTTAAAACTCTCCGGCCAATTATTTTCCATCCCCCTTTTCAAGTGGCAATTTTTTTTGTAACTTTTGAAATTCGTAATTCAATTATTTCTTTGATTATTTTAGATTGAAATGGTTCTGAGGAACAACAGGTGCAAAAGCGATTGCGAACAATCTGAAAGACGGAATTTCCATTTTCAGCAGCAGCTGCAGCCCAAAATTCATCCTTATTTAATTAAAGACGCTGTCGGCTCGCGAAATTGCACAAAAGCTATTTCCTCGCTCATTCATTCTGCGCAGACAATTTCCCATTTCGCAGTTCCCTGCTCTGCAGACTGAGAAGACGGTGTATGTAATAAGAAGAGGCTCGCTTGATCATCTCCACAGGCATTGTGTGACGGCACCGCTCGCATGAGAACTGAATACAATTGCGCACGTTCCGCCCATTCTCACCATAAATTCTCGTTTATAAATTTATCTTCAATTTTCGTAGTTTTAAAAAGACGAAAAAATTACCCTTTTTACAGATTTAATTAGCTTTGCAGAGATTTATTAAATTATTTTTTATTAATTATAATTGCACTTAATGATTGGAGAAAAATGAAGTTAAATGTTGTTGTTCTTACGGCAAGTAAGTGCAAGTCGAGAGTGAGGTGGCGTCGTTTCAGTGCTTTTGTTTTGATCTCCAGACTGAGTGCTTAAGGCTGGCGGACAACCCTTAAAGCAGCTTTCAACGCACCGTGCAAGTGCTCCAATTTTTAGTCTTGGCCTCGTCAATGGCCCTCTTCGCCACCTCTTTATTTTTCGCAAGCTCTTCAAGGAATTTTCAGTGGCAATTATTTTTTTAGTATTGGCTTTTTCATGATGTATAATAAGAAATAATTCTTTATTACGATTTAATTACCAATTATTTACAGTTCTATTTTCTATTATTATTAATTATTTATTCTTCTTGGTCAATAACAATTTAAAATATTGGAAAATAAAGAAGAAAGAGATTAAAACATATTAAACGGTAATAATAAATAAATTATTTATTATTATTAATTTATGACAATTAATATAAAATTTTGAGCTCAATGTTTTCTTTATCAAATTTAAAGCTCTTGTGAATAAAAAGACGTAACTTTTATTAATAGCGTGCCAGAGATTTTGGTTCCAATGCACAAAAGGATAAAATTGAGATGAATTTATTTCTCAATAATCCGGCGGTCATTAATCTTGCGCAGCACAGAAATAACTCCATGCGAAACGAGCGAATTTTCAGAACAGTTGGTGGTGGATTTGTATGATTGACGGACGTGACGCGTATTTTACATTATTAAAGATGAGGCTGCGTGCGTGGGTTGAAAAATAACCCTGCCACACGACAAGGGTTTGTGGGATGAATGGCTCTTGTCTGCGGAAATAACGTTCATCGCGAATTTTATGGTCGCCGAGCAAATTTCTTTTTACCTCCGGAACGTACGTCGTCGGCGCAGCAACAGTACCTGAACGAATGCACGCTTCGAGGGATACGTAAGAACGAGAGCGAAAAAACGAGAGCTTTATCTGCAGCCCTCCTATTAACGAGCGAAATGTGGATGAACAAGCTTTTTGTTAGAAATAACGGCCGTGTTGAAAATTTCTGCTTTGCGTGACTGATTTCCCCCGGATATAAATTACTGAAATTAAAATTAAATAAAAATTGTACTCGTGTCAAAGTTCAATTTTTTTTAATGCAGTAATAACAGTTCTTGACAGATTTTTTTTCTATCTCTCTTAATTATCTATTTATAAATTGTAAGCCACTGTGTGCAAGAGACTTTTAAAGCGTTTCTGCCTCAAATGACATAGTGAAATTTGCAACTCGAACTGTGCTTTACCTCTTTTATTTTAGCTCATGGAATGGGTATAAATTATTTTTTAAGCCTGACTTACATGTTGTCAAATATAAGCGAGATACAAGCAGAAAAGGAAGCTATAAATTGTTGTAAATTGTAGCTCAAGTAGTGATATAAATGTTAATTTTTAAAATTATTTTTGCACAACCTGCTTGATGCTACTACCCTTCAAGGTTGCTCATACAGACCAAATTTCAAACGTTTCATTAGACTATATATAGTATGATGGCATCAACTAGACTGTGGGAAAAGCACAGGACTCTCAATAAACTGGCCATCGCCGGTCCACCTAGATCACCTTGAAACTAGCCAAAGATATATAAAAAGGAGCAAAACCTCCCAAACGACCTGCAATCCGGCAGTCTTTGCGCAGAAAGACAAGAGAAGAGATGTCGTGCCTCACCTATGCTTGTGCCATACTTCTCGTATTCACTCTAGCTTCGGCGCAAGGTATGTTAAAATATCTAACAATTTCCGTAATTTTAAATTAAATGTGCTCTTGATACCCAATTTGCGTTGATTTTTTACTTCTTTGTCTATATACTATGATTTTATAAGTATGGTTATTCAGTGTTTCAGTCCCAAATCGTCCACAGGCAAAGCGCTCATGGATATGCTCCTTTAAGCAAGTCATCTCAATATTTTTACATAAAACCTCCTTCAGCAGCATCACAATCCACCAACTCAAAACCAGGAGTGAATAACGTATATCCTGCTGTAAATCTCGCGCCCGTATATCAACTTGCAGTTGCACCTTTGCGAAATCCAAATCAACGAACTTGCATATTTTTTAATGGCAGATGTAGAAACTTTTATCCAGGCAACTAATAAACGGTCTAAGTGCTCGCCTTTAGCGAAAACTTTATCGCTTAATTCTTTGTTGTATGTTGTATTATGTAGTGATTAAATTTTTTAACTTTCAAAGTTGTAAAATTAATATTCAGTAAATTTTCTCTCTTGATGTAATTAACCTTGTAATTTTGAATATTTACATGAAGTGTGTGAGGGCAAAGAATATTCCAATAAATATTTCTTCAAACTATAATCTGGCAGCTTTATTGGTTTTTTGTAACCTTTTAAGTACATGATGAAGCAGAAAAGAATAAAAACCTGCACTGTAGTAAGATTATTAGATGAACTATTTTTAAAATAAACCTGGATGAATTTATAAAACTTTGAATTTAAAGATAAGGAGAACTATTTTTATTTGGAATCTCAAACGATCGCGTGTACTTACCGATTCTGATGACATCTGGAAGGCTTAAAACCAGTTGCCCACCAACCGCAAAGAAGAAAACAATCGAAAGAAGACAAAGCATTTTAGATCCTGCAAATCAAACAAGTAAAAAAAAATGTAAATTAGATTTGTAATTAATTAAAACATTTGACAAAAAATTAATTTCAAAATTTAATGAATTATTGAAATGGGCGCGTTTACTGCTTGAACGAATTCAAAATTTGAGGATATGACGGATATCGATTATTTTGAGCAATCCAGTAAACTCATCAATTATTTTTCACATGAAAAGTTTTGATTCTGTGATTAACAACCACTGATTATTGGAACTTGTTTTTATCGTTTATTGATATCATAGGTAATGTTGGTGGTTAATAATGCATAAAACGTGGATGGTGCTCCGTGACCGGAAAAGCGATAAAGAGGTGCGCTTGAATGCAAGGGTGCACCGTCAACTCGTTAACGAGACACGGTGCTTGAGGCTGCGGTGCGTGTCATTTAGCCGGCGACGCACGCGTTAAAAAACGGTCTCCGTCCCTCGTCAAGCCGAGGATGGTCTTTTCTGGCGCCCGACAAGACGCAGCAAATAATTATCAAGAACTGAGATTGAGCACGCAAATGATGTAAACAATCTTAGGAAATAATTGAAAATTAATATTATTTACTGTAATTTTAGAAAATTTTATAACATGAACATGAAATAAAGATTAATGATAAAAAAAACAAATTTTTAACTAAAATTAGAAAATTTTTTGGCAGAAATTAGTTTCGAAAAAAATTAAAATGGAAGCTTACAATACCCATTGAAAAATAAAAAAAATTTGCTTTCAAACGCTCTTCCTCGATAATTTTAGGTAAAAATGTGAAAATATCTACTGGTCAAGCTATTTATTAAGTAAAAACCTTCTAACTGGCCTTGTTAGCTTCACGAAGAAGAGTTTAAAAATCGCAACTCACCTCTTGGAGCGGACGGTCATCCCGGCCGGATGCTGCAGCTCCAGCTTGCCATCTGAAGATGCGAGCGAGCAAAAGCAGCAGCTGCCCGAGTGACTTTTCCGCAGCCGCGACGGCCGCGCCCTCGACGCCGCACCCGGAAACTTTCACCCCCTGCACCCCTGGGACGTGTCAGCTACACACACACTCCGCAGTTTTTCCAGCCGGAACGCAATATTTTTAATTGGCACGTGACGTCGCGTGCGCGTCCCAGTGCTAATTCTCGACTCTCCACCTCTGCAACACCATAAAATATGCAAATTGCGTGTTAAATAAGTAAACAACAAGCTGGCCTGCGTAATTAACTTTAACGTTGTTAATTTGAAAATTTCAAGAATTTTAAAAAATCTTTATCATTTTTGAAATAAAAATTCATGACTTTTTATCTTGCAAAATTGAATAATTCAACCCCACAAAAATCACGTCAGAAATTAGATTGATATAAGACTCGGCGAAAAATAAATTTATATCTAATTAAAGTATTATTAATATTTCGATTGCCAAGGAACTTTTTGCAAGAGCCCAAAATTTTCAATCTTTCCCGGAGATAGAAAAAAATAAAATATTTTGACAATCCTAAACAAGAACAGACGCCAAATTATGGAAACATTTTTGAGATATGATTAACAAATATCTTGTACGTTAAAAAATAAAATGATTTGATGTTAACTTAATTTTACTTCATAATATACTCTAAAATTTCTTTCCTTTGTAAATATTTTTCTTGATAGCGTAATAAATAATATTTTCTGAAACTTCAACTTTCTTCTCTGAATTCTCTTAAATATGCGTTTAATTTTACATCAGTATCATTTCTCAATTACGCAGCTGGTTGTGATGCGTGTTATCAACTGAGAGGAGAGGCCAATGTGCCAAAAGGCAGGGCAGGGGCAAGGTCGTTGACGTGATTGTGAAAACAAAATATAGATTGGGTTGCTTTTTTTTTTAAATAGGTTACCAAACAAATATCGTGGAACTTTAAAAGCTGTGAGAAATCGGCCGCTATTTCTCGCTTACAAAAAATAAAATATATGTCATATTATGACTTAATTATTTGTAAACTAGTCTGCTTTGGGTTAGTGCAAATAAAGTTAGTAATTTGCATTAGGGGCTAAAAAAAAATTCATTGTCAAATTGAAACTTTTTTTTTGTAATTTACCAAATAAGAAAATGAGCGCTTTATAAAAGCTTTTTATTATCTGTCCTATTTTTATATCTCAAAAAACGTTATGACGACCATCACTTATTGCCAATCATGCAAATCAGCTTAATTGATGAATTGAAAAACGAAATTTCAGGGAAATTAAGTAAAAGTAGTGTCACTACATTAAATTAAATAATCACAATTTTCACGACTCAGCGGCTGTATGAAAGTAAATTATTCGTGGCCTCCATGGAAGCTGTTATTTACAACAATCTAAAACTTTTCAGCCAATTATATTGATCAATGGAAGCGTTGTTTTATAATTTATTCACTTAAATTTATTTTTAATAAACATGGGTGCGTAAGATGGCGAATTTTCAAATCATTCATGTGACATAATAAACCCCTTTAAGCACCATTTAAATCTTATTTTTCAATGAATATGAGTAAAAATCTTCTGGAAAACTTGAATTTTTAGAGAAATTACGCTTTTTTTTATTGTTGAATGCGGCTGAGTTATTATTTTGGATAACAAATTTCCGCGAAAGGGAATAAAAATAAACGATGCAATGCTTTTGAATTCCTTTTGTCAGCTCTCGCGGCACTTTCGTTGCCAAGGAGACGAGTTCATGATGGGGTGCTTATTCGGGAACCTTCATAAATAAATTTTACTGTAAGTGGATGGTGATATTTTAGCTTGTGATGAGTGTGAGTGGAAAAAGGTCCAGCATTTCATCATCACACCGCAATGGCGATGCAAGGACGTCGACGGCGATCAGTTACAACTCGGGCTCTTCTGGCGAGGACAGCTCGGACGATGACTCGGGCGACGACCTAATTTTTCAACAACTCAAGAACAAGACCGCCAGCAACATGGACTGCACTTACTGGGACGTCCAAAAGCTCATCAAATACACTAGGGTAAAAAAATTCAACGAAAACGAGGAAATAATGGAAATTTATGAAATAAAAGATTATTTATTAATGAATTAAAAAGAAATTTTTTACTGCACAGGAGCCATTTAATTATTCTAATAACAGAAAAACGCTTTTATGTTATTTTATCATCCACCTTAATTAATTAAATAACTGTAAAAATTAGCTTTCCTTTTTTTCTCTCTCCACCAAGAGTTTAAATTTAAAATAAGTGAACCCCTGTTTATTATAGTGATAGGCAACCCGCTCTTCATCAGAGGCTAGCAGGAAGCATTTTTACTCCCTCTCAGATTTTATTATTATTATAATTATATTTTTTAACTGTTTTATGAAATGCATTAAGTAATTTTATTTATTTACTTTTAATTTGCTCTCCAATTGATTTTTTATTTGATTTTTTCTAATTAATTTATGAATTAAAAGGCAGGAAATCGTACAGCGACAATTTTGGCTTTGTCCTGCTTGAAAGACCACGAGCTGAACAGCGTTTCTTGTCAGCAAGCAATTCGTGATATCGGAGGAATCGAGGTGCTCATTAATTTACTCACGACGAGTGACGTCAAATGCAAGGTTTGTAATTTAAATAATTATAAATAATATGAAAATAAGCCTCAATCTGCACAGATTGTGGCTCTGCAAGTTTTGTCTGAGCTCGCCAAATGCACTTTGGTGCGAAGGAATATCACGGACTTGGGCGGCGTTCCTCAACTGGTCACTCTACTCGCCTCGCCCAGCTACCATTTGAGACTCCTCGCGGCCCAAACGCTGGCGCACGTGGCGAAAGTCAGCAAGGCGAGCCGCATGGTGCGCAAATCGTACTACGGCCTTGCAAGACTGGTAAGAATAAAATTCAAATTAAATTTTTTTAGTTTATGCTGAAATCAATACTATGAAACAACGCATAAAAATAACATATTGTGAAGTGATAAACAAAATTAATTAAGTTTTAATAAAAATTTAAATTGATCTTCTTTGTTGCGAGAAAAAAATTGTCAAAATTAAAATACAATTGTACTTAGATACAATTTAAAAATTAAAATAAAAAACATTTCAATATTTAGATAATGTTTACTTATTATTGTTTTTTAAACAATAAATGCTTCATTACAATTAATTATCAAATATAACTCAAAAGTAGGCTTTTAATTTACAAATTTTAATAAAAACTTAAAATTAAAATTAATCAGACTTAATAAATTTCAGGTTGATCTCTTAGACATTCCAAGCAGTGTTTTGGAGAGAAAAATCGAATTACTGACCGACGATGAAAAGCAAATGCTGGACGTGGCCCACGCGGGTGCCAGAGCTCTGTGGTCGCTTTCGCAGAGTCAGAAGAATAAGAAGGCGATGCAACGAGCGGGTTGCATACCCTTGCTGGCCAAATTACTCCGCTCGGTGCACACAAACGTACTCGTGCCTGCCGCCGCCACAGTCCAGCAATGCGCAACTGAAGTATTCTCCAACAAATATTATCCGTAGAAAATTATATAATTAATTTTTTTTTTTTTTTAAATCAAAGGAAATTTTTAAATTGGCCATGCAGAAGGAAGGGATGATTCCAGATTTAGTGACTCATCTTTCAAGCAACGATGCTGAATTGCGGAAACACGCGGCGCTAGCAATTTTTAAGGTCGGTTATTAATAATGATGACGAACCGTGATATTGCCATTTGTAGTAAATATATTCAAACTTTCTGATCAAAATAGTGTTTAAATCTAGAATTTTCCAGGAATTTTCATTTTAATCTAGTAAAAGTATTGAAAGCAAATTAAATTAAAAAATCAAACAAAAATTAAAAGTAAGAATTCGCAAACATTTTCCAAAATCTAAAAGCAGCTGTTGTCACCGAGGCATGAGTAAAAAATTTGGAATTTCAATAATTTTTTAATAGTTTTATAATTTAATCATGCATAAATTAATTATTACAGTAAATGAACTTTGTTATTTTCTTTCATTTCTTTTACTAACGAAACAAGTGGATTTTTTTTAGAAAATAAGCATATTAATTGAAGCTATAAATTATTTTAAAAAAAAAACTCCTTATAGTGTGCTGAGGAAAAGGCGACTCGCGATGCAGTGAGACAAAACGGAGGGCTCGACCCATTGGTGGAAATGTTGAAATCAGAGACAGCAATGAAGGACGCCAACAACAAAGCTATAGTGGCTGCTCTGAGCGGCGCCCTGTGGAAATGCGCAATCAGCCCTGAGAACGTGCGACGTCTTGAAGAGTTGCACACCATCGACCTGCTCGTCTCGTGCCTCAAGTGCGAAGACAACGAAGAAGTATGAAAGCCAGTTAAAAAAATTAAAAAGTTACACCTCTGAAAATTTAACTAACAAAAAAATTCTCTCTATCCATTCAAATTTTAAACCTTCAAGGAGAACTTTTTGTACTGAACAGGTTTTGACTAATTTGGTTGGGGCTATTGCCGAGTGCTGCCGTTCGCCCAACAACAGGATCGCCCTGCGAATGGCGGAGGGACTGCCACCTTTGGTATCCTTGCTCTCAGGAACGAACCCAAAACTACTTGAAAACACGGTCCTGGCCCTGGGACACGCGGCCCAGGAGCCGCAGAGTTTGAAAATCTTGCTCGACTTGGACGGGGTGCGACTTGTCTGGACTTTACTCAAATGCTCGGACCCTAAAGTGCAGGCCAATGCCGCCGCCTCTCTATGCCCGTTTATAAAACACTCAGAGGTACAATTTTATAGTATTAAAATTTATTTATTTTTACACTTTTTTTAGCGTTGTTTTGTTTTTTATTTTTAAATTAAATTTAAAAAGCTGTAGCATTATATGCAAATAAATAAAATTATTAGGATTCTGCCGAAATGGTGCGCAGTCTGATCGGGGGCTTCGAATTACTGGTCAGTTTGCTCGCCTCGAACGACATCAGAGTTTTGAGCAACGTTTGCGCGACTGTGAGTTGCATTGCGAGCAAAGACAGGGACAATTTAGGAATCATTACAGACTACGGTGTTGTGGAAATGCTCGCCTCCTTAGTCATAACCGTAATAATATTTCTTATATTGATAAGAAATTTTAAATTATAAGTTTTTTGATAGGAAGACCCAGGTTTGCGCAGCCATTTATCGACGGCGATCGCCCACTGCGCCGATTATGGCTCTAATTGCAGAAAATTTGGACAACTCGGAATTGTGCCAATTTTGGTCGACTACATGACCAGCAACAATTTGAGTGTCCTCAGGGCGACCGCAAATGCCTTGTATAAATTATCCACCGAGCCTTACAACTGCATTTGCATGTTTGACAGCGGCGTCGTGCCAGTGAGAAGAAAAAATATTCAATATAAAAAATAATTAACGAAATTTAATATTACTTTTAGCACTTATTGATGACGATTGGTTACTCTGACGAGCACTTGCAAGAAAGTTCGGCGGGATGTCTGAACAACATAAGAAAAATGGCTATAGCAGCGCAACAAGAATATTAAATGTTTTATTGTATTAAAGCTTAAATACATTTTTGACTAATATTAATTGCAAAAAATAAAAATGTTACATAGCTACGATTAAAAATTTAATTCTCAACAGTGTTTAATTTGTATAAAATTATCCTTTGAATTTTCTAGCAATTAAATAGAAGCAAGATATCTTTAAAGAAAGAAAAAAATTATAATCAATGGACTAATTTAAACAGGATCCATTATTTTCAACAGGACCCGGGGTTTTTAAAAAATGATTTGAAATGATTAATAGTTATATTTATTAATTTAATATAATACTCAATTAAGAGCATTAAGAGCTAGTAAAAATAAAGGAATTATAAAGGTGAAAAATTGAAATTAATTTTTTTTATGCAAGCGACCCTTTGATTTTAGATTTTAATTTCCTTTGGCCAGCGCGATCGTAAATTAGATTAATGCATAATCTGAAATTAGATTTAGAAAAAATAAAGAGGTTTATTTACCCCATGCCTTCATGCGTATCAAGTTCATTCACGGGCATCATCAGAGGAAAGATCTAAATCGCAGTCACACTCTTTCTGACCCCACGTTTTTTCCTCTTCATTTTGCCGTTGATCTTTCCTGCTTATAAATTATTGCTTCTGCACCACGTCTTCACGGACGTCACCAATTAATCAGTCACCAAAAGGGTAATGCGCATTACCCTTTGTTAGTCGCGCGTCGTACAAAATTTAATTCAGTGTTTCAGAAGAAGCAGCAAGATGTGGATAATCACTAAATTCTCGGTATGTCTTCTCATTGTGGGCATTGCTCTAGTGGTGCAAGGTATGTAAATGTTGAATAAAAAATTCATTTATCATAAATCATAACTGATTAATCAATTCTCGCGTGAAATTAGAAGAATTATATATGTATTTCATATACTACTTTATTTAGATCAATCTTTAAATATTTATTTTAATCATGCGATATAGAACATTTTTTAGTTCTTTTACTCTAATTTTTCAGCTTCTGAAGAACCAAAGTTTCATCCACGACAAATCTCTCGCCGGAGCGTAACAGAGGACGTCAATTACGACTCATATTTGAGTGAAACGACCACTAATATTCCTCAAACGGTAGATTATGAAGATCGTTATTCAGATTCCACGGATCGCACTGAAGCTAATCAAAGTTCCACTGAAACTAACTTTGAGGACGTCACTGAAAAATTATAAAAAAAAAATATTTTTTGTTTTATAACTGAAATTTTGTATACCAATTAAACCAAGATGATTTTTTTTACTATTGTTTTTTGTTCCAAAATTTAAATAACGACATCGGAATTAATCTGTGTTAAAAAGGATTATAGAATAAATTTTTTACAATTTTGCTATTGTAATGTGATTTTATTTTATAATTCGGTCAGCGGCGAATTTTCCTGTGAACTGCGCTAGGATGACTTTTTTATACGGTAGGATTCCCAAAGGGAGATATACGGACGGACAAAAATATTACTAATTTATTTTATCTTTTGATATATTAATTTTTCATTTATCCTATTGAATATTCCTCAATAATAATATTTGAATAATGAAGTATAAAACATGTTAGGATTGTTTTTGTATGCTGTATTTTCTAGCAGGAAATATTTTTATGTCTATTCAAAAAGTAGATGTTAAAAATAACTCATGTTTCATTTTTGGCAATTTAGATCATGCAATAATTATGTATTAAAGAGACTCATTTTTCTGACGGCAGCATAAAGTGAAAGGCACTATGGCTCCTTGTAAAACCATTTCCGGTTGGCTGTTTTCTCACCTTTAATTTCTTGGTGTGTCATTTTCCCATTATTTCCAGTTTATATGTGGCATTGCAAAAAAAATCGCAGGATTTTTAAGAAATAAATTATAAGTTCTCCAATTTTAATTTCAAGAATCACGCCGATTCATTGAAAATTGGCTGCAATAATATAACAATTCAATTGTAAGTAAATCATATATACAGATTCGTACAGATTATCACTTGGCATTAACAGTTTCTTACAATTTAATTATGGAAAATTAATTTTTCACAATAATAATTTGCAAATCTGCATTTCTTATATCTATTGAAATCATAATTAAATTGCTAAGTTCTAATTATTAACTGGTAGAAAATAACCAATTTTTTCTGACATAAAAAAAAATATATCCCAAAGATTCTCAACTCGCATAAATGGGAATAAATTCAAATTCTAAAATAAACAATTGCTCAATGCTCAAGCATCCAAAATATTTTAATTAAAAATACAAATTGGGTACACAGACTGTGTTTTCCTAATCGAAATTTAATTAGCAACTGAACACTTAAGTCCATGATTCACTTGGGGGAACTCCATTATTTTCAAGATGCACGAATTTCAATTTTTCCATCATACAATTAATTCTGCTTGCAGAATATCAAAAATCTTAGCAAAATACGGGAACTTTTAGGTTCACTTAATGAAACAAAACAGTCACATTTTTCTCTGTTCAGAATATAAAAAACCTTTTCCGAGTCAAACTGAATCAGAAGCTGACGAATTTCGGGTCAGGCGAGCCTTCGACCTGCTTGCGGTCTCGATGAGCGTGCCAAATGTGTTTTCTCAAACTGTTGTAGTGCTTGTAAGTCTTGTTGCAGTATTCACAGATCATGGGTTCATTTTGCAAGTGCACATATTTTACATGGTCCGAGAGTCGCGTGTTGGTCACAAAGGCCTTGTTGCAGATGCCGCAAATGAAAGACTTTTCGCCGTTAATAAAAGCTGTGCCGTCTGCAGATCTGATTCCTGGGAAAAAGATTTGAAAGAAAAATGAGCGTTGGAGAAAATGAAATAACATGAGTCCAGCCACCACTTTATTAACATGGCTCGTGAAGGGACAAGGAAAGTTTTGGAACAAAAATTAAATTTCCAGTCTTAACTAATTTGGCACGTTGATTTTATTTTCAGGAAAAACCTCTAAAAAATTGTAAACATCACAAAGCTAATCGTCGGCAGTGCTAACAAAGTTGCCTTTTGTTTTTTTTTAGTAACCTAGCAGCCGTTACTTCGCGAAACCAGACTTAAATTCATGGGAAATCTGCTTCAAAATTGTGTCAGGCAGTTCAGGGTGTTTCGAGCGCACATGATCGTTCAGATCAAAGAGCGCACCAAACTTTTTAGGGCAAACAGGGCAGGTGTGCCGTTGAGTCGAGTGAACTCTCATGATATGTTTGTACAAATTTGCAGAGCTGCTGAACCGTTTCTGGCAGAAATCACAACATGCATTATCTCCCTCCTGATGAGGCCTCGATGGGCGCATCGGACCTGCAACAGGAGGCGATCGTCTTCATCTGCACTCGAATTAATCTACTAATGATCTAAAGGGCCAAATATTTTAACTTTTTCAAAATGAGCCAGTAATTTTTTTAAGTTATTTAGTTGCCACCAAAGTTAAATGGGATTAATTAGTGAAATATTAGACCAGAATAGAATTAATTGCGGTTAAAATCTCCCAGGATTTAAATGTTCACGTGGAAAGGCTTGGAAAAATTGTTTGTGTATTACTATAAAATTATTTTATAAATAACAGACAAATTTAGAGACCAAAACAAATAAGTATTAAATAATTTAACAAATTTATATTTTAATTGATTGTAAGGAAAATTACTACCAATTTGATTTCTAAATCGATTTTCTTTGTTCAATTTTAACAAGCATAACCACGAATCATGAAAGAGGAAAAAATTGAAATACCTCAACCTAAATAAGGTGCAAAAAATACAAACCTTGAAATGAGCTGTGCGAACTGCTGCCCTCCGCATCCATGTGGCCTCTCTGTCCAACTGCCAACTGGCCACTCGAGTCCAGACATATTTGTGATTCCAAATCCAGGCTTTCTTCGTGGGCGGAAAAATCGTGCTCGTTGTCGTTGTCTTCGTCGTCAATGAACTCTTCCGGTTCCTCCTTCTGGTTCTTGATTGTGATGAATTGGATCTTCTGGTGCGGCTCTGCAACACCAAGATCCCGTGGCTGCGGCACTGGCACTGGGGGCGGCGGGGACAGCTTGGCTGGCTCCGTCAGTTTTCTCCTTTTGACTTGAGGCGCCTGCGACTCTTGGAACAATTGGCTCACGTTCCGTGAACTTTCCTGTTCGAAAATAAGACAAGAATTATTATAAAACCAGTGAAAAATATTCCTTTTAAGACAAACAACAGCATACCTTGGTGTCATCACCAGTAAGCCCTTTGACTTTTAAAACCTCCGCAGTCTTGAGGAATGTGTTCAGGTCGTCCTGTTTGACATTGACCTCCCCTCGGTACATGAACAGTAGAATGGACTTTAGGTCTGTGAAGCTGACATCTTTTAAAATGATGATGGGGTGGTTGTTTGGGTTTACCTGTGAATTTAGAAAATTCTTTAAATTTGAACTATTGATTTATAGGAAAATTATACTTTAAAAAGGGCCTTGAAATAAGGCGAACACACTGTGAGCACCGCTCTGTGCGCTTGGATGTACTGGCCCTCGCAAGCCAAGGTGACATCCACAAGGTTTTTGTCCTCGAACAGTTCTTGGAACCCGGAGGACAAGTTGCTGTGGAAGTTGTTCCATCGCAGAGAAAACTGCTCGCTATCGTCTTCCATCGCTTTACCTATGGCAACAGGTTCAAACATCGTTATCTAGCGTAATTTTTTTTTTTTAGCCGTATTATAAAAATTTGAATTTGAAAAGGAATTAAACTCAGTTTTAAGAGCAAGAAATAAATTTTGGATGTTTTTCAGAGGCGGAAGTTTGAGATCGGCATCAGTGGGTCATCGAATAGCTTCAAGGGTCTGGGATTTCCGTCTCAAGAGGAAAGTGGTGATCAAAATAATGCGCCTCTTGAAAATTTTCAGTTTCCTGCAAGGAAAGGACAACACGCAAAACTCACCTGTTATCTTGTTTCGACGCAAAGTCAACTTTCAAACTTAAAAATTACGGAAAGGAACCATAAAAGCGGTCCGTCTTAGAACTTTTCCACTTTGGTAAACACGGGAACAAAAACACGAGATAACGGAACGTACGTTCACTGGCAGGAATAACAGTATTCCATTCCTGTTCGGAAAGCCTCGAGACCCAAAGCTTTACTGCTCATGCGCCGGAAAATTCTCAAGATGAAAATATGAAAAAAGGATTCGCTCGAGATCCACTACACCGGCTGCGTTTCCCCTTTAAATAATGTAAACGTTTGAAAATTGGCGGGGAGTTTTAAGTCGGCCTTCGCATCTCCTTAAAAATATACCTTCACCTTTGCTTTTGGCCTATACACGGTTACGCCCCCTCCGGCATCTGCTGATGGCTGGTGTGTTGACGTTTTCGGATTTCGGGGGCTGCCGGCTAGCAAAAAATAGGAAATTCAAGACGTTTTCAACAGAAATGACAAGACCGGAAGATTATAAATTAAACGGATATTTTTCTTGAATCTTTTTATCATTAAAGATGACTGCAGAGGTGCAAATTTCGTCCATCCTCAACAAAGTCATGGTACGGATTTTTTTTTCTAAATAATAACGTGATGTCTTATTTCGTGTCTTGATAGAAAATTGACGCCGTTGAGGAGGCTTTTTCTCTGTACATCGTGCACAAAAATGAGACGAGAGGGCAGAAATACGCCACAATTAGCGAAGACTTGAAAAAAGTATTCTCCAGCCTAAACGCCGAGCAACAGGAAGTGGGAGTCAAACACTTTCTTCTTTTGACGGCAGAGACTTCGAATTTGAGTAGACTCCAGTTGTTGCTCAGCCTATTGGAGCAGCTCGTCGTTGAAAGTGTACTGCCAGCTAGGTAATCTATAAGTTAAGTCCTTAGAAAAAGCATTTGAATCCCTTTATTCAGGATGGTGTGTGAGGCGATTATGACCTGTGAAAAGCTCCAGTACCAAAGGCAGAATTTCTGGGTTGAATGCTTTAAATTAATCTCGAAAATCCTCTCTGGTGTGGATTACAAGGTATGCGATTGAGATGATTTTGTAATTTTCACTAATTTTTTATACATTTTAGGGAGTGAGATCAGTCATGAAGTCATGCAAAGAAAAGGCTCAGAGCATTCCTGCTGATTTGAACGCCTCGATCGCTCCCCAGCTCAAAGCTCTAATGGATGTTCTGGAATTGATATTTGATAGGAATGCTTGTCTTCTCCCAGGATACTTTATTGTGACTGAAATCCAAAAAGCCTATCCTAACAACACCAACTGGCCACACTGGGTAAATAATCAAGACTTCGTAAAAAATTAATCCAAATTATGTCGTATTTTCTATTTAGAAATTGGCAAAACTTTTATCAAGTTTTGTGGAAGGATTTAGACCTCTGGCTCAGATGATCAGCATAATTGGCCGATCTAAAATGCTGCCCATCGTCGAGCACTCGGGTGGTGGTCAAGACAATTTAAACACGTCCTGGCTCCTTGACACCTCTACCTTGAAACTCACTTTCAAGGGCAACCTTCCGTATGAAAAAGACCTTCTCGAGCCTCAAACGAAGCTCTTGAGATATGTTTTGGAACAGCCGTATTCTAGAGACATGGTTTGTCTCATGCTCGGACTGACCAAACAGGTAATTTTGAGGCATAATTTATTTTTTTCTTATTAAAATTTGGTTCAAAAGATGAAGCAGCGGTGTCTTGCCCTTGAAGAGCAAATGGTTGAATTGATGGTGGCCGCAATGGAAAAATCGGAAGAAGAGCCGGTTCAAATGGAAGTCAGCACAGAGGAAAACACCCTTTCCTCAGCAAGTCATTTACTCTGGCAGCATTTGTCTTCACAGCTCATCTACTTTGTCCTGTTCCAATTCGCTAGCTTTCCAGACATTGTTAGCGCTTTGCACAAAAAGGTAAAAGTCCTGTAAAATTTCTTAAATTATAATCTAAGTTATAAATTTTAAGCTGGCTGAAAAAGATCTGAAGAAGGGCAGAGACCACCTAATGTGGGTCTTGCTACAGTACATCAGTGGCAGCATCCAGAGAAATACTGTACGTATAATTTTATAAAAAAAATTGATGTTGTAAATCAATTTTTAATTATTTAACAGCTCAATACTCTACTTCCTGTGCTGTGTCTCTGTGACTTTTTGTACCCTGAAAAAGATCCACTGCCGGTTCCTGACTATAATGAGCCTATCAGCTCTCGTCAGTTGGCGGCAACAAGTATCTGGATTCACCTTTTGAAAAAGGCTCAGACTGAAAATAAAGATATTCAAAGACCAGTGCCAAATGCCTTTAAGAACCACCACGAGTAAGTTTCAAATTATTTGATTTAGCAATAGCAAGCAATTTTGATGTAAAATAACATGAATCAAACTTATTTATTTTGCTTTAGGTTTTTGCAGCACTTAGTGTTGTCAAACAATACTCAACTGACCATGGGCTCCGACTACCGGATTGCGATTCTCTGCAACGCTTACTCGACAAACCAGGACTACTTCACAAGACCGATGGCTGCCTTGGTTGAAACAATATTTGGTAGTCAAAAGCCAGGGCAGACCCCGATTGCAACGCCCAGTGGCATGAGCAACGGTCCAACCACACCACTTTCAATGGAAGTGTTGGACTCGTTAACTGTACATTCCAAGATGAGTCTGATCCACAGCATTGGCACCCATGTTGTCAAACTCGCCCAGTCAAAGTCACATTTGCCTCTCGCCCCTGCCCTCGTCGAGACATACAGCCGACTGTTAGTTTACACAGAAATCGAAACCCTCGGCATCAAAGCATTTATTAGTAAATATTTTGCTATTTTTTTATGTATCGATATTTATTTTTTTAATATTTAGGTCAACTTTTACCAAGTGTGTTCAAGTCTCATGCATGGGGCATTTTGTACACTTTGCTCGAGATGTTCAGCTACAGAATGCACCACATTCAGCCCCATTACCGAGTCCAGCTGCTCAGCCATCTCCATAGCCTGGCTGCTGTTCCACAAACAAATCAAGTGCAGTTGCACCTGTGGTAAGAATCTATTCCCTTTTTTTTAGGTATCTTTTCATTTAATGGCTCTTTATTAGTGTGGAAAGCACAGCCCTTAGGTTGATCACAGGCCTCGGAAGCACAGAAGTGCAACCACAACTTTCTAGATTTACAGGAGAGCCTCAGGTTTTGGTTTCAGTTGAGTCCGAGGAGCTCAACAGGGCATTTGTTTTGACCTTGGCAAGAGCCATCCATGTGACTAGATCAGGTAATTATCTTAGATTTTAGTTTTATAGCAAACAAATTATCTGTACATTATAAAATTTAGGCTACGAATCTTTGTCTGGAACTTGGTACAAGACAGTCCTGAAGGCCATCATGACTAATACACCACATTCCTGGGCTAATCACACGCTAGCGTGCTTTCCGCCAGCCTTGAATGAGTTCTTCCAGACAAATACAGTGCAGAAGGAAAATAAACAGCAGCTCAAAGTAATTTAAATTCTGAGGAAATTCATAACAAATTGTTAGCATTTTACACTGCAGAAAGCTGTCGAGGAGGAGTACCGGAATTGGGCATCTATGACTAATGAAAATGACATAATTGCCCATTTCACTGTACAAGGAACGCCTCCTTTGTTCCTCTGCCTGCTGTGGAAGATGATTCTAGAAACTGACAGGATCAGCCCCATTGCCTACAAGTGAGAAAAATTAAAATTAAGAAAGAAAAATTAATCTTATTATTGTTATTTTTTTTTTTTTTTTTTTTTTTAGAATTTTGGAGCGAATTGGTGCAAGACCACTCTCTGCCCATCTTCGTAAATTCTGTGACTACTTGGTATATGAATTTGCAAATTCGGGAGGTGGGCAGCATGTCAACAAGTGCGTAGACGCCATCAATGATATGATGTGGAAGTACAACATTATTACTATAGACAGGCTGGTTTTGTGTTTGGTATGATTGTTAAAAAAATTTCTTGTCTTTTTATAAAAACTTTTTTAAATAAGGCTTTGAGAACTCAAGAAGGCAGTGAGGCCCAGGTCTGCTTTTTCATCATTCAACTTCTCCTGCTGAAGGCTGCTGAATTTAGAAATAGGGTCCAAGAGTTTGTCAAGGAAAACTCTCCAGAGCACTGGAAACAGTCAAACTGGTATATTTAAACGTCATTTTTTGAATCTGGGCCACTTTTTTACATTTTTCAAAATAGGCATGAGAAGCACTTGGCTTATCACAGAAAGTACCCTGAGAGATTTGCTCCAGATGGCAACATGGACCAAGCTGGAGGGAACTCGTCGTCAGTATACAACACTCTGCCCGTGTACTTTGGCAACGTCTGCCTGAGATTTTTGCCAGTAAAAGAAAACAGATTTTTAAGTAAAAATCTTCCTAACCATCTACTTCTTAGGTTTTTGACATAGTGATTCATCGATTCCTTGAAATTCCCCCAATCATAAAATCACTGGAAACTTTGCTTGAACACCTTGGTTGTCTCTACAAATTCCATGGTATGGAAAGAGATTTTACAGAAAGCAATAATTTTAATCCTAATTATTTCACAGACCGTCCAATTTCTTACTTGTACAACACACTTCATTACTTTGAGCACAAATTGAGAGACAAGGCAAGTCTTCGACGGCGCCTCGTTTCAGCCGTCATTGGCTCTTTGAGAGATATTCGACCCAGTGGGTGGAGCCTTTCAGAGCCTTATCAAAATTACCTTCGTCAGACTGATGACAAACCTTGGAATCCAGAGCTGGACTATTACATTCACCTGGTCGAGCGAGTCGTTGACAGTGCGTTTAGCTTTTGAATACAACTTTTGAGCTGTTAAATAATTCACTTCATTTTAGCACTCAATGGCAAACCACCCATTCCACCAACTGACTGGCGCTTTAACGAGTTCCCTAATGCTGGTGCCCACATTCTCTACGTCACTTGTGTGGAGCTGATGGCAGTCCCAGCCACTCCGAGTGTTGTTGCTGGATTCTTACTAGATGTGGTTTTCAAAGGGTACGATATTGATACAAAAATATTTATGCTTATTTTAATCTTGCTTTGTCAGCTATCCAATGATTCCTGTCAAGGACATGGAGCTATGGATCAACGCTGTGGGTCAAGTTTTGGCTGCTCTTCCCGATGCCTACTGGAATGAGCATCACATCAGATTGACGCAGATTCTCGAGTCAATGAAAGTCTGGAACTACAGAAACACTCCATTCCAACTGTTCAACTTCAAAGAGTGCCATGATGGATTATTGGAGAACAAGTTTGCCTACTCGCTCGCAGTTGCACATTCTCTCTGGCACCACTCCGGAGTTGGACAAATGAGTTTCTTCCCAAGGTCAGCAAAAATTTCTTCACTCTTATATTTATTTTTCAACTATAAAAAAATATTCTGATGCCAACTATTTATTTTTTAAATTTTGATTTTATTCTAACTGAATTTGTTCTCCTTTTAATTAATTAGATTCATCAAGGAGCACATCCAGCCCCATGTGCAGAATGAGGAGCAACTCTTGTTCGCATGCCATCTGATTGGCCCTTTCCTGCAACGGTGCAAACCCGAACAGCTTTTCGAAGTGACTGTTTGTTTGAGAGAGATGCTGGAGCAGGTCGACAAACCTGGGGACCAACTCAAGTACATGGATCCAGTCTGCGACCTATTGTATCCTTTCGCCAAAAATAATTATTTGAAATGTTCATAATTTATAAAACAAATTTCCTTGACCAAAAATTCAGTTACCACATCAAGTACATGTATCTAGGTGATATGATGAAGTCAGAAGTGGAGGGCATTTTCAGAAAACTAAGTCCTGCGCTCCAAGTGAGGCTGCGATTCATTGCACACCTCAATCCGGACGAAAACACTGCGACAGGAGCCGCTTCCACTCCTGCGGCCGTTACACCAACAGCGAGTGCACCCGTCTCAACAAACCCACCACCAGGTCCAGTCAATTAAGCAAAAGGTAATTATTTTTAAATTTATTTTTCTTACAAAGATTTTACAATGTCCATGAATTTCTGCACTCGCTCTCCATCAACCTCGTTTTGCCACCTAAAAAATTCGTGTCCTTAGTTTTGTTAGCTAATTTATATACTTAAAATTTTAATTATTTTTAGGCATTTTAAATTAATTTCTCTTCATTTTTGTTTTTACCTTCCATCTTTCTTGAAATAAGTCCCAACAATAACAGCATCAGCTGATTTTGAAAGCTCTTGAACATTTCCCAAGTCAGTACCAGACCCAACAATCACAGGCAATGAGCTCGATTTCTTCACTCCTTTTAAAAATGAGATATTTTGTAACTTTTCGCTCTCTGAAATTTTAAATAAGCTACCATGGAGGTCTTCCTGATTGACAGGGTCGCCTGTCGAAGTGCCAGTCACGATTAGCCCGTCGGACAGGAAAAACTCTGCAGCTCTTGCCGTCTCTTCGATGCTGACATCAGCCGTGATTGCGTGGGAGCTGAATCATTATTTTGTAATATAATTCTTGATATTTGATTTTTTTAACACTTCTCCTATTTATTTGCGTATAGAGTAGAATTTTGTTATCAAATAAATATAAAAAATCACATATCTGTGAAATTTTTGGTAACTAAAAAAATTGCACACCTGTGTTTTTTCTTAATATCGGTGAAAATCAAAACGTCGTCGGCAGCAATTTGCTTGCGATAACGGAGCAGCGGGCCGGCGCAGGAGTCGTGGTATCCCTCGTCGCCCACATGGCCGAACACAAATCCCTCGGCCCTTATGAATTGCAAATCGGCCGCTTGAGCAACAGCCAGCGCCTCGCAGTTGCCCCCAGCCAGAATCTGCACGCCGCAGGCGATGTGGCCGCCGACGATGCGCTTCACTTCGGCGCACACCCGACTCATGACTGCCGTCGTCTCGGGGCGCAGCTCGTGCGACTTGACATAAGGCACGTCGTGCATGTTCTCGATGCAAATCCCGTCCTGCAAATCTCCAAGTCAAATGAGAAGCTTCGCAAGATACCCGAATTTCTCACGACGTTGCTTTTCTTGTAAACTTGGGCGTCGCGGCACGCTTTTTCGATCAGCCGCGTCACTGACCCGCCGAACAGCGGCGTCCCTATTAACATTCTCAATCAATTCGGGCCCGGATAAATTATATATTTCCGTCTGACCTGGAAGGGCGTCTACGTGGATCATCCCTATCACTGCGACGCGATCCACGTTGAAAATCTTCCGGAATCGCAACATTTCCACTCTGTTAAGAAAATAAAAACAAAAATAAACGTAAAGCGTCCGGTTTGTTGTGACAGCGAAACGAGACGCCTTGTGGCTTTGCGCTGAGGTTTTTATCTTCTAGAAATGCACGCTGGGGTCATCTTTACGTAAGAATGTGACTTACAATTGGCATCCAAAATCAATTTTAAACGCGCGTTTCTATTCAAGTTTATAAAACATAAATAAATAAGTAGCTTATTTTTTATCCTGAATATTATTAGATAATATTTATTTGTTGTTGTTATTTTATAAATTTTTGTATAATTTTTTTTTTATATCTCAATTTTGAAGGAAAGTTACTTTTTTAGCGATATCTGTGCAGGTTATTCTGTAAAAAGCAATTTAATTTTTTTTTAACTGCCAATCAATACAGTTCATCCCCATGCGCGGACAGGAAATGAAAGTATGCAACGAGCGCAACACAGAAGACAAACAGGTTGCAGATTAGCATTATTTTCTCCGCAGCAAAAAACAGGCCCATCTTTTAAATCAAAACCATTAATTTATTCTGCGATATACCATGAAAATTTAAAGTATATAGAAGAATATGAGGAGAATTATTTTGATAATATAAAACTTTCACTGTAAAATGTCAGGCATATCCAAACGTGTATTTTGCGGATAATATAAATTATTTGCTCCGCAACAACTATAAATAAATAGAACACATTTTCAGTTGATTTTTATTTAAGCGTTTTATTTAAATTCAAGATTTTAAATGATTTTGACTTGATTCTTATCCTATTCATGATATTTAGGAAAGAAAATATAACGATTTTTTATTAAATAAAAAATTTCCTTATATTTTAAATTTTAAGGTGTTCTCTGTAACCATGATGATTTTTTAATAAGTTTTTAAATAAAATAACCTCTTTATAAAGAATTTGAAATTAAATCATTTGTTTTAACACAATAATATTGCAAATACAGAGCCTTCTTTATCCTTAATTTCCTTTTGATTAATTAATTCTGAAATAATTTCGTTTAAAGCGGATATGTCTTGAAAATCAAAATAATTTGCTTGACATGTTAAGCAAAAATTTGTCCTTTCTCTACATGGTCAGGAGCACGTTCGCACTATCCGCATCCGCTTCTGGTAAACGATAAATTCATTTAAATGCAAGGCAAATATAATCAGACGCATTTTGCGAAAAATCTGCTCGTCAGGCCGCTATAACTTTGCACTCGCTGCTACGTGCCGTGAATGGAGTTACGAGTCGCGGGGTGGCCCTCGGCAAGGTATTGATTTGCAGCACGGGAGCTGCCGAGCCGAGCCGCGCAGAGTAAACGTGCCATCGAGAGAGAGCAAAGTCGGAGGCGGATCGCGGCGCGCGAGATTGGCTGCGCGTGTTTCGGGGCCTCGCGGTGCCGCGCCAATGGGACGGGTCGCTCGGCTTGGGGGGCCGCGGCCTGCGAGGCCGGCGGGTTGCGGGGTGTGAACGGAGCACGGGCAGGGGCGACGCTTGTTGTCGCGATTTGCCTGGCGCCGGCGAGGGGAGCGCGACTCCCTTCCACGCGAGTTGCCCGCCGTTTGCTTGTTGTTCTTTAGTTTGCCCTCTAATTCGTAGTTTGTGGTTGGACCAAAGCAGCTCACCACCACGCTTTAATGTTGATAAAGTTGGCATAAAAATGTATCCAATGTTTTCTCAACAACATCTGATAGTGTTTTCACAATAAACACCGAGCGCACCAGCATCGACGGCCGCCCCGGCTCCACTCGGTGTTTTGCCGCCTTTAAGGACCAGTGAACAAATAATCTGAGACTGATCGCGTGTTTATTATTTTGACAATCAGTGCCAGTGTCTTCTTTTCGTGAGCGATGCACACCTTGTTCGGCGACCAGGGTGCCTACTACCGCCAGAGCGGCCCGTACTCCATGTCCAACCCGCACCACTCGGCCGGATACACGTACGAGCAGTACTCGTCGGCGGTCACCGCGGCCAGGTACGCACCCTACGCCTCGTCGTACCCGGCGGTGGCCGCCGCGGCCGCCGCCGGCCTCGCCAACCAGCACCACCACGGCGCCAACAAGGACATGGTCAAGCCGCCCTACTCGTACATCGCGCTCATCGCCATGGCCATCCAGAACGCGCCCGACAAGAAGGTCACGTTGAACGGTATTTATCAATTTATCATGGACCGCTTTCCTTACTACCGCGAAAACAAGCAGGGCTGGCAGAATTCGATCAGACACAATTTGAGCCTGAACGAGTGCTTCGTCAAAGTGCCGCGCGACGACAAGAAGCCGGGCAAGGGCAGCTACTGGACGCTCGACCCCGACTCGTACAACATGTTCGACAACGGCAGCTACCTGCGCCGACGGCGGCGCTTCAAGAAAAAAGACGCCCTGAAGGAGAAGGAGGACGCCATGAAGCGGCAACAACAGCAACACCAGCCCCTCGAGATGCTCAAGGACAAAATCGGGATGGAGAAAATCGCCAACAAAGTGGCCGGCGGCTCGTGCAAGCAGCTGAAAAAGGAGCCGGGCGAGGCGGCCGACCTGCGGCCGACGTGTCTGGCCGACAAGTACCACCACCCTGCCGCCTACCAGCACCACCACGACGTCAAACCCATCCTGGAGCACCTCGAGTACCAACAAGAAGCGCCTTCCTCCTTTTCCGTGGACAGTCTGATGACCTCGAGAGAGCACTACGCGGCGGCCAGGTCGATCTACCCTCCGGCGGCCCACTCGTACCAGTACCAGTCGCTGCAGGCCATGGAGGAACTGTCCATATCCAACACCCCCATGCAGCCGCACCACAACTTCCAAAGGTCGTGGTACACGTCCGCCTCGGACAACTCGGAGAACGCGTCGGTCCAGGCGGCCACGTCGGCGGCCGCGGCCGCCGTCATCGCGGCCACCAACGGCTTCAGGGAGATCCTGGAGCCGAACCCGAGCTGCCAGCTCGGCTTCAGCGGCGGCCGCTCCCTCGGCCAGACGGCCGGCGGCCAACTGCAGCATCCGCAGCAGCACCCGGCCGGCAGCAGCTCGCCGCCGTCGCCGTTCCGACCGGCGGCCGCCGCGCAGCCCGCGGCCGCCAACTCGCCCTTCTACAACGTGCAGCGAGCCGTGTGCAACTCGAATTCGCCCAAATATTGAGAAATTCCATTTTTTTACCTTTAAGTTTATTATTATTTTTTTAATCGCCCGCTGAAAAAACTCTCATCGTAATTGTCGTGCAATCGTCCGAGTGATATAAGTGCTGGACCTATTTTATTATCATTTTCATTGTTCAATATGTAAATTATAATTTGGATTTTGATGATCGTAGACTTTTATCAAGACCGAGATCAATGTGTACATATTGTAATATTTGTGAAATCAAAATGGGTAAATCATAGTAATAAAAGTGCGGACCGAAGCGCGCGTGCAAACATTCTCAATAAAATGTGTAATATATAAGGTTAATAATCGCGACACACGCATGTCATCTCGTATGTTGATTGCTTTCAACAAGAACACAATGATATTTATGTCCTGTTGAAATATTCCTTTTTTGAGAGAAAAAAAAGAACGCCGTGGTGTACTTAATTATTCTAATAATAATGGATGATTATTATCAAATGAAATTTTTGCTAATTTTTATTTACAAAACTCGCACCTTTACAATAAGATTGATAAGCAAAATTAATAGACCAACGATGATGCAAAAAAGAGTAAGTTTTACAGATAATTTTTAATTTATTCGCACAATGCATTAATCAATAATTTAATATTAAATTTTATGTCTTTTTTAGTTTATAAGTTATTTAATAATATTTCATATGAAAATATAAATTATTAAATTTGAATGAATTAAAGATTAAATAAAAATTGCAAGCTAAAAAATATATATATTTTAACTTCTTGGTAATTTTACTAAATTATAAGTTTTATAACATACAAAAATTTAGCGATCGAAATTAATTTAGAACTCCAAAACTTAATTGGCTGAAAAATACAAATTAATATTATTTTGTTTGTGGTGAAATAAGGAACTTTCAAGGTCAGCGTGGACCGACCCTTTGAGTACAAGACGAAGCGTGCTGGGAGGTCCTACGCCAAATTTGTTTATGTCTGTAAACAAAAAAGCTCCGAAAGACTGAAGATATAGGTTGGAACATTTTTTTCTCATAAACAAATCGGTGCCACGGGATGGATGGTGCTGAGACCAACCAAGCAGCGACGACGTGAAACTTAAGGACGACAGGCAGGAAGCAGCAGTTTCTCGACCGCGGCTCGATTACCACCGCAGCCCTCACGCCTCGGAGTCAATTGTGAAAATTAAAAAATAAATCGAGAATAATATTGCGCTGGCAAAATAACGGTTAAAGTGCTTATATTTTATTAAGTATTAAAATGTAAAAGCATAAAAATTCAAAGTTTTGGTTGAGCTGTTTGTCTTGGACTTGGTTCAATTAAAACACTCAAGAGCAGAGAGCAATAGGCCTCCTCACTTCAATCTTTTTTCATCATTCTCGATTTAAAAGTGACGAGTAAGACTGGTGAGCAATGAACGCTTTTCTCGCCTGGATTCGTTTTATCCGCGCGTACGACAAATCGTTTGTCTCGTGTCAGGCTGACCTGTCAACATGGGGAAATGTATAAGTGTGAGGCAATACGAGACAGCCAAAGACTGGAAAGAGAGCGAAAAGACGATCAGTATGGTGTGGGTGGGTGGGCTTGCTTAGTCCGCTCTTTCTTTCTCTCGCCACCCGCCTGCTCAGCAGCCCTTTTCCCTCTTTTTGCCCCCTTAATGCGTTTTCACGCTATTTTAAGCTGTTTCACGTGCACTTCTCCGTTTTTCAAAGAAAAAGAAGAAGAGACCTCAGTCAGAATAGTTTTCTTCTGCGCGGCCACAATGCCTTTTCCTTTGCATTCTCTGACGGTCTTTGACACACGCACGTGTTGGCAAAAACGGTCTGTTCAAATTTCAAATTTTGATCGGTTCTGAATAAGTTGGATAAGAATTTATTTAGCATGAGGCAGTGAAAGATAATATTAATAAAATTATTTTTGCTATCAATTATCATTAATTGTTATTTTTTTTTTAAAATATTTTTAAAAATTACTTTATACTTTAATAAGATCATATTTTTTTTTATTTCCTAATTTTAGTAGAACAAAATAATATATACAGATATGAAGTAAGTAAAATTTAATTTATACATTATGTAATATTTTTCATAGCAAAAATTCAAAACTGTTCAAGAATGTGTTTTCTGTAAATGCTTATCAATATTTTACTTTCTCCCAGTGCTGTTTCATAATATGAAATGAAAATTTAACTTTGTAATCTTCTTCGCGCCTTTCTCTCGTAAAACACTTCAAACAGTCATTAACATGTTGTTCGAATAAAAAGTTTTATTGCCGCGCCCATTTGCTTTTAAATTCTGTTAATTGCGTGGGCTGACTGACTGAGAAACGCTGCACGTCGTGTCATTTTGGCGCGGCTAAAAATAGCCGCACTTTGCAATTCCTAATACATGCAAATGGAATATCCAGTTGTATAATCGGATTTTTGCGTGTGTTATATAAACAGATGATGCATGTATTCATTGAATATCCTAGCAGATATAAATTTAAGACAGCCCAAGTAGTAAAAAGGTATTATGCAAATTATCCTATTGTTTCATTAATCAACACCAAATTTTAAAGGAGAATTCAATTAACTTAAATTAACTTAAATTTTATGCATGTAAGATTACATTTCGCAACTCAAAAATATTAAAATTCTCAATTTTATTTTCTCACTTGTAGAAAAATTATATTCGCTAAATAAAAACGAAAAGAAATTAGTGAAAATGAAAAAGTTAAAAAAAAGTTTATGACAGGTTTATGAGTTTCTTTCATCTGAAGTGTTGCCCAAATATTTAAAGACTTTTTCATCAAAGTGAAATTGGCCAAATAAATCTATTTCTTATGGCTCTCAAAGCAAGTATTCAACAGATCCAAAAGTTTTGCACCGGCGAGAGAGTTTGATCCAATTTGATCAAACAGTTTTGCACCGGCGAAAGAGTTTGATCCAATTTGATCAAACAGTTTTGCACCGACGAAAGAGTTTGATCCAATTTGATCAAACAGTTTTGCACCGGCGAAAGAGTTTGATCCAATTTGATCAAACAGTTTTGCACCGGCGAAAGAGTTTGATCCAATTTGATCAAACAGTTTTGCACCGACGAAAGAGTTTGATCCAATTTGATCAAACAGTTTTGCACCGACGAAAGAGTTTGATCCAATTTGATCAAACAGTTTTGCACCGGCGAAAGAGTTTGATCCAATTTGATCAAACAGTTTTGCACCGGCGAAAGAGTTTGATCCAATTTGATCAAACAGTTTTGCACCGACGAAAGAGTTTGATCCAATTTGATCAAACAGGCGCCTGACGCGACTGACTCGCCTGACGCGACTGACTCGCCTGACGCGACTGACTCGACTGACGCGACTGACTCGCCTGACGCGACTGACTCGCTTGACGCGACTGACTCGCCTGACGCGACTGACTCGCCTGACGCGACTGACTCGCCTGACGCGACTGACTCGCCTGACGCGACTGACTCGCCTGACGCGACTGACTCGCCTGACGCGACTGACTCGCCTGACGCGACTGACTCGCCTGACGCGACTGACTCGCCTGACGCGACTGACTCGCCTGACGCGACTGACTCGCCTGACGCGACTGACTCGCCTGACGCGACTGACTCGCCTGACGCGACTGACTCGCCTGACGCGACTGACTCGCCTGACGCGACTGACTCGCCTGACGCGACTGACTCGCCTGACGCGACTGACTCGCCTGACGCGACTGACTCGCCTGACGCGACTGACTCGCCTGACGCGACTGACTCGCCTGACGCGACTGACTCGCCTGACGCGACTGACTCGCCTGACGCGACTGACTCGCCTGACGCGACTGACGCGACTGACTCGCCTGACGCGACTGACGCGACTGACTCGCCTGACGCGACTGACGCGACTGACTCGACTGACGCGACTGACGCGACTGACTCGGGATCTTTTCTCCCGGGAGAGCTAAGTCTATTACAGAATAAATGCATTTTATGTCTTTGTTTAGATTATTGCAAAGTAGAGTGAGCTGAGAAAAGTGTTTTTAACCTCTCTCTTGATTGCGATATAATTGATGCGGTGCATGGTAAGACCCTTTTTCTGCGCGTTGCCATTAACCCCTGGAGCCACTTCTCTTATTTCCTTGTGCCGTCTTTGCTCCGTCGGTTGCTTTTTCATGTTGAAAATAATGCAGCGGGGAGGTTGGTTGGCTGCAAATGTAAAATGTATTTATGTGTGTACGCGCGGCGCGGTGTACAGCATATGAAGCTGCTCAGCAGGCCGGGCTGCTGTGAGACAACCACCATCTGGACCGCCTACTGCTCTCGCTTCCATGCACTGATTTACATACGTATATCCTCTCACACAAGCTGCTGCTGCTGTATACGCGAAAAATGAATCTTTCCTCCTGTGCCTTCATCCAGCAGCATTATAAACATTTTCCTGCCGTGGAATTTACCGACCTGCCGGGGTCGCCCTTTTTATAGTTATTTTTGTATTTCTTATACGAATCGAAAAGGGTTTGAAACAATATGATATATTCGGCAAAAGATTGGGAGAGAGGATGCGCGGTTGAACTTATTTGCACAGTTATTAGCTTCCAATTGCACGAGGGGTGGTGTTTGTTTGAGCGTGCAAATGCAGCGTGACAAACAGAATGTTCCACTTGTAGCGCGGCCGCAATTTATCTTCCGGCCAAATTGGGGGCGGAAAATGTTAATTAAAACAAATACGGACGAAAATTTAATTGTTCTGCCATGTGAGATGAGCTATTAATTATTAACGATGTATAGCGCGTTTTATGTTGTGTTAAATTACAAATAAAAAAGAGCTGTTTTAAACTAAACATTTTAAACTAAACATTTATTAATTTTTTAACAGTAACAACAACTGAAATATGTACAAAATAATATGATTTTATCAGTTTTTTACAGCAATTATTTTTATTTATTTTTTATTTAATTTATTTGGGATTATGTTAAAATTTATCTTATTTGATTAATTACTTAATTGTAATAATAAATATATATATATTTTAATAATTATATTAAATTATAATACACCTAAGAGAGGCGTATTTTTGTTCAGTAATTTGATTGAATTTTATTAGAAGCAAAAAAAATATGGTATATAATGTGAACGTTTCAAAGTCGTCTGCATTCTAAAAATTAACTAACTTAAATTAGGTTGTTTTAATGGGTTTTCAGTGATGGTAAAGACCATAAATTTGATGATTTAATTTGAAAAAATTATTTCCTGGTGAAATGAAACTCCTATTATAATAAGAGTTAAGGTAATATACAACAATAAGATTAGTATGGAGTGTGTTGCTATAAATGTTATTAAAAAAAAATTAAATTTAGAAGTCTTTAAAAAAAGTTTCTCTTTAATTATTATCAGCCAATAGCATCATCTTCTATATTCAAAATCTGCATACGCAGCTTTCAAAATATATGATCAAACGTAAAACGTAGATGAACGTCCTAATTAATAATTTACCAATTTAAAA